AAACAGCGAGTCGTCTACTGAAGAGCTTAGAGAAGAATTCAATGAGGAAGCGTCTATAAATTGCTATTTTAGTTGTGGGTATGAGTACAAGGAAATCCTTGGCTTTTACGAAGCACCACAGTTGTAACATGAGTTACAGTAGACTGATTATTGACCATTGGTATAGTGGAATAATTGATAAGGAACATATCAGGGACATCATTGGCACTGTTCGGGTTAACATAGTTAGTCGGCGAATGGTATATCTTGAGGAATTTAAGAAAGGGATAGAGTTATTTGGTCTTTGCAAGGCTTTGGAAGATAATACTGAAATAGGCAAAAATTTATTCATCTGTTAGCAAAACAAAGTCGATGCCAATTTTGTTGTTTCCACTCTCTACCCACATTACTCCGAGCAAGGTTCAAGTCGAAGAACCAAAGAGGAAGCTGTGTTTGACAACTTTCACGATTTCATAATGTCGACCGAAGATGAGGTTATTGCAGGCTTCGATGAAGAAGTGGCATGGGATGACATTGAAAGCACTGATGAATGGAACGAATGCAAGCGCAGTCAAACTGCTGATATTTCCACAAGTGCAGTCTTGGGTTTGCTTACGGGTCAAAAGCATTAACCATAAGATGGCCAGAAGCTTTCTGTATTAGTTAACTTCGATCATGATTGCTTGGAAAAGAACCTCACCATACTATTTACTTCCCTATAGTCAGCGCTTGTGCCCAGACCATCACTTTTCCTGTCTGTCATATGGAAAATCCAGAAGAATTCAAACGAATAATGTTGCTGGCATTAGGCAAGGGACAAGCATTTGCAAAACCTTAAATTCTTGAAGGCTTCTGTTTATAACCCTTTACTGACGATTCTATCTAAATTAACCACGCAGTCTTCTGTTCAAATTTGTTGCTTGAAATAAGATTTTTCCGCTAATGGAACTTAAAATGAGACGTTAAGACAAAAGATAATGCAATTTAGCATTTAAGAACTCGTTTTCGAATAAAATTTACATAATTTTATTACGATTTAGGCTTGTTCCATTCTGCTCAAATTTACGCACGTTTTACCAGTGTACCAAATGATACTGAGGCCAAAGTTTGTCGTTCTGGAAATCTTTGTTTGAACGTGTTGCGTGTTTTTTGTGAGCTACCGGTTTCAAAAAAACGTTTTCACAAGAAATGTGCCTTCTGCCATTCTTAATTGGAGCCACAGCGTTTGTAAAGTGTACAATACAAGAAGAAGTTTGCATTAAGTCTGGAGTGATGATTAGCATTTGAAAGCAATATGGGAGTAAATTTGAAAGAAAAAAAATGGAATTCCCAATGGCGGAAAATTGTGATTTTTATGAACTTTATTTGTAAAGAAATACTCCTTCATTTCGCAACTGAAAGATTCGTACAACATGTCTTTTGAAAGGTAAATAAATAGACTTAACAAAGGTTCAAAAACCAAACGACTTTTTCAAATATATTCTGTGTTATTGAACCCCAAATTTGAATTGGAATTTTTTGATACACGCTGTACAAAATGGTAAAATCTACAAAGTATAAGTTTGCATTAATAAATTATTTATAAATTCAGCTGATTAATTTATCATTTATCAACCTCGTGGTTACTATTTTTTAAGACAACCTTCCCACTAAAGTTTGAAGGACCAGGGTTTAACTGAGTGTCTCCGATATAAGGGCCTTGGCATTTCGACTGTCAGGGGGAACTAAATTCTAAAAACTTTCCCCAAAAAATTAAAAATTAAGGCTTCAGTTCTCGCATTGAAGATGAAGATCTTATCGTAATCTCTATCATTAAATATTGAAAACTTATGTTGTCATACACGACAATTCACGCGAAACACATTTTTTAAGAATTTAAAATTTTAGAGTTATTGCTAACTGAATTTGGGATCAAGTTTAGAATTAAACTAGCAAGGATTTCACACGTTTCTCTAAACTTATAGCAACAATTAGAACAACATTTGGGTTTCGATAATTAACAATCGTAAGTCTAGCCAATAAGGGGCTGTTTACATGATCCCGGCTAACCGGGTTCAGTGAGGCGTAAAATCATTTCGACGCATTAAAAAGAGTCTAAACTTCAAGCGTAAAAATTACAACTGTTTGTTAAGCGCCGCAAGTAATGCCTGCTGTATATCTCAAATAAGGCCAAATTTGTTGTTCGATTTTGAATGTTATGCGTATAGTTATTAAATCAGAATATTGTGAAAGTGCTAAAGAACATTCATCTGATGATAAGTATTAAATCTTTTCCATTTGCGAAAATCATTTGACGCTTGGCTGAATCCCGGCTACCCGGGATGTAAACAGCCCCTAAATTTTCTCGTATTGTAACGGAACACCAGGGGCGGATCTAGGATTTTTCAAACATCAGTCATAAAACGTCGAAGGCGCTACGCACCTGGGGGGGTCTGAGGCATTCTCCCCTGAGAAATTTTGAATTTCAGAGCCTTGAAAATGCCATTTTCAGCGTTTTAGAGCAATACAAAATGTATTTGTGGGCATCGTTTTTGCGTAAAAACAAAACATTTTGCTTACGTTTTTTTCAAAAAAAAAAATGAAGTGAACAATACTTGAATGTTTTGCCAAACATTTAGGCTCATTATCATGCCAAATATATGGCTCATTAGCATGTCTAGGAACGTAAAATTTATTTTACAATAATGCCATTTAAAAACAGATATAGTCTTTAAAAATTTCTACCAAGTTGTCAGGCATAGACCCCCTAGAGACCCCCATTCAAACCTCTATGTAATGAATTTAGTTAAGTTAGAAATTTGGTACTACAAGTGACAGTTCATAGATATAGAAAAGCTCAGACTTCAAACCATGCAAGTTTATTGTAACCCTTTACCCATCTCAACATCAGTGCCAGCAAATTCACCTTTTGAGAAAAAACTCAAAATTTTTTTCTGCCAAAGGTTAAGGAAAAATTATCAGAGTGAAAATTTGCAGTTAAGGACAGCTTAATGCCATAAATGTTTATTAGGCATTTCACTAGACTATTATCTCCTGTAAGTATATGCAAGGTGTGCTATATAGCAATCACTAGTAGCATTGTATTTGCAAATACAAACAGAATGTAACCAACATGTCTTTAATTATATAATTACATGAATGTTAAAATTGGTTCATGTGTCATGCTTACTGGTTATGATAAATATCCTTTCATATGATCAAAGCTTGTTTAAATGTAAATCAGAAATAATTTAGTTTAGAAATTATAATGATCATCAGAAAATTTACCTAGTGATCATGAAAAATACTTTGCTGTTTTGCCAAATTTCAAGGTTTATCTGCATACATAGAAAGACATTTTTACTTTATAGAAAATGCTTTTCATACATCAATAGCCCTTTGGAATTTATGGCAAACAATCTGGTATGAGCCGAGATTGACAGACCTTTACATCTCTACATGAGGTGTTCAGTTAGAAAAGGGGACAATATGTGACATGGGACAACATTCCATGTATGTGAAATACTCAGGTTTAATACCATTCCAGTCAAATTGTCAAAATAAAAAGCTTCATGGATCAGAAGACTCAAAATCACAGGTTATAGTAAACAGCTTCTCATGTAATCAATGTTAGTTTTCTCAAATCTTAAACAATATGTAGTATAACTGTCCAATGATTGAATGATCAATGATCATAAACTGAAAACCCCAAACATTTGTTTATGATAAAGTAAATAATAGTATGGCGCCTTATGGCTACAGATTTTTTGTCCATTGAAATATATTTGCAGGAATGTAGGATTTCGCTGCCGTATAACGGCCACGATTCCCCAAGCACTAAAGAAATCATAGCTAAAAGTCCTTTGGCAACAACAATTTTAGAAGCATCAATCTGCTTACCATACGCCATATTGACATAAATCGCATCACACACTCGCATAATTGACTTTGATATATTACATTCATGCATACACTTCACTTGTCCTTTACTTACGATTTTGGATGTAAATTTCTGCTGATAAAACTCAAAACAATGTTGGCTTTCTTTGAACATCAATGACTGAAATGTCGCTCGCGAGATCGTCTTTGCCAAGCATTTAAAATTTATCCATAAATTTCCACCCTCTTGAAAAATTCACATTTTGGACAGCAGCATTCATGTCAATATATGAATTTGTAAAGATTTCCATAAATTCCATCTGATTGTAGTTTAGTTTCTATCATGCTTATAAAAATTACTATAAAACGATCAAACATTCAATTCAGACAGTGAGCTTGACTATGTTAGTTCAGTTGGCTATCAGTCGAAATCCGTCAAACCAATCACAATAAAGCAAAATTCAAATGAACCAATTGTAAGATAGCAATTGACTCCTTATACGTCCGGCCACCCTTATTATCAGTCGAGACCATTCCAGAGTGTCCACTGATCTGGCTATTGACCAATAAAATAAGCGTTTTGACGTTCATAGACTCCTTTATCCGTCGAACCAGTCAAGCCACCCCGCTTATCAGTCGGTTATTCCAGGTCAATTAAAATTCAACTGATCTGGTTACCAACGAGATATTCATTGGATTAGTCATTAGTTTTCAATAATAAATAATGCGGGATTTTTATCACGAAGTAAATGCGATAAGAAAATAAGAATAATTAATGAATTTTTAATTAATATGAATAGGTAATTTTTGAATTTCAAACATCAGTCGCGCGACGGATTTGACATACTCTAGATCCGCCCCTGCGGAACACCTGTATATATATACATACTATGTATATATATGTACAATTAACTGGCAACTTGTAAATATGTCATTCTTTCTGATGATGGTTTTTAAATAAAACCGAAATATTGCAGCGTAATTGTTTGTTTTATAACTTTGTGGTTACATTATGAGTTACACTAGGTTACACTATTTGAGGTTACAAGATGCCCTTTTACGGATTATGCTTATTTTGTTCCAATTAATTATATATGTCTTATTCGACCATTTTATCATATATATATAGTTGTCCAAACTCTTTGGCTCCATATTCAAGTCATTTATGTCTTAAGAATTGGAGCTGCTAGGACCAACATAATTAGTGTTTGTGTTCGATAAAAAAGGCCCAGGTTTTTGCCGCACTACTTTTTCGTCCTCTCTTAGCTTATGGACAGACCTTTTGTGTTCACTATTCAATAAAAACACTATTGAATCAGCAAAATTTTCATTTTGTGGCAACTTATTAAAGTGCCATAGTCACGTTTGCTGCTGTGGAGGTTTCAAGTTGACGTACGTTTCTAAGGAGGAAACAAATTTTTCCGTTCGGTGTACTTTGCATGATTTGCAGATGTTCAATTAAGAAATAAAAGATGTTTATTGTGGAAATGTTAAAACCGAGGAGACCTTTGGGAGTACTCGAAAGCAGATCAGGGTAAAAACATCTTTATGTTTCTTTTATAAACTAACAATAATGTAATAAAGATAAATTCAAAGCAAAGGTTTAAATATTTCCTATAACATGTATTGATGATTCATCTGCAAATACTCTTTGATTGATTTAATTGATGAGGCCAGCTATCAACCAATCAACGCAGGCGTTTTATTGTTTTTATTTTATATAGTGCAAATTTGTCAGTTGTCATTCGGGGAAGAAAAGAATACGAATTTGATTTATTTCTTACACTATTATATTAAAGTGAAAGAATAAGCAGTGTTTCGAGGCGAACACCCTGAAAACTAAGATGGAAACCATTTTGACGTAATTTATTATTATAGAATATAAGATTGTTAGTTGAATTTTCAGGCTTGCATTAGCTAGTTCTTGTGGAAACGACCGCATGTATTGCTCCTGTCATTACGAATAATTTATGTTCGTAAAAGTTTTATCGTGACTTGACATTCTTCACTTGCAGACTATTTAAGTTTTATAAGATATGCTAATTTTATATGTCAAGGAAATGCTAAATACAAATGAGAAGACATAATTTCGGAGAGTTTAAATCAAATGGGTGAACTACAAATGTAAAAACAGTTGTCCATTTACCGAAATCCACTGTTTTAATTAAAAACTTGCATGGTAGCAACAGTTGCTAGTAGCATAACTAATTATTTGCCAACGAATAAAATTTGTTCTATTTCATCAACATTTCTTTTATCTTAGAAAGCAACCTGCAGTGTTTGACTGCGACTCTACGTCTGCTATGATAAGGAGCTTCACAAATTCTAAAAGCAATTACATTGGAACAGGTAGCGTCACTTTTCTCAAGACGTTTTACGGTATATTGACAAATTTCTGATTTGAACAGGTTCTTCACTCCTCTCGACACAGGTACGTCTGATTTATACGAATTTTGCCATATATAAGTAGAGACATTTGTTCAAAGTACAAATTTTTTTAATTGTTTTGTTTCTGATGTCTGATAAAATGACTAACAAAGTGTTCAAAAATATATTCCTTACCTAATAACTTGAAATATTTCCAATTTGGACTCTTTTCGTGTGGTTTTGAATGGAAAGAGGGAACTGAACTATTTTGAAACTTTAAAGGAGTAGTCAGACGTTAACACAACTATCACTCATGTGAAAGTGTATATTGTTCTTACCTCATTCGCGAAATCCTAGGTTTCCAATTCAAATTTAACTCAAGAAATAATGCCTTAAATGTGTGTATTTTTGCCTCTTGTTCGATCGCCATTGTGTACATGCATGCGAAGCCGCAGTCCAGCAGCGGTTTTTCGTCGTTACGTCTCTGCGCGGTGATCGTTGTCAACATTGGACAAAATGTATTAGCAAAAGTAGAAATTACGCATAAGCATATTCATAGTTGCATTTTATTTTCTAAGTTTTTAAATTAATTTGCGCAAAAGACGTTTGGAGAACGTCAAAGTGGAAAAATAAAACCAAAAATATCGGTTCTTTAGCGTAGAAAGTTTTTTATGCATAAAAAAGAACCAATATTTTTGCTTAACCTCACAGCTATATTCCGGTATTTTGGTTGATAGATGTTTGAGCTTCATCTAAATTATTAGTGTCCAAACAGCAGTGTTTTGTTTGAAACTTTCACAATCCTTGTACCTCTGGTTTATTTCAATAGATCCCATAGCAGAACTAAGGAATGTTGATGAATCAATTAGGTGCAAGAACTTGTAAAGGAGATATTTGGTCGTTCGCCAAGTAAGGCTGTGAATCCGGACGAAGCTGTTGCTTTAGGAGCGGCCATTCAAGGTGGAGTTCTTGCTGGTGATGTGAAAGATGTTCTTCTGTTGGATGTTACACCTTTATCCCTTGGCATTGAGACGCTTGGGGGTGTCTTTACCAAGCTCGTAGATAGAAACACGAATATTCCTACGAAAAAGAGCCAGGCTCAGTATTTTACCATTAAATTCAGCAAGATTCCTTTGCAATTTACACCACTGTAACATAGCAAATTTCACTTGTACGCTACATACGTATGATGTGATTGAAATCATCGCAGTGTATCTATGAAGCTCAATTGCCATTGACTTGATCCAGTTTAAGCATTGTACTTTTTGTACATTTGCAGGTGTTCTCCACCGCAGCTGATCGTCAGACGCAGGTGGAAATTATGGCTGCAGATAATAAAACTTTGGGACAGTTTTCTTTGGTGAGTATTACAAATGTTTACTTATTTTTGTTGAACAACGTCAATGGATTTGATATTTCTAATCGTCATCGTTCGCGTTAGGTTGGCATCCCACCTGCACCACGTAGTATACCACAAATTGACGTCACGTTCGACATTGATGCTAATGGCATTGTCAACGTGTCCGCTCGTGATAAGGGAACTGGAAAGAACAACAGAAAAGTACGTCAGGCTAACGCTTTGAATGACAACGAAAATCTTTAAGACTTCATCTATGCATCTACATCATCTATCCATCTACTTCAATAACACATTTTGGTCAAATGCCCATGCATGCAATTTTAATGCGCAATCTCGTATGCTTTACTGTCGTCTACGAGGACTGTAACAGTTCTGCTTTTGCTGTGTTTGTAAAGTATGTACTGCATTGAATTACTTCATAGCTGTAACGTCACCCTGGGGCGAGCGTGACTACAATCGATATGTGATAAACATGTCATCACTTAGTACCTACATACTACTTAGTGGAGTTTTCACGTTCGTATTACGGCAATAGATTTATCCATTTTTCACTAAGACAAACACATGTGTCTGCCTTTCTGCTTCTTAATACAACGGTGAAACTGGAGAATGTACGTTTTTCAAGTGGGCCATAAAACCACTGCATAAAACACGAAAGAGTCAGAATTAGTCGTTGCAACTGGGGAAACTGGGCCGAGTTTGTGATACTGGTTACGCAAGTTCATATCCTATCATAAATTCTCATTGCGTCAGAACCAACATTGCCGAAGTCTACTGTGGTTATTTTTACAGCGTGAAATCATGTCTTTTGCAATGGGTTTATCGAGATTTTCAGCAAAGAACGCTCTCAATACTTTGCGGTGTGCAAATATCAAACGTTCGTTTTCGAGGGTAAGAAAAAAATTGCTGGAAAATTGCATAGATTCTGAAATATGGCTTCATGGGCGTTTGATGCACGTGTTCTGTTTTCGTGTGCTTGGAGTATGGCCTCAACATCATCGCTGACAACTGAGATTTTTTTTATTTTTCTTTAGATTAATAGAAGTACATTGAGTCAAACAATCTCCACTCATAATGCACCATTCAGATCTTATGCGTAAGTAAAAAGTTTATTTGAAAACTACCAATTAATTATATTAAATTGAAAGGATGAACACCAAAACAACTAGCTTACCATTGTATTTCCTCTTTATCAATACAATTCATTAATTTTGATGTTCAAATGACTTTATAAATGTGCTAACTAGGCTGTTAAAAGTACAATGAACAAGTAATTTTTCCCGCTGTGTAACAAGTCCAACTAGTTTTTCATTGGTTCAAAATTTCACCTACCTACTTTAAGTTCTGATGTACGCGGAGCAGTTTGTGGCATTGATCTTGGTACAACAAACTCATGTGTTGCTGTTATGGAAGGCAAAACACCTAAGGTGATTGAAAATGCTGAGGGAGCAAGGACGACTCCATCAGTTGTAGCATTTGCATCAGATGGAGAAAGACTTGTTGGAGCACCGGCAAAACGACAGGTATGAAAAGTCATTATTGGTGCTTATACAGACTCTGATTTGTAACTAATGCTGTCTTTTATATGAGCAACATTTATTAGCCTAATCTATATGACTTATGCCTGATTTAATTGATTGTCTTTGCTGATATAAAGCCAGCAGAATCATTGCAAAGAAAAGTGCCGAAGTAATGGATTTATTTGTAAACTTTTAGGCAGTGGCCAATCCTCAAAATACCCTTTATGCAACAAAAAGATACATAGGACGACCCTTTAATGATTCTGAAGTTCAAAAAGATCAGTATGTATATGCTTGTTTTTATGAAAAATAATATTTCTTGTTGTAACTGAATTTCCCTTTAATATATTTCTTGCAGGAAAAACCTTTCATTTAAAATTGTAAAGGCATCAAATGGTGATGCTTGGTTTGATGTTCAAGGGAAAATGTACTCACCAAGTCAAATTGGGGCATTTGTTTTGATGAAAATGAAAGAAACTGCTGAAAGTTACTTGAACACAACTGTACAAAATGCAGTTGTCACTGTACCTGCGTATTTTAACGATTCTCAAAGACAGGTAACATAAAATTTGTCAAAGCAAAGATATCGTCATGTATCAGTCATGTCGAAGTTCAAGTCTTCAGGTTTAATAGCTGTTTCTATGATAACCATGAATTATTTCTTTAAGGCAACAAAAGATGCGGGCCAGATTGCAGGTTTTAATGTCCTTCGTGTCATGAACACTTCTACAGCTGCAGCGCTTGCTTATGGGATGAATAGAGCAGAAGATAAAATGTATGTTGGATGAAATGATATATGACTAAAATTACTAAAAGACATAGGTAACTAATGATATGTATGAATGCCAATAAATGAAATACGTGGAAAAGAATTTCACATCACTTTACTATCGTATTGCTAATATTATTTGGTATTTTGAATATTGGATAGTATTGGATAATATTGAATAATGTTGAAATGTGCTTTTATTATTTAGCTTAGCTGTTTATGATCTTGGTGGTGGTACATTTGATGTGTCAATTTTAGAAATCCAAAAGGGTGTATTTGAAGTGAAAGCAACAAATGGTGATACTTATTTGGGTGGTGAGGATTTTGATAATGCTCTTCTTCAGTATCTTGTAAAGGAATTCAAAAGAGAGGTATGAAATATTTCATCTGCCCAGTAATAAAATTGAAATATGAAATGATAGAATTGTTTTCAAGTACCTTGATTTTTATAACTTAAGTTAACTAATCAAATATATTATGCTCTCATTTTAGTCAGGAATTGATCTTACTAAGGACAACATGGCAATTCAAAGATTAAGAGAAGCTGCTGAAAAAGCAAAGATTGAGTTATCGTCGTCGATACAAGTTTGTTTACACAATAATTGATTTGATTGCTTGCACAAAAACGATTGATTGCATGTTTAGTCATTAATTAATCCCCTAACAGTTTATTTTAAATGACATTGCAAAAGTAACTTCACTTCTATCATACTTTATAGACGGATATCTATCTACCTTACATTACTATTGGAGCATCAGGACCCCAGGACTTGAACATGAAATTAACAAGAGCAAAATTCGAGTCACTTGTTGCTGATTTGATTCAAAGAACTGTTGAACCTTGTAAAAAATGTATGAAGGACGCTGACTGTACAATGTCAGATATTGGAGAAGTGTTGTTGGTTGGTGGTATGACAAGGATGCCTAAGGTATCAGTTTGACCTAATCTGTATATTTTGTTTTGACTTGATCGGGTGTTGAGCTGTGTGACTCCACAATTTTATCTGGTTTTCAGTTTGTGGAGTTTCGGTCCATTTTTTTCGAAAAAAAGGAAGAATAATGCCAATGTAGTGCTACATTGACTTAATTATGAATATGACGTGTAGACTCCAGAAAGTTGTCCAGTTCAGCATAAGTCAACGTGTGCTTGTTTTCTATGTGTTTTCACAGATCTGTGGTTTTGCTATGTACTGTGCTGATTGCATTCTGTCACAGACCTCACACTGCAAATTTGTTTCTTGTTTTCTTTTTTGAAATATTCCCAAATTGGTCTCTTTTCTTGTGGTTTTGAATGGAAAGAAATAACTGAACTATTTTGAAACTTTAAAGGAAGGTGGACGTTTGGAGGACGTCAAAGTGGAAAAATAAAACCAAAAATATAGGTTCTTTGCCGTAGAAAGTTTTTCATGCGTAAAAAGAACCAATATTTTGTGTTAATCTCACAGCTATATACCGGTATTTTTGTTGATAGATGTTTGAGTTTCATCTAAATTATTAGTGTCCAAACAGCAGTGTTTGGTTTAAAACTTTCACAATCCTTGTATCTCTGGTTTATTTCAATGGATCCATAGCAGAACTAAGGAATGTTGATAAATCAATTAGGTGCAAGAACTTGTGAAGGAGATATTTGGTCGTTCGCCAAGTAAGGCTGTGAATCCGGACGAAGCTGTTGCTTTAGGAGCGGCCATTCAAGGTGGAGTTCTTGCTGGTGATGTGAAAGATGTTCTTCTGTTGGATGTTACACCTTTATCCCTTGGCATTGAGACGCTTGGTGGTGTCTTTACCAAGCTCATAGAGAGAAACACGACTATTCCTACGAAAAAGAGCCAGGTTCAGTATTTTACCATTAAATTCAGCAAGATTCCTTTGTGATTTACACCACTGTAACATAGCAAATTTCACTTGTACACTACATACGTATGTGATTGAAATCATCACAGTGTATCTTTGAAGCTCAATTGCCATTGACTTGATCCAGTTTAAGCATTGTACTTTTCATACCTTTGTAGGTGTTCTCCACCGCAGCTGATGGTCAGACGCAAGTTGAAATTAAGGTTTGTCAAGGTGAACGTGAAATGGCTTCAGATAATAAAACTTTGGGACAGTTTTCTTTGGTGAGCATTACGAATGTATACTTATTTTTGTTGAGCAGCGTCAATGTATTTGATATTTCTAATCTTCATCGTTCACGTTAGGTTGGCATCCCACCTGCACCACGTGGTATACCACAAATTAACGTCACGTTCAACATTGATGCTAATGGCATTGTCAACGTGTCCGCTCGTGATAAGGGAACTGGAAAAGAACAACAGAGTAAGTACGTCATGGCTAACGGTTTGAATGACAACGAAAATCTTGTCAGCGTAGCAGAGATTACTACTAATATACTTATGTGAAAAAGTCAGGCTTTAAGAAAACTAATAGTTTTAACTGATTTTTACACTCTTCATTTTTTTTTGTTAATATACAAGTACTTATAATTTCTACATTAATATGGATCACATCTTTTTTAAATCACAGTTCAATTGGTTCAGTGATTGTTGAAGATCTGCTAAAGGGGACAACGAGGGGTTAAAGGCATTTAATTAATATGTTTGACAGCATTCCTTGTTTAAATTTATTTTATGTTGTACACTCATCCCCAATTGTTGTGTGCATGTTTTTTGGTTTTGTTTGGTTTTGTGCATGTTTTATTCAACAGCTATAGTGTTTTGGAGAGTTACTGTTGCATTATTTGATTATTTGTACAGTTGTCATCCAATCTTCTGGTGGTTTGAACAAAGATGAGATTGAAAATATGATTAAACAAGCTGAAATGTATGCAGAAAGTGACAGAGAAAGAAAGGTGAGCACGAAAGGAACTGACGTTGTACTTGAACTGAAGGATAGCCACAGTTTACTCGTTAACCATATGTTAAATGTCTCTGTATAGAGTTTTCTCTTCAGCCTTTTCAATGTTTTTTACACGTTCACTAGGAAAAAACTGAAGCAGTCAACCATGCTGAAAGCATTTTACATGACACAGAATCGAAAATTGAAGAGTTCAAAGATAAGTTGCCACAAGACGAGGTTAGTTTCACTTCAACGTGAACTTTAGCTGTGATCTAAGTCAAAACAATTCATTTACGAGCTACTAGTTTTTGACGTATTTTTTGAAAAAGACCATCGATTAATACTATAACAATAAGAGACACAGTTCAAATACTTTAACTAATCTCCGAATCCATGACAATACCTTATATGTATTGCTTAATACCTTATATGGTATTGCTTATTACTTTATATGGTATTGCTTAGGCTGCCAGTTTAAAGGAGGAAATTACCAAAGTACACGCGGTGTTAGCAAACACCGAGAATTCTTCTGCGGAAGAAATTAAAGAGCGATGTAATGAATTACAACAGAAGTCACTCAAATTATTTGAGATGGCTTATAAAAAGGTACGTATTTTCTTAAAGTCGAGTCAGTGCGGTGCTTTATTTAAATTATTTCACTTGTCCCATTTAACTTTCCTTCGTTTTCCAAGATGGCTTCGGAAGAAGAGGATGGCTCGCAAATAAATTAACAGCCTGAACATGAAAAAAAAACAAGGCGAAAACTAAAACGGTCTCCATTTTATTAGTAACATACACTCAATAAACGGAATTTGGTATTGATCACCAACCTTTTCATTTCAAGTTGCATGGTAATATCATCATTCTCATCTTCAATGTAGTATTCTGGTGTATTTTCAATAGGTTCTGTGCTTCTTGTACTTGTTGTGAGTGTGATTGAGAGTAGGTACTTTCTGCTTTTGTAACTGTAGTATGATTTATTTGAGGTCTCTGTATGTCTGGTTTTATCACTGTAGTAATCAGGATTATGATCATTAGAATTATCAGACATCTAACAACACAAACGAATGAAAATACACTCTCGAACCTTTGTCTGGGATGGCGAGTCCCCTGCTTTTGTAGAAAACTATTTGCCTTCTTTCTTCAGCTGAGAAGGATGAAATAAAATATTGATCTATTAAAGTGGTATGCATGTAAATTGAAAATCAATGTCACCAATTTGAGGTAAAAACATTAACCTTCTGCAAAATCAGGTACCAGTTTATTAACTATGTCCTGATGAACACAATTGGTTCTGGAAGTTGAAAAGCATAGGATCAAATTTTGCTCACCTCTGGTACTTAAATGAAAATTAAATGGTTCTCCTTACTTAAGATTATACCAAGGATTTGTTTTATGCACAAGCTCATGGCATAGTGGACATTTGTAGTTACAACGAACTCTCTCAAAATGCTTCACAATACAACTTCTACAAACTTAAAACATAGCCAAGTGTGAAAATTGTGTTATAATCACCCTCTAACCAATGATGGCAACATAAGTGTTGGACTAGCAGTTTGTGAAACACTTGATGAAATACTAACAGACATTCAGTTATTGATGTAGACATTCAGTTATTGTTGTAGCATCAACTAAATATCCTTGGCAAACTGGACACGTGATGTGTGAATTTAGTAATTTGATTTGGATTGACCTTGGTTTCTAAACACAACATAAAGACAACTTGTAATGTCGGAAATCCTCTGTTTTAAATAAATGGTTATAGTTCACCAGTGCTAATTTGTCAAATTCTTCTTTCTATGACCTCTTAAGACAGACGTAGTGGTTTGTTTGTGTTGTATAAAATACTTAAAAATATCAACATATATAGCAAATATTCTATAGTAGAAAAAAGATGACAATTCTTTACCTCTATGGTTGTCATTGACATTATATCCATCATTTTGCATGTGTGCCATGCTTGGGCTTAGCTTGTAAGATCTTGGCTGACCAACATTTGCAGTTATTTTAACTGATTTAAATAGCATGAGTGAGTGGCTTTTATGATTTAGTAAATTTGATCAAGGCACCTGGATTAATCATTGATATCAATGACATGTACCTAGTGTTGCTGACAAGACATGCACCTGTCTTTTTGACAAATTAAGTCGAGACTTAAGTCATTCATTGATATTTTATTACTGTCTCTGTTTACAAATTTTAAATGTTTTGAAGATTGCAAATGGGTGAAATGACTACAAGAAGTGTATGGTCAGTATAAATGAATGTCACAAAGTTACCGAATTAGATCACGTGACTAAAACACATATCCAAGTCAGTGGATACTGGACTGCTGCTGCACTGCGGTGCACGTGGTGTGCGACTGTGCGTGCAAAGAAAACAACTGTACTGGAACAAAAATTTAATAAATATTTTCTAAATATTGAATGTTATAGTGATTAAAAATAAAAGAACGATGAATTATAAAACATAAAAATGCTCTGGGAGGCCACAGACACTTCAGAAAGTCAGTGAACGACTCAATTATCAGCCCATGGTTGTTTTTCTGACGAACCAAATACAAGATACAAGAGCATTCCAAAAACCTCGATGGCAGCCGTGATATAGAATACAATTGCCCATTGATGATGAATATTCTACAAGAAATTGTAAGTTATTTTTATACTTTTACTAATGGCTAATTGCATGTTTAATATGCTATTGGATTTAATTGAAATGTTATAAAAGCTCATTTATTCTTACCCCGTGCTCTGTAAGACTTCCAACCACTTCTGGTGAAATAAAACCAGTGATATTACAGGCAAAGTTAGAAATACCCATTAATACACTTGAATACTTTGGTGCAAGCTCAACCAAGTTTGCTCCTGGACCACTTGCTAAAGTTTGATACTGTAATTGCTATGGTTGCTATGACAATAGCAGTTGAGGCATTAGATGCATAAACCATGGCAAAGATAAAGACTCCACCTATTCCAGCACCTAAAGTATGAAGAGAACCACGAAAATTCAATATTGGAGAATAGATACTGTCAATTTCACCTTGTGTATCTCTAAAATAGTTTTGAGTATTCATTTGAACATTCAAATGTTTATTTGTTAGTTTGCATCTTCAAACTTACAGAAAATGATCTGATTGGCTAACATATATAGATATTGACTAATCAGATTATCTTCCGTAAGTTTTGAACATGCAACTAAAAAGAAAACACTTGAAAGTTTGTAGGAATATTCTAATGTTCAAATGAATGTTCCAAACTTTTTCAGAAGAAAGTTAAAATCAACATTATGTTACCATGAAGTTTCATGTCCATTTTAGTACAACTGCTAAGGGGGTGAGTAAAATTTATTTTAAATAAAGCTTAGAAATGATGTTGGTATAATATTAAGCAATAAAGTTACTTCTCATAATGATGGTTTATGCAACATTTTATTCTCGTTCCCTCAACCACTTCTCTCAAGAGTCAACACTTTTAAGAGAGTCATATTAATTATTATGATTGCAAACTTATGAAAAGCATGTGGTAAAATAAATCTTACCAAACAAATAAGAGAGTTTTCTGGCATTTGTTGTGCTTAAATATTTTCGTTTTCTCAACATATCTATGAAAAATCCCCATGCAGGTGTGAGTAGTCCTGCTACTACATAAGGAATGGAACTAGTGAAACCAATCTGTATAAGAAAAAAACAATGATATAAGTTCATGATGTTTTTCAAATCGTTTTCATTTACTCTTCTCATTAATCTTATCTTACAACTTGTTTTGTTCAATTTATTGCATGCATAGGTCTTATTTCCAACCATTTGAGCTTATGACAAAACAAATTCATTGAGGTTATAATAGAAGATTATTCTCTTAATTGAAATTTAAAAAATAGGTACACAGAGCGTACATGTGGGTAGCCTAAATTTGCTCGGAGATGTAACTGATGTTTGCAAAGCTAACATTTATATGAAATCCTTTGTTATTGGTTTAGACAACTGTCAGTGAAACAGATGTGGGTTGTTGCATTCCTTTAAGTCATAGCATTACAAATAGCGTTGCTAGTTTAAATTTCCATTAATACATCTTTGTTAAAAGTGGTTTAAAGTACATTTGTTAAGTTCTTTGTTTATTTATACATTCAGCCTGAACATAGAGATCAATAATACAGATGGTGGCTGATTGGTGGATTAGCTGTTCTCTCCTTTTATATGGTTAAAACTTGTATAATGTATAGGTTATGTAATGTATAGCTTAAAACTATACATTACTCACATTAGTACCAACTCAATAAACTTTTTGTTCCTTTGAAAGGGCTATGTATAAACTACCGTAACATCTACATGATCATGATTTTGCATTAACATTATGCTTTCAATGAATTCAATTTTCATAAAAAATCCACGAACCGTTGTTATATCTAGTTTATGAACATCACTGAGATAGCTTGGAAGTGAAAACATAAATGTGTAGAAACACCAACAATCCATGAAGAGGGGAAGTATGATCGCCCAAACTCTTATCGATGTGAGCATATATCTCCATGGAATTTCACGAAATTTCAACTGTAAATGCACACAGATGAACTGTTATGTTACACATAAATAGTTCTTTTTGATCTGTCATACTTTGGAACCAATTAGTTTCACTACTTACACTGTTTTATGTTGTCAAGTGAATAAACAAATAGAATATGATAAATAAAGAAAATAAAATAAATATGTTGTGTTGCAGATAAGTAGTACTTTTTTAATCTGTCATACTTTGGAACCAATTAGTTCCACAACATGTATTGTATTGTCACGTCAATTTATGTTGTCTAGTGAATGAAGAAACAGAATATGATAAATAAATAAAGAAAATAAATCAAATATTTAAATTCAAATAATATTGTTCAGTCATTTTAAGATATTTACTTTAGTTGTCCAGTGTTTTCCAATCTTTTGTATCTCAGACCGAGATATAGTAGGATGATCGGCTGGTTGTTCCACCCCCAGATACAGCCAACATAAATACCAGAGGACTCCTTGAGCTCCTTCAACAAATGCAAAAAATGAAAAAATATTTCCTCGTTTAGGTGCAACAGCTAGAGCAACTTTTTAACTTGGTTTGCTAAGTAATCATCACTTTTGTTATCTTCAGTTGTTTTGTTTTGCGAAATACGTCATGATTCAACAGTCAGTGTTGAAAACACAGGCAATTACCCCCTTCCATCGAAATGGCTGAAAAAATATTCTAATGAAATATCTGCCACGCAAGGGGATTTTCCCTGTTTTCTGCACTGTATGACTGGCGTTTTAAGGCACTTGAACGAAAGCAATAAAAGATTATCTTCTGTATGCTAGTATTCTCTGATAATTGTTTTATAAATTTATGACGTAATGATTTATTTTCATTAGATCCTTGAAGAAGCGATGAACGAAAACTTACCAAAGAAGTAAAACGGACGGCCATCCGTATGAACTACCGGCCAGAAGACCACTTATTGAGTTCGCAAAACTGTTCCCCACAGAAGACCTGCATGAGAGGATCATGGGTAAGTTTTAAATTGTTGACGACGTTTGTTTATGCAAGATGTAGAAATCAAAATCTACTCATAAAACAGCGCTTTAAATGTTTTTGACGAAATCACAAATTTCGAAAGTACGTAGCTAAAGCTCCGTTGCGCGTGCAGTTTCACCAGCTAGCGCTGCAAATTAATATAATATTGAAAATTATATTGATTTATCAGATGCACATACTTTATATGTATCTTACGAAAGGATTTATGTACAACATAAATGACATCATAAATTACGATCATTCAATCACCTGCATATGAAACGGTGACGAAAATACTCCTTTCGTAAATAGGTGACCATTTGCTTATTAAATCAATGCTTGAACTCGCCACCAAACCCTGTGGAAAAAATCACATCATGTACGACTTCATGTAAATATCAAGATTTTTCTTGATAAAATGAATGGTTTGAACCCGGAGTATCGTTACATGTTTGTACATGTAGATCGTCCAGGTTAGTAGAGCCTGAGAAGAACTGTTGTTGGTTATGTTGACTGACGTTTCAAAAACCTTAGCGGTAGTCATCAAGTGCTGTCACAGTCAACATCAACATCAACATTCTTTCTCGAGACTCTACTAACCTGGACAAACTACGTCAACAAACATGCAAAAAAATTTCTTGCTACTTCCATAGGCTTACCAAGCAAGGAGGGCAGCCAAATTGTTAGACAAACCAGGTTAATCGAGCAATTTTCGATTTGATTTAATGATTGTCGTGCATTTAGGTCAAACAATTGACGAAAAATATTAGCGGATATATGCTCGTGGCTATCTACACACTTTCACATAAATGCCCCAGCATTCACTATGTTTAAAACGCATTTAGTGAGTGACTATGAAAACTTGAATAGGAATTTTGCTTAAGATAAAACTATCTTATCATGTGCATGCTGAATTGTTTTGTGGAATAAAACTGACTTAAGTCGTCGCAATTTAAAGGTATATATAGCACATTCAATGACTAAAATCTCATCTCTATAGTTTGCTACACACTATCAAATAAGCTTTCATAAAGCTAAAAAGTTATACCTTACCAAGAATGCACCTTCCAGTACCCGTAGTACTATGAAGGCACTGACGTTCGCCCTAACGATCAGTGGTGTGAAAAGCGTAAGAACCGAGGAGCCAAAAATTGCAATACCAAGTAGAAATGAACTGCCATACTTTGCGCAAAGCAATCCTGCCGGTATTTGAAGAGCAGTATAGCTCCAGTAAAGGGACGCCAGAATTGTACCTGCAAACGTCTATCATTGTTACCAGTTGATTGCATCTGATATGACATTTTATTACATGGTGCTAATACATGCTGGCGGCATTAGAGTACTGCCATAAGCAATATTAGATGAATTTAGTAAACTTCAAAAATAATTTCTTATTACAACATACGAATGATTCCGCGACATTGTCACGAGGTCAAATAGATTGTTCGCCACCACACAATGTTAAGATCTGAAGCAAATCATTCCATTCTTGTGCACTTCTACTTTTCTTTGCACAACCCCCACCCCCACCCCCCCACCCCTGTGTATTTATCTGTGCACAAAACTCCAATTACCCACAGCAGATATATTTTCCACGTGCATTCAACGAAGACGACTTACCTTGAAATTGTGTGCTCCAGTGGAATTCTGGCTCCTTAAAGAGATAAATGGGACATTAGTCCGTGGTTTTTACCGTAATCCTTTGTAAAATTTCCTGACTTTCACAGACTATTAGATAAATTACAAACGCAATTGGTGTATCAACTACCAGCGTACAATACCACCGCCACATACTAACGTAATTGGCTGTGTATCAACTACCAGCGTACAATACCGCCGCCACATACTAACGTACTTGGCTGTTTATCAACTACGAGCGTACAATACCGCCGCCACATACTAACGTAATTGGCTGTGTATCAACTACGAGCGTACAATACCGCCGCCACATACTAACGTAATTTGCTGTGTATCAACTGCCAGTGTACAATACCACCGCCACATACTAACGTACTTGGCTGTGCTGCGTACAATACCGCCTACCGTACTTGGCTGTTTCAACTACCAGCGTACAATACCGCCGTACTAACGTAATTGGCGTATAACAACAGCGTACAATACCGCCGTCACATACTAACGTACTTGGCTGTTTATCAACTACCAGCGTACAATACCGCCGCCACATACTAACGTAATTTGCTGTGTATCAACTACGAGCGTACAATACCGCCGCCACATACTAACGTAATTGACTGTGTATCAACTACCAGCGTACAATACCGCCGCCACATACTAACGTAATTGACTGTGTATCAACTACCAGCGTACAATACCGCCGCCACATACTATATCATTTGCGAAGGAAAATCAAAATTGCCAAAGCTGTGATGAAAACTGCAGCAGTAAACAAGAAGTCGAATTTGAAGTCTAAATCTAAACTTTAGCTTCTCATCTATATGTACGTATGGATAAGAGCAAGCATTGCATTCTTTTCTTACCTCGTCTCTTGATAAACGAGATTCCGTTGTGTTATGCTGGTCATCTTCTCCGTGCGTCATTGCTACAATGGTTACGTTCACACACATCCTTATGCAATACATGTTGAAATTAGCCAGTGCAATCATAACTAAAATTATGAAACGTTTAGGGATTGCTTGAAATATCCATATCCCAGTGACTGGTCTTGATATCCTAGTTTGCGTTGTCGCTTCTCCGTCACTTATTTCACTGTTGAAACGGGTGAAACGATTGTGTTATTACATGTGGATGGAATGATTGGATGGTGTTCAAACGGGGTGAAATAATCGTCATTTTACATGTGGATAGAAGGATTTGATGGGATAAGAAAGGTTCAGCGCATGCTCAGCTGTTAATCAACCATCAAAAGCGCTTTAATTGTGTAGATGAATAGAGAAAGTGAAAATTTTGTTGATATAAAGCACGCTTCGTGGGACACAGTTCAAACTTGAGTCTACTTCAGTTATGGCAAATGTGAATGGACGAATAGAACATGGGTATAAATAATGCCTATGACGGAAGTCTTCAGTTGGAAGTAGCAAGTTTTTAAGCCATCAAACTAATGATTTAGTCTATCGTGAACAACTTATACAATAAGCATGTTCTTACCAAAGTTCAATTTCTTCATCGTGGTGTGCCTCGCCATCCGATTGTGGACCTAAAAATCTACCCATTTTGTCATGAAGTTTTTTCGATGGTTCGTAAGATTCCTCCGTGAGAAGCTTCGTTAAGTCATTTTGGTTTTCCTCCTCAATTTCACCTTCAGAATTCATTCTTGATCAACTGCTCAATGTTAAATTCAAAATTGAAAATATTTTAGATGCGCAGGACTTAGCGAAGTATATAACTTTTTGTAGATTGTCGTAAATTGTTATCGTCTTACCATTCGAGATCAACCTGATTTCTGGATATGATATTATTCTACCGATTTATCTTCATGCAGTCATTTAAGAGGCTACGTTAATGAAACTAGAAGTGGGATCGACGCTTTCTAATAGACATAAAATGCCTTTCGAATTGAGAAAATCGACCAAATCTTTTAAACTCTACTTACTGCGATGTCTTTCTTGTTGACAACAATCGCAGCAGGATACAGTTTATTAAAGATTTACATTATAATATAGATACAGACGAGGATATTTTTCGCTGACGTAAGCTTTAAGTGAAGGCAATGGATGGAAAATTAAGGAAATTGATGCCGAGGAAACGAAGAAATCACAGATGAATCAATAGAACACTCTTCAATATTGTCTTCTAATTTCAATTGGAAATTGTAAATGAAAATTGTTATTGGATCCAAAGATTTATAATCAAAGTTTCAAAGGTGTTTCGATTGTTTCTAAAATTCTAGTCAAGATAAATTGCTAAATTCTACCTACGTGTATTGAATGCATGATTATGTATTTATGATATTATACGATAGTCGACAAAAAGTGTTGAAATCGCTAGTCATAGAAGCTCAGTGACAACAAAATTATGCGGCATAATTACAATGCTTACATTTTCGCAGTTTAAATTATATCTCACCAATCGTTAAACAGTTGGAAATTGTAAATATTTCATGAAGATGACTATTATTTCTATCGTGATTGATAAGTATTTGAAACTCACCTCTATCGGTTGATACTCTGTCCCTCGTCAATTCTTACGAACTCTGTCGCATTTTCAATGTTTATACTGTATTGGTTCGTCGTTATTTGACGCCTTATTGAATATAATTCTTTCGATGAATGTCTCTAAAGAGCAATTGTTAAAGTGTTCGCATTATTACGAGGACGAATAAAAAATAGCGAAAAATATGAAAGAAGTGAATGTGGTTTGTGGATTCTAACAATTACAATATATGGAAATGTAATTATGCAAAAACGATCACAAGTACTTGAATAAATTTGTATTTTTAATTATAAATGAAGATCTGGAGACAATTTCAATAATTAGTTAGTTTATTTTAATTTTCAACTTTAAAATTAACCTTACGAGAAAACGTTTTCCTTTAAGTTTGAAAGATATGTTTGATTTGAATAAGATACTTGATTGTAAAGATCATCGATAAGCCATTGATTCGTATGTCTTTTGTGTTCGGGAATTGGGATTAAGGAGTTGGTTGACCTTAACATAAAAATATAGCAACAGCATGACATTATCCAATCCAATCATCTTTTTGTATAGTGTAACATGAGTAATATCATCCAGGAAGATATCAGTATGTCTGTGAGTGCCTTTGGTGCAAATTAAAACATTTTACGACAACATGAATTTTGTCCGAGCTCGTTAACTAATGAAATGCTGAAATTGCCCTAAACGCATCCTTATTTGTTACATGAACTAATAATTGTGCAAAATTTACCGCTGATATTTGAAAGACGAAAGATGTTGGATGAAAAAGATATTTGCCTTGTGGAAGTACGTCTAAATTTACGTGAACTTTTTTCTGCCTTGTGGAAGTACGTCAAAAGATGCTCTCGAATCCCGAGTGTTGCGCGTGAAATGTTGACATTACGTAAAATTCTACATTGTCTACTTTTAATACTAAATTAGAATGATATATTTCTCGATTTTGATGTTTAAACTGGAATGTTTTGAAATCGTGGAAGTCGATATATCACTGTGTTATCGAAAGAAAGTTGAACGAATTTAAATAAGACTTGAGATGGTGGAATTTCAAACAAGATTTCAGGAAGTCGGCCATAGTTGTGGTGTAATACTTCTTCGTTTGAAACCTTGGTTTCGATATGCCTTTTATTTATCAATGATTATGTATCAATGCTATGACTGTGTGAGCGATATAATGAACTTAAGCAATTATTACTCTAGCAAATCATTAGATGTCAGCAATCGAAACGATCGAGTTTTCCATGTCTTTCTTGTCAGCGTTATAGTAAGCTGTGTTTGCGCAGTCGCAAGTTTTTTCGGTTATGTCGTCTTGATCGTTGGGTATTCTAAAGAAATCTACAAGCACGAGCGATACAGGAATGACACTTTTAAAAACGGAAAGCTTATCATATTTATCAGTTTGTTTTGTCAAGTGATTTTCGAGGAGACAATTCAATCAGTTGTGATTTTCTATTATATTATTCGATGTTCCGTCGTTTTCAGTTTCTGGAAAACAAGCTTGTTATTATGTACTCTAGTTAGTTTGGTCATAGCTGGCTCTACGTTCATGAAATCAGCGTACATGTGGTTCAAGAAAGAGGAGAGTTTACCAAGAAAATACCCATCATGCCTTGCACCTTGTTATAGCTTGTATGCATCACATGTCAGCTGCATGGTCTTGTGCATCTTTAGTGGCCTTTTGGCTTTTGGGCTTTTTATTTTGAACGCTATATCCGTTGCTGATGTTATCAAGTATTCTGAAGTGGATGTACCGCATCTTCTTGCAAATAACCAATATGGCAACCATACACCATTGTTTGTGATATCAATAAGAAAACTGGTTGTTTCGCCTGATGAAGATATCATTCAAAGGTTGCCGTGCACTCGGTCGAAAGCAAAACCTAGTCATTTTCTTGATGACAAGAATTCCTTGAATTGCACCACTGCAATTTTGAGTCTTTCTTTTGCAAAACCAATAAAGAAAGTCAGCTACCAACTGTCCTATTGTTTCCAAAATGACAGCAATTGCATGTCGGTAAAGGCAACAAATATTTCTTTGCACTACAGTCATGATCTTTGCTCCTTGGATCTGCCTATCTTTAAGTACATTGGTGACCCTAAACATTCCGTTCAAACAACACTAACTGGTAAACCATCACAAAAACCAACCAACAGCAGTGAAACTTGATAAGGCCCGGTTCAAACGCTGAATTTACATGTGCCGAATGCATTATAAACAAAAGATAATGAGATGAAATTCCTCATTACCTTTTGTTTTAAATGCATTCGGCTCATGTATACTTCGACGTTTAAACTTGGCCTAACTCTATATTTTCATCATAGAATTAATGTAATTGCTATCAACATCCATTGCATTTCAATATGTGAAATGGCTTCGTTAAAACTTCGAAAACTATCGTAAGAATATTCACATTGTGTTTGATTCTGTATTTATAACATATTTAAAGGAATCCTTTCATTTAACAATTAAAGTATGAAAAAATTCTCTCGGTCATTTAATTATTTGGTCATAAACCCTTGGTACTTTGACATTCTATAGTTCGTGCGTATAATTACACCTCACAAGACATTTTTTGTTTCGCAACGGTTATCATTATTCAAGTTTTATGCACGATTATTAACTTTCAGTGTTGTGCTAAATTTTTTTTTACTTTCTACGTCATCTGTTCAACGTTGGTGGTCTTAAAACATAGGTCGACGCGATTTTTTAAGACACAAGAAAGTGGAACTTTGGCACATGTTGTCTGAGCCATTTTCGTTTAGCGAAGTATGGTCAAAGAAAGTTATTCATACCAAAGTACGGTCAAAGAAAGTTATTCATACCAAAGTATGGTCAAAGAAAATTATTCACACCAAAGTATGGTCAAAGAAAGTTATTCATACCAAAGTATGGTCAAAGAAAATTATTCATACCAAAGTATGGTCAAAGAAAATTATTCATACCAAAGTATGGTCAAAGAAAGTTATTCACACCAAAGTATGGTCAAAGAAAGTTATTCATACCAAAGTATGGTCAAAGAAAGTTATTCATACCAAAGTATGGTCAAAGAAAATTATTCATACCAAAGTATGGTCAAAGAAAATTATTTATACCAAAGTATGGCAAAGAAAATTATTCTTACCAAACAGCCTTGAGCAGGTCGTCAATATCTTACACTCAGTGCATTTTAATTAATGCATCTTTTAGTGACCAACTACATAACATTTATTAGATAAAAAAAACCCCAGCAATTTGTCTGGATAAATGCTATTGGTAATTCGCTATTACTTTTATTGACGAAATACGAGATCTCCATTTTTTACTTTGTTCTCTCCTACCCATCCCTCCTCAGGTGTTCGAATATTTTAAAAAGCAGTAAATTCATACTGTCAACTGTATAAGTTACTATCTATGTACATTCTGATCGCCACATACGATTTAACGCCTTTCTGTAAATCTGTATACTTCCCCCCAGACGATTTTATGGAACAAAACATTGTTTATCTGAAGGATGCTGAAGGTACAAATCATCTCGAACTATATCCACCTGTTGACACTCCTCCCAAAATTTATACATCGCTTTCCATTGATTTTAATGCACGTGGATTTGATGACGGTTCAAAGTCCGTTTTTAGTAGCTCAGACTGTTCTCCGTCGACAACTGAAATACCATCTGAAAGAAGTTCGGATTCGATAAGTCCACTATCACTGCTTGTACGTTTCAGCGCTCTTTCATTATCACAGTCTTTCTCTAACAGTTCTTCCTCTTCGTCGATATCATTTTCTTCGCTTGTGAATACGTTATTACCGATGGCCGTGGGGACTGAACTCAAGCCATGGTTAGGTTCGGATTCAGATAAAGTCCTTGGAGTCATTGGGCTATGCATTGGTAGTTCAACATCAACGTACTCCTGAAAAATGATAATTATTACATTGAAAATGATTAAGTTCTACAGATTTTGTCAGGTAATGTTAAGATCCTGTAAGGCAAAGATTCCGTACGTATGGTTAAAATCCCGTGAAGTTATGGGATCCAGTGAGGTAAAGATCTTGTATATTAAACATCCTTAAAGGCGAAGTGTGTGAAGAAAAAGTCCTGCTAGACCAAAATGCCATGATACAAAGATCTTGCAACGCAAAGGCCAATGCCACGTAAATTCACTCATTTATTTTTACACTTGATAGTGAATCACAAATTCAATCCATTTAAAGGGTGCCTTGTATAATTGAAATTGCATAAGAAAATGAAGCACATACATCGGTTGTCATGTTGACCAATTCGTCGTTCAACTCTTTCACAATGTCTGAAAAATGAGGTCGTGATGCTGGTTCTTCTTGCCAACATCGTAGAAGGAGGTCATACCTATATGAGAGTTAGTCAATGAAGCCTAGTCAAATATTTAATGAATATTTTGGTGCTCTGTCCAGAAGATGATACTGAATTCACATAAACATTCAAAGAACAACGTTTGAACTGACCGCATATTTTACTTACAGTTCAGGTGGACAATTGGGTGGTCTTTCCATGCGATACCCGGATTTCAGAAGTTCGAAAAGTTTCTCCAACGGTACACTGGGGTATGGCGTTCCACCTGGGAATCCAAGGCAATTTAAAAAATCATGTTCATACACGAATTTCAAAAGCTTCGGATGCGCTCGACTTTAATAAAAATGAAATGGGATGAAGCCAAAAGAACTAAGTCCTTGAGAATTATTAGAGAGATTTAGCAAACACGACGTATCGTCTAAGACGCCGTGAAAATGGCGTAAATATGGCGTGGACCCAACTATCTATGGGAATATCACGCCATTTTTACGCCATTTTCACGACGTCTTAGACGATACGTCGTGTTTGCTAAATCTCACTATTTACTCACCGAACGTAAATATTTCCCAAGCCAGAACACCAAAGGCCCATCTATATCAAGTGAAATATTCATGTTTTATTTCGAGAGTAATGTTTACAATCGACTTGTTGATTCACTTAATCTCAATTAGATTTTTTGGTCAGTCTGTATCGAAGAAGAACAGACTGACCAAAAAATCTAACCAAATCGTTGTTTGCAGGAACGACAGCGAATGAAACTATTTGTTCAGCAGGAATGAATGAAAAAGTATAATCCTTATCGTACAAAGTGACATCGTGCTTATAAATGAATTGTCTTTAAAGTTCGTCTTTGAAACACTTACACGTCACTTTGTATAGTATAAACACGGTCAAACAACGCTTCCAATGCCATCCATTTTACTGGCAAGCGACCCTGTAACGATATTAAATAAGAAAATATTTCGTAATTATTCTTCATCATCTACATGGTGAAGTTCTAGAAGATCTAAATCTTTGAAGAGATTCGACAAGATGCGAAATAGTTAGGGTTATGTTAACTTATAGTTTTACAGACAACGTGTGAAAAGCGCGAAAAACTTACATCTGTTGTCTTTCTGTAATAGTCTATTTTATGGATGTCTCTTGCCAAACCAAAGTCTGCAATCTTCATCACTTTTTCATCCCAAACTAGTACATTTCGCGCGGCCAGATCACGATGAATGCACTGTTGAAGAGAGTAATTAGTTATCTTAACTGCGATGCATTCATTTGAATTGACTTTCAACTCAAGTTACATAAAGTAAGCTTAAATTCAAATGAGTTTGGGAGCACTGTTTGGTAGAGCTGCGCTTTAACTTCGCACCCAGGCTCTTTCTATTCGTCGTGGGCATACCTTCATCGAAGCTAAGTATTCCATACCCCTGGCCACTTGATAACTGAACGATATAAAATCTCTCAGTGACAGTATTTCGTCTATCAGTGGGCCAGCGACAACGCCTGGTCGTTGGGGTCGGCGATCACGTAAATACTCACGGAGATTTCCATGCGGTGCATACTCCACCACAACCAATGGTGGCCCTTGGTAAAGGAAGGGAAAATTCAGACATGTACGTTTGGTAATTGTAATACTTCTGAGCATGATTTTTAAGTGAAGATTTTTCAACTGAGGTAAAAGATTAGTGAGGTCGAAGTTTGATTAGGAAGTAAATGCCATGCCTTTCAAGCGCGATTTGATTTCGTTTCACGAGGACAACTCAATTGAGTAAGTATGAAAGCGCAGTTTTAAAAGTTGAGATTATTTCCACTCTGTTGAGCTTGTGGAGATAATTAATAAACTGCAAGGGTTACATTGTTAAAGTACGTAGCAAATGAAAGGTTAAAGGGGATGGTTATTTGATATATTTGTACCATTCTGAGTGCAGCATCCAATGAGATTGATGATATTTTTATGTCGGCCAATCTTCTTCATCACCTCTAACTCGGAAACTAAATCAGCAAACTCAACATCCGTTGCATCATCTGTAGGCAAGATCAAAGAAATTTATCGTGATGAGAGCTACGAACTTGTTCTGGCTGACTTACGAGATGCATCATACCTTTTAAAGTCTTTACTGCCACCGTCAGACGCATAGAACCCAGGCGAGGTACGTATGCCTCAGCTTTAAGTACCCGGCCAAAAGCTCCTTCCCCTATTGTTCCGAGGAGTCGAACATTTTCACGATTGATATCCCAGTCGTCGTCATATGGAATTTCGCTTGTCTGGAAAAAGAAAATGGAAGATGGTTTTAAGAAAATGGAAGATGTTTCGAAAGAAATGGAAGATGTTTCCTATGAAGAGGAAGCAGCAAAAAAATGCCATTTTTAGCGTGAAAGGTTTTGTAGATATCAAATTGCTTGAACATTATCTCGTTTTCATGCAAGTCAATAAATAACTGATGAGTCATGTCACGTGAACGTGGCAGTAACACGTGACATGGAATAATCGATGTTGATTATTACCTGTGACATATTTGAATGCAAGCGAAGACGTGTCTTACTCGGCCCAGCTTGATAACTTTGTATTGTGTTGGGGATGACCTCTTCAAGCGGATACCAATTGTTGTCAAAGCTCAACTTGCTCGTGCGTTTATGTCTGTAGCACATGGCTATCACGATCACCAGAAAAAGGATTGTTGCTCCTACGCTAATGCCGATGATCATGAGAATTTTAGTTGTCTTTGTTCGACGGGTAGTACTCGATGGAGTCACTTTCGGGTTGTGTGGAGCAGGTCTTTCTGGGACTGATAAAATGTGACGTTTTTCTTTAAATATAGTGTGATTTTCGTGCACGAGCCCTTACAACACCATTCCCCTTATCTTCAACGATAAGTTTGAAAATTTTTACCTTCGGAAATCACAAACAACCAAAAATTCTCTTTTTTTGTTCCTATTTCGTTCCTTGCTGCGCACGCGTATTTCTGTGCATCGGAAAGAGAAACATTCTCAAAGGTCCATTTTACAGTATGCCATGTTAGAGTAGTTTCCTAAAAGAGAGATTACTTTATGAATTTCTTAATTTTTGTAACACTTTGCGATTTGTAACATTTTGAAACTAATACGACGACTTATGAACTTAACGATCACTCAAGGATAACCAAAAATGACACTACAACTGCTTTTGCGGGCTTTGTCAAGGTAGTTCAGCAATCAGTTCATTTATATAAACAGCATTGTTCTTATGTTTCTCCATAGTGGAATTACTTTCGTTCGCCCTTCATGTATTTTTCATACCCTCGTTTTGCCACTGTCTATCATTGTCACTCTTCCTCCAATTTTTACAACTTCTTCAGTCCCGTTTGGCAGTACGCGAAGAAGTTGGAATTCTGGTTTATCACGATTTACGGCTTTGCATTCAACAGCAATCGTGTCTCCAAGTACAACCGTGTGGTTTTTAATGTCTTGCATAACCGGTGAAGAACGGGTTTTCTCTGAAACAACACACAAGAATGCTCAAAAATTGATTTGTACTCGATAAACGGAACGTCTTCCCGTGTTTTTAGCAATGCGTTTTGTTAGGATAGTTCAATACTCTAGTGGAAATTGTGTCCATTAACGTTTATTGTAACTCAGTTCAATACTCTAGTGGAAATTGTGTCCATTAACGTTTATTGTAACTCAGTTCAATACTCTAGTGGAAATTGTGTCCATTAACGTTTATTGTAACTCAGTTCAATACTCTAGTGGAAAATGTGTCCATTAACGTTTATTGTAACTCAGTTCAATACTCTAGTGGAAATTGTGTCCATTAACGTTTATTGTAACTCAGTTCAATACTCTAGTGGAAAATGTGTCCATTAACGTTTATTGTAACTCTTTCTTATTTTGAACTAATACATGGATGACTGTTACGTAAGCTGACGTTCCATTTAAATGATTTGCTTATGGCATTTTAACGTAGCTTCAACTTCCTTTTGAAAAGCGCCCATTCTTATGCTGGCTAAATGTTCTTATTTTTTTCACAGTTCTAGAATTTTATATAACAATCCATATCTGCATGCTATGTAATTTATTTCATAACTTAGTCATGCGTTTGATATTCATGACTTGTTTCTACTGTTTGCCGATTTTACTTACTTTCAATGGTGACTGTAAAAATTCGTTGAATTGCACCTTTCCCGTTTGACACTATACACTTGTACTTGGCGTTTGTTTTGGAATCAGGAGATTTAACTCTGAGTGTCGATCCGTCATTATTGCTGTTCTTCAACTGTTCACTTCCTTTGTACCAAATTATAGTTGGCTTTGGATAACCACCTGCCGTGCAGTCAAGTACAGGCGCTCTCTTGTCTTTTCTTTTGTAAGTTATGACCAAAGATACGTTTTTCGTGAAATATGGCTCTGGTGGTTGGAAACGTGCGTACTTAAAATAATTGCATCATTAACATAAAACCAACCAACTGTATACACAAGTTGTTTCTTATTGATGTTTGTTTTAAATTAATTGCATCATTAACATAAAACCAACCAACTGTATACACAAGTTGTTTCTAATTGATGTTTGTTTTAAATTAATTGCATCATTAACATAAAACCAACCAACTGTATACACAAGTTGTTTCTAATTGATGTTTGTTTTAAATTAATTGTATCATTAACATAAAATCAACTGGACGCAAATTGTTTTTGATTGCTTGTAATAAATGTTAAAGTTTTTCACCACGACAAAATCCTTATTTTTTAACTTACAAGCCACGTTCGCCAAGGTTCAATAATATGTCAAATAAATGGCGACATGTGCATATAGAAATTTGGTAATTTAGTATGGAAAATAGGCTTACTTTTATAAACACGAGAGTCGTTGACATGATCTATATAAATAAAAAATTGTATGGTTAGCTCATATAAGAGTGCGCACATAGCTTGCCACATAAGGCCCACCTTGCAGGATAATTGGAGGGGGATAATTTTCAAATATTCCTGTTTTGCTGTATTAAGTTTCTCTGAAATCAATTGTTTTCTGCTGTTTTTAAATATACATACATGAATAGTACCTCTCCCCTCCCCCCCTCAATAATATCGGGGTTGCTACGACACTGTTGCCACGTGCATAAGGCTGATAACATCATCTGTTTATGTATTTCAGGCGATGACCACATCAGAATTCCACACAACAACAGTTTACCAACATCTTTGTTTATGGATTTAAAATAAACGACAAAATTTTTTACGATAAACATGTTGCGACTTACATTAAGTCATCTTCAGTACGAGAGTGAGTTAAGTATTTACAATGCTTAATTTATAATAGATTCAGCATTGCAAATACTTAACTGAATTTATAATAGTTTCAGCATTGTAAATACTTAACTAAATTTATAATAGATTCAGTATTGTAAACACTTAACTAAATTTATAATAGATTCAGTATTGTAAACACTTAACTAAATTTATAATAGATTCAGTATTGTAAACACTTAACTCATTCTCATACCACGAAGATGACTTAATGTAAGTCGAAACCTGTGTATCGTAAAAAATTTTGTCGTTTATTTTAAATATCTGGTGCTTCTAAGATCATGCAGAAATACCTTTGTTTACATTCAAATGGTGAAAAAGATACCTGAGTAAACTGTTAGGTTTATGATTTTTTCCACGTGACCGTCGTCATTTGTCGCTTCACAACGATATTGTCCTTGATCCTGGAATCGGACGTTTTTGATTTTCAGATATTTAAATGGCTTAATTCTATATTTGCGTCCACTTTTGATTGGTACGTCATTTTTGAACCACTTGTAGTCCGCTGACGTCGCCTCAATTGAGCATCGCAGGCGTTCTTCTTTACTTCCGTTCTTTACTTTTTTGTTTTCTGGACTTCCGTTACCTGCTGTGAACTTCGGAGCTTCGGCTACAAGAAAATGAGATGATTAGCTCATGTCGTCGCCCTGTAAACTCTTTTTTTTTATTTTGGTTATTATATACATGTGATTTGGGAGATGTACCTAGCTATGAAATCTGAAAGATACAATTATGTGATTTGGAACATACAATTATGTGATTTGGAACATATAATCATGTAATTTGGACGGTATGATGAGACATCTGGAAGATGTAACAAGATGAAACCAGAGAAGGGATTCGGTTTTCGTTTCCCAAAAAGACAGCATTTCCTGAAGTGATATCTGGCAAAGTGTTGTTGTTGTAGCTATAGCTTTGAGATTGGAATTTGGCTTGAAAAGGCTTTGCTTTTTAAATATAAAAAACCTCTAAACATAAAAACATTCGCTTTTTCACCTTAATTCACACCTCACACCATGGCTCATGATGGTCATTTCGTCAATGTCAAAAGTCCGTTGATCAAATGTGAATTTCGACAATCCTCTTTTTGTCAAAAGTTCAATTTCTTAAGAAGTTTTTGTTTACCAAATCTTATTGCCATCTTGCAAGTGATGTGTATCATATGAAAGCTCTTGAAGTATCAGACGGTCATGTCATTAGAAATTCCTGCAATTTCAGCTATGCAAAGTCCACTTTTATAAATTGAAGATTTTAACCTGGTTCTGTTGATGACGATTGAAGTCAATCGAAAAGCATAAAATTTATTAAAGAAATTAAATTATTTGCTGGTTGAGATTTCATACGTGAGATGAGACAGCCGATGTACCACAAGTTTCGTATCAGGACCTGATATAAGGTTTTAAGAGCTGTCTGATAACAATAATTCTAATCCTTCCTCACACAGCTTCGCATGCATATTTTCGTCTCGACATTAAGGGATTAGCATTGGAATCAAATGACGACCATATTGTTTTGAAATTAAAAAAAAATTTCGCGTTTTTATCAACGTTTCTCTTAGCCATTAAGTCGAGATAAAGTTCTTAGAACAAACATTCATTCATTTTAGCATTGTTATCTCACAGATTTGTAGCCATAATATAGATTTTTGCTCCATAATAGTTAACAATAGTTTTTTTACTCAACCGGTGTTTTGCTGACTATATCCAGGTTATAACCTGCAATACATAGATAAACGAAGTGATTACCGAGAATTGTGCATGGGAATGTCTGTTGCCTATAATGTTGATGTTTTTATGTTTCGTATGACGTCTACGTTTTGTATCATGCTGATAAATTGATCGTGTAGCGAACAAAGCCAGATGGATGCAATAACTGCAATATTTATAGTGCTGTTTTTCTTTTGAAATTGTGATTTGTTGCCAAAAACTCTTTTAATCGTTGGAAAGAACAAAAATGCTTGAATCATAAAAATTAGTCAACTGCATTGTGGGTAAATATGCATTCACTTATATGATAATTGTATATAATCAACTGCATTGTGGGTGAATATAGATTCATTGACTATCGACAAATCACCTTATATATGAGATTTTATGTCTGTTAACATCACGTGAACACAAGTATGTGTCCTAAGACAATCAACATGCTTTTCCCATACAATTTGACTTTTGCGTCGTTTGCTATGTAAAATTTCAAACATCGTCATTTACTGCTTGTTATGACAACGGATATTTTGCTTCTTAAAAGTCTTTAGGCAATACTTTTCTTTACGTCGTTTTCCTTTCATCACTACGTCTGCATAAATGCAGGATTATCTTCAAATAATTGTAGAAAGCAGTGTAATTGGATTTTGATCCAAACTGAATTTTTCATAAAAGGATGTTCGAAAAATGTATTTAGGACAAATGTAAATAGGAAATGAGCAAACTTTTTCATCTGCAACAGCAATGCAACAACGACACTATAATGCATTGGGTTTGCCATTGGCAGTTGGGTATTGTAACATTGACTTTATAATGCAGGAGTACTACTCTTCCTGCTCAATCAACATGCCGTTATGTAAATTTTAAAGTACATCTTTCAATCGAGCTTGTTGTTTCATAGCCATAAATAGAACTTGTTTCTACATCTTTTATAAAACCCAAATACGTAGAATTACAATACAGATGGAGGGCCTTGCTGGGAATAATATTTCGTTTGAGGAGGTACTTAGTATCACATAATTATATAATTATAATTTACTTTCAAAAAACTTGTTGAATGTAACTGCAATTAGCAAAATAAAAGTTTTCCTATTCTGCTAATTCTTCAAACCCAATAGTGTTTTCTTCAATTGTTTAAAAGAAATGTGCTCACAATTAGTTTATAGTATTGTTCATTCTTCTTTGGTAGATACAAAGTTCCCGGCCCGGCAGGGTTTTGTCTCGAAACCGCTATAGTATCTTATTTATGTTGATATTTTCAAACGAGCATAAAAATTTAACCAACCTGAACAAGCACACCATAATGCAACGAGAGTGAGTAGCGTACAGGTATGGCGTTCGACTTTTAAAACGGAAACCGCATCTTAGCAAGTTGATTGACTCAATTCAAAGATAATTGAAACGATATACGTAATATACGGCGTGTTCATATGTCCACAGGCGTTTTTGATCATCTGTTGGCGTCTTCCAGCACTATATTAAAATGAATAACATATGTTCAGAGATACATTTTACAACCTTGTTATATGTTTCATCAATAACACGACATTTGAGGTATTAATTACGGCCACGGCGATAAATGCATAACTTCTCGCAAGTGTCTCTTTGAAATTGTATCCATATTGTTATTTTTGAAACACTTAAAACGAAGCGTTTACCCATACGTAGGTATTGTTCCATATTTCTCATGCAACATCTGTCCGCATGGTTCGTTCTTTTAACTTGTTCACAGTAAAACTGACGAGTGAACATTAATAAGTCATTTTCCGAAGTAAACACAAGTTTAGCAGGCGGTCTCTATTCTTTTACGCGCGATATTGACGACATGTTACCAGGCATTCCTTAAGACAAGTAGCCACTGAAAATGGTCATGTGTGCGTCTTGTATACAAGTACATAGATATATAACTAATACTTACAGTTACCCTTCCTTGCGGTGGTTATCGATAGAGGCCGAACTTTATCATGTCAAATTATCACCATGCTTTGATATTGTCATAATTTTCGTCGCTATTTTATCGTTTTTGTTCATTTAAGTTCAAGGTTATATGATACGCTGAATAATACCAATCAAGGATTAATTGCTTAGTCGTCTTATTTTTAGTGGCTGCGTAGACAAAAGACTTTTTTGTGATTTCCTGTGTCTTTGTTTCAGCCAATCGTTGCTTGACGGACACACGCTGTGTCGATCTTTCGAAAAAAAATTCTTTTATCTTTCGAATTATTGCTGCAGAGGCATTTTTGTCGAAAGCTCATGAATTTACGGTTGTGTTTGGTGGCGTTGGGTGGCGCAGAGTGGTTCGAGTCATTGCACTGAATAAACAAATGGATAATGAAAGGGTACCTTAGTGTAAACATGCTTCTACTTTTAAATTTGCCTTCTCAGTAGACACGCGTATCTCAAGACCTATATTTTACATTTTACTTTACTCTCGTAATGATCTCTTTTTTGACTGTGCGTGGAAACTGGAGCTGGTTAAAAATTTACTTGTAAATACTGCCATTTTCTTTGTAAAAAGTTACATTACTAAAAGGAAACATATAGTCCGAAGAAAAATTTTCATCTTGAACTCAATAATAGCGAGAATACAGACAAGACAATTTCTTGCAATCTTACTGCAAATTACGATATAGATCGATCCTGTGCAGCTGTGCTACAAGAAAATCTTCTACTCTTAAAATTATTGAAGCCTTAAACATCATCAAACTGTACTTAAAAAGCAAGGTCACCTCAATAATAGCGAGAATACAGACAAGACAATTTCTTGCAATCTTACTGCAAATTGCGATATAGATCGATCCTGTGCAGCTGTGCTACAAGAAAATATTCTACTCTTAAAATTATCGAAGCCTTAAACATCATCAAACTGTATTTAAAAAGCAAGTTCACCTCGTCAATACTATTTTTGTAGCAAACATATTTTATATTCAACTAAAGTTTTTGTCATTCTTTATCCTAATTTTTATGCCAATAATTCGTCCGAGTTTTTTCATGCGACGTTAAATGGTTGTATAACTCCAGGTGCGAATTTCGAACTCATTTACTCCTAAGTAATCGAGTAAGATGTTGTAATGATTGTTTTTCTCAGAGAGAGGATTTTGTTTCAGCTGTTCTAACGCTCTAGATGAGTGTATTTTCCTTGCTCAAAGATAATTCAAAATCATTTTGAAACATTCTGGATAACTCCCCCCTCTCCTCTCCCTCCAGGAGTACTGCTCTTAGCTTGCCTATTGCATGTTTCTTTTCTCAATGAAGAAGTCTTCTATTTGCCATAAGTTTGCTAGCATTCTAACTGTCGTTTAGTGCCCCCCTAGTGTTTCTTTTTCTTCCCTCTCTCACATTTCACTACTTTTGTAATTCGAATCAGGTGTTCATCGACGTGTTGAAACTTAACTGCAGTGTTTAGTTAAAAAAAAAGTAAAAGCTCTGAAATTTTGTTGAAGGTGTTCTGGGTTGGAAAAAAATGGTATCATATTGCCGAATTCTCTAATCCTCTTGGTTTATTTGACGTAGGGCTTAGTAATGTAAGTCAGTTCATTTCTTGATTAAATTTGTGAAAGTGTGAACGTTACAAGCCTGTACAATTAGACATCCGATCTAGACGGCAAAGGAGGTTAAGACTTACTTTGTCAATTACCTATAAACTTGAACTCGAATATGACTTTGAAAAGTTATAAACGTTTTTGTAGCCGCCAAATTTTATTGCAAAGAGATAAAAGAATACTAATGATTTTCTACTTTTTTCATTACAGTTAACGCAAACAGTACTTAAATCAAAATTAACGTCATTTAATTAAAACTTTCGTCTTTTTTCTTCGTGAAACTTGACCCCTTCATTCAGGGGCGGATACAGGATTTCATCGAGGGAGAGGGAAAGGTGCATTATATGGAAATGTGCAATAAAATTTAGTTTTCATGAACCCTCTTCTTGTATGGTTGTAGAGTTGTGCAAATTTCGTGAATGAAGTGACCAACATACAACGTGTTCCTTTCTCAATTTTTAGTGTTTTATTTTCGATATCGCTCTTTTCAGAATTCAAATGAGGGACATAAGAAATTTTTAGGTGGCACGTTCACCCCAGCTACCCTCCATAAGGAGGCTTCCGGCGACTTCTACGAGGACGTGTGTTGAACTCGTCTCCAAACCCCCTTTCAATACCGTCCCACTCAATTATCTTCTCCTATAGAGGGAGTAGAAGAAAGATGGTTAGTTTAGGCCGTTTTTTGGTCTGTGTGTGATATTTTAGCATGCAGAATACTTAAATCTTTCAAGGAGAAATTGGCAATTTGGATATGGTCTGATTCAAATCTACTTGTATGTCTAGGCATATTGTGGATGTTTTCGCCGTACTGGCGTTCAAGAAATCTGTTAAAAGTTTTTATCAAGCACTCGATTTATATAAATAGTAAATATATTTTTTGATTCATTTGCAATGTTTGTCACTTACGCGATCTCGGGTGACTTTCACGTGTGTAGGTCTTACAGGTCTTACACTTTGACAAGGTAGACAACTCTCAACACAAAATTACCGAACGTCAACTCAAACATTTTCACAAAACTGTAAATATCTCATAAATAAATAGAAAAACACAAAAAACAAAACATCTAATTAACAACGAATAATTTTACTATACCTTTGAAGGTTTTTAACATTAAAATGTATTTCTATGCACATGAAAAAAGCGAATGTTTTTAGGGTTTGTGGCAAATATTTTTTAAAACCTACGCTGGGGGACACTCATCTAAATATTCGTCATATTTTTCAATGCTCAAAAGCATCTCAGATTGGCTGAATTTATGTGAAAACAATTGAAAAAACTATAGTGACGCGCATTTTTATATTGTCCTTGATGATACTGGTCAACGCCAGTATCATTAAGATTGTTGTGCATTAATTACGAGTTACGTTGAATAGCAACATGACTTTGAATAAATTTTAAATCTATATTAAGCTGTTAATAATGGCTATAATCATTGTAGCATACCTTCTTTCCGATCGTTTTAGTAAATTCGTTTTCTAATCCTAAATAATTAATTAAGATCCAGTAATCATTATTTTTCTCTTGAGGAGGACTGGGTATTATCGCTTGGCGTTCACATGATTGCATTTTCTTCGCACGAAGATAATTTAAAATAAACTTGAAGCATTCAGGATCGTAATCCAAAAATACGTTTCCATCTTTATCTTTGGTCAAACGATCTTCCCATCTGCCGCTGAACATTGATGCAAGTAGAGAATTGTCAATTTGACACAATGTTGATCTCAGACACGTCATTGATTCGCCTCCGACATTCAAGGAAATAACATCGTCACTTTTGCTGTCGATTTGCATCATCTTGGTTTTCTCGTCTGTCAAACGTTTTTCTCGAGACTCCAGATCTTGACGTTGAGATTCTATACGTTGAAATTCATTTCGCAAGGCTGAGTTGAAATCTGTGAATCGTTGTTCAACATTTGCCATTTTGACAAATCGCACCTTCTGAATCAATGATATGTATATTACACTGGATAACGCATCCATGTATAAAATATAGTAAGATAATTGAAGCCGGAAGTTGGCTTATCTGATTATGACCTTCGTGGGGGCTATCGGTCCCACTTTACTATACTTTTGTATTACAAAAGCACAGTTTTTGCATTTTTATTCGTTCTACAAACTTTTGATTCAAGCAAAGTTTGTCTTTTTGGCTTTATAATGGCAGAAAATTGAGATGGTACAAGGTCGACCTGCATTGTTTTTAAACAAACTGGAGTTTATATGATGCTGCTGCTTCTTAAAAAATGTAGAAATATTACAGAATCCTACTACTGCTACCAAAATTTCATCTGCAATGACGTTTATGGAAGATTGCTACAAATTTACTTATTTAACAACACTTTGTTATTCACATCGCTAATATCATAATAATTTCAAATTATGTCTTTATTATATCAGTGAAGAAACAAAACAAATCGACATAGAAATATAATCAGAAAGACATTTTTATGAGCGATTGTAAGTTAAAAACGGTATCATCAAACTCTACGAGATGTACATCATTAAAATATGCGAATTAAAGTACCTCTGTTGTCATTAAGCGAAGCAAAGTTTTCAACCAGTTCCTATGTGAACAACTTTAATATCGACGGATATGTTAAAGATATGAATACCTTTGTTCTTACTTTGTTGTAAAATTGTAATTTAAGTATTCATCTTTTAAAAATGCCTCGCACGGCTGAAATTGTCCTCGTCACCTTCAACTTTCAAATTTCAATACAACTTGCCATCTTATTTTTCAGTCGTTACAAAGTCAAAAAAACAGATCTTCAGGGTTAAAACTCTCTACCGGTTTTCCTCTACATGTCATGAAAATTTTGCCTTAATCAGAAGTTTGTAAAAGGAATAAAAACGCGAAAACTGTGATTTTGTAATACAAAAGTATAGTTAAGTGGGACCGATACCCCCCATGAAGCCTGTAGCAATTGATCGATCTTCCGGCTTCAATTTTCGCAAGAGATGCGTTATCCAGTCTAATATACATATCAGTGGTCTTTTCTCTTATAACCATTTTAAACATTTCAAACATTTCAAACGTCACATGATTTGCATTTAGCTGCTTTAGTTTAGTAAAGGCAGATTGTACACTGTTGTTCAGAGAAGGATTGTTGGTATTGACGAACGTTTCGAAAACTTTAGCGTCACGATTGTCGAAACGTCAGTTATCATCAACAACAACATTCCTTCTCAGAACTCCACAAACCTGGACGATCTACGTCTACAAACATGTAACGATATTTCCAGATTCAAACCATTCACTTACATGTCTTCAGTTTGTTGCCTTTGTGGAAAATGTTTTAACCAATGAAATAAATCAAAAACTTATTGCATGAAAAAAACCATGACCAGCCGACCATTTGAAGAAATATAGTATAAAGCAAATTCCGAAAAAACAAGACTTCTTGAGATTACAAAATATGCATCAAAACAAGACGAGAAGTGAACTGTAAAGTTTCGACTTTATATCAAAGGCATCCTTAGAATAAATGACTTGTTTTTTCGGAATTTGCTTTATACTTTATTGCATGTATCCCGTCACTTTCCTTATGTAAAATGTTCCTAGCTTTGATGCATTTTACTGCGTGTCAGTTATTTAACAGCAAACTGATCACTGTATCTTAGAGTCTTCAATTTTTAAAATTGACATTTTTATACTGTTGTTTGTATATAGTTACCAAATGCTTACAAGAGCGTTTTCTCACGTCAATCATTGAGTGAGACTGATTTCTGTAGGGCAAACAAATAATTTACTTCTTGATTTTCTATTGCGTGTTCCGGCCGATCGTTGCTTGAAGGATACATCCAGTGTCATGTTTGAATAAATTTTATTTTATTATTCAAATCGTTAACGTACAGAAATTTTTGTTTCAAGCTCACATGATGTCAACTTTGCTTGGGGCTAAGTAGTTGAGTTCATCACTTTACTATGCTTTTATGTTGATCACGTGGTCTTGCATAGAATTACCACCTCCTTTTTCTGCTTTTTTTTTCTGAATTCCGTTATTAAAATGAACGCCGCAGTATTGCTTACGTTTGAATACTCGTTGTACAAAAGAATGAGCACTACAGTTTTGTATGAGATCATCAGTTAATGTTGAACATAACAATCTTCTCCTTGGCCTTTTTCCAAATAAAAAATCCAAGCAGCAAGTGATGGAGACATTTCTACCATAATTACGCAATGTGATCCTTGCAATATACTTTTCAATTCAAAAATTGTCTTAAAAAGAGCAAAAAATACCGTGGTGAATGGTCAAATACTAACGAAATAGTTCTTAAAAGAACTGTTTAAGCCAGAACACTAAACCAACAATTCTAAGAAAGAACACAAAACAAATTCTAAAAACAGCTCTTAGCAGTCATTAGCAATCCTCTAATGACTAAACAATCATTAGTAGTCCTCTTGCAAGCAGAGAACCATCTAATTTACACTTTGTTGATTTTAGAGAGGTAGTTATTTTGCCTTTAATATTCAACAAAATTGCTAATTTTTATCATCTTAATTTTCTCTTCCATCAAACCTTTCTTTCAAGACTTGATGAGAATATTAACGACGCACTTTAAGCTGAAGGTGTTCTTATAAAATTCATTAGCCAAATTTCATGAAACTCTGTACGCTTAAACAACATTTGCCATATTTGAACTCTATGCGTATTTCAATTACTTTTTAGCTTTGTCATTTTAGTGAGCAAGCTATTTCAAAAGTGCTTAGTCGGTAACACGATTCTCGTCATAAAAAGGGTCACTATTTGCATCAATTTACTGTCAGATGAACCATTAGAAGTCCAACCACCTATTCCCACCAAAGGTTTTTGCACACCCAGCGCGCACTGGGGAATTAAGCGATGTTTTCCCTACTGTTCAGATTTCTTTGACACATTCTGTATAGGTAGAAGTTTTAGCTTGTTATAAAATTTATGCATTGTGTTTCCATAAGTAATTATTTGTAACCAAGTTGAAATGTCCCACGATCGTTACTATGGAAATTTGAAGTATATAAATGGATACATCAATAATTGGACTTCATTCCATTATCACTTAGTGTACGAAAAGTTATTCAGTGTCTAAGAAGAAACAAGTTCTACTGAATTATGAGTCGAACACCAAAAATAAATATCGAATGTCGTGGAATGGTGTGGGCATTTTTGCAAGAACGGTACTCTCAAAGCAAAATTGTTTACGAAGTAGGTTAGAAAGTGCTAAGAATGAGCTGTGGGATAATGTTCACAATGCTTGAAGGAAATTCTCACCTGATGAACTTAAAACCATCATAGACAGCTAGCATGGTTAGAGTAAGACCTACCAAACACCAACCATTAAAACTCGTATCTTTTTCGTTTAGTTAATCGTTTTTATAAATTGATTTTACACAATCTTAGCTATAATTTCCTCTAATGATAATTTTTGAGCATTTCTTTCTTACTGCCTGTGGAGCACGCTTCCTTGTATGGTTTTAGAGTTTTCGAATTTCGTGAATGAAGTGACTAGCATACCACATGTTCCTTTCTCAATTTTAAATGTTTTATTTTCGATATTGCTCTTTTCAGAATTCAAATGAGGATATAAGAAATTTTTAGGTGGCACGTTCACCCCAGCTACCAACCCCCCCCCTCCTCCCCCCACAACGACGCCCCCAGTGATTTTTTCCACGATAGTTTCATTCAGTCTGATAATGTGTGTTGAAATCGTCTTCAAACTCGTCTTCAATACTGTCTTTACCAAGCGTCTACAAGAAAGATGGTTAATTTAGGCTTTGCTCTGTGTGTGATATTTTAGTATGCAGAAAACTTAAATGGCAATTTGGATATGGTCTGATTCAAATGTAGTTGTATGTCTAGGCATATTGTGGATGTTTTCGTAGTACTGGCGTTCAATTAATCTTAAATCCATAATGAGCATAAGCGTCCAAGAAATCTGTTAAAAGTTTTTTTCGTGCAATCGATTTATGTAAATAGTAAATATATTCCTTAATTCATTTGCAATGTTTGTCACTTACGCGATCTCGCGTGACTTCCACGTATGTAGGTCTTATAGGTCTTATACTTTGACAAGGTAGACAACTCTCAACACAAAATTACCGAACGTCAACTCAAACATTTTCACAAAACTGTAAATATCTCATAAATAAATAGAAAAACACAAAAATATAAATATAAATATTTTTTTAAAACCTATGCTGGGGACACTCATCTAAATATTCGTCATATTTTTGCAATGCTCGAAAGCATCGCAGATTGACTGAATTTATGTGAAAACAATTGAAAAAATAATAATAACTATAATAATATTGATTATAGTGTATAGCATATAGTAGCATACCTTGATGTCTTACGCCTGGTTTTCTCAACCTAAATAATTGATTAAGATCCAAAAATCATTATGGGTAAGTGTAAATATATTTCCTTGGTTTGAGTGCACGATATAATAATTTATCATATTGATCACAAAAGTTTTATTATGAGTATGAATAATATGAAAATTGTATCAAATGTTGTTTAATCGAATTTAAAGATATAACATTAATTTTTATCCTAATATTTGTTACCAAGCACAAACAAGACTGAAAACAATTGAAAGTCTAGGGACGGTGCTAGAACGGTAATTGGATGGTTGTGTTTATTCATATATTCAGTTGTGTCCGACCAATTTCTTTATATATTTAAATGGTTTAAAAAAAACTCAGTAGGGCGTTACTGAACATATGAATATTACAACTCCCCCTTCAAATAACGTTCTGACGCATGTACTGAGCAAGTTCTGCCTTTTGCGTCTACTATTCTTCTTGTTCCAACAATTCTCATCTTTTTTTTTTCTTCAACTCTCTTTTGCATGCCCTTATTAGAAGAATACGTAAAATATTAAGATTGTTGTGCATTAATTACGAGTTACGTTGAAAAGCAACATCACTTTGAATAAGTTTTAAATCTATATTGAGCTGTTAATAATGGCTATAATCATTGTAGCATACCTTCTTTCTGATCGTTTCAGAAATTCGTTTTCTAATCCTAAATAATTAATTAAGATCCAGTAATCATTATTTTTCTCTTGAGGAGGACTGGGTATTATCGCTTGGCGTTCAGGTGATTGCATTTTCTTCGCACGAAGATAATTTAAAATAAACTTGAAACATTCAGGATCGTAATCCAAAAATACGTTTCCATCTTTATCTTTGGTCAAACGATCTTCCCATCTGCCGCTGAACATTGATGCAAGTAGAGAACCGTCAATTTGACACAATGTTGATCTCAGACACGTCATTGATTCGCCTCCGATATTCAAGGAAATAACATCGTCGCTTTTGTTGTCGATTTGCATCATCTTGGTTTTCTCGTCTGTCAAACGTTTTTCTCGAGACTCCAGATCTTGACGTTGAGATTCTATACGTTGAAATTCATTTTGTAAAGCTGAGTTGAAATCTGTGAATCGTTGTTCAAAGTTTGCCATTTTGACAAATCGCAGCTTCTGAATCACTGATTTGTATATTACACTGGATAACGCATCCATGTATAAAATATATTAAGATAATTGAAGCCGGAAGTTGGCTCATCTGATTATGACCTTCGTGGGGGGTAACGGTCACACTTTACTATACTTTTGTATTACAAAATCAAAGTTTTTGCGTTTTTATTCGTTCTACAAACTTTTGATTCGAGCAAAGTTTGTCTTTTTGGCTTTCTAATGGCAGAAAATTGAGATGGTACAAGGTCGACCTGCATTGTTTTGAAACAAACTGGAGATTATATGATGCTGCTGCTTCTTAAAAAATGTAGAAATATTACAGAATCCCACTACTGCTACCGAAATTTCATCTGCAATGACGTTTATGGAAGATTGCCACAAATTTACTTATTTAACAACCCTTTTTTATTCACATCGCTAATATCATAATTTTAAATTACGTCTTTATTATATCAGTGAAGAAACAAAACAAATTTATATAGAAAAATAATCAGAAAGACATTTTGATGAGCAATAGTAAGTTGAAAACGGTATCATCAAACTCTACGAGATGTACATCATTAAAATATGCGAATTAAAGTACCTCTTGTTATTAAGCGAAGCAAGGTTTTCAACCAGTTCCAATGTGAACAACTTCAATATCAATGAATGTGTTGAAGATATGAATACCTTTGTTCTTACTTTGTTGAAAATTTGTAATTTAAGTATTCATCTTTTAAAAATGCCTCTCACGGCTGAAATTGTCCTCGTCACCTTCAACTTTCAAATTTCAATACAACTTGCCATCTTATTTTTCAGTCGTTGCAAAGCCAAAAAAACAGAGCTTCAAGGTTAAAACTCTCTACCGGTTTTCCTCTACATGTCATAAATTTTTGCCTTAGTTAGAAGTTTGTAAAAGGAATAAAAACGCGAAAACTGTGATTTTGTAATACAAAAGTATAGTAAAGTGGGACCGATACCACCAATGAAGCCAGTAGCAAATGATCGATCTTCCGGCTTCAATTTTCGCAAGAGATGCGTTATCCAGTCTAATATACATATCAGTGCTCATAACGAAACGAAACAAAAACTTATGACGTTACTGTAACTCAATCCCATGAATGGCTGTGACTTATTAACCCACAAGAACCTTTTATCAAGGTTCCTGGCCAGTATTGAAGAAGTACAGCAGATCGCATACTCTCACCCCTTACTTATGGGCGGAATGCGTTCCATTGCGTTTTGTTATTCTCATCTTATGGTTTAAACATGTCTTATGGCTAGACATAATGTCTTACGGCTCATTCAGTTGCCGAAACGTTATTCAAAACGAATACCAATAGTCCTTCTCGGCATACTTCAGGGCTTAAACCATTCATTTTACAAGTCATCGATTTGTTGCCTTTTGAAAAATCTTTGAACCAGTGAAATAATTCAAAACGTTTTATGTTGCATGCAGTTACATGAAGTTCTGCCACTTAATACCTTTCCTCATCTAAATGTTCCTAGCTTTGATGATTTTTACTGCGTTTAAGACATTTTCACTGTATCTTAGAGTCTTTCACTTTTAAAGCTGGCATTTTTGGGTCGTCTTTGTTTATGGTTACCAACAGTGCGACCATATATTAATAATTTCCGTTGATCCGTGCGGAATGCTTCTCCCTGTTTTACATTTTGCAATTAATTAAAACAGATATTGCTGTCCAAGCTTACGAGATCGAATCTGGTAATAAAAATTACCAAGTCTGGTCACACTGGTTACCAAATACTTGCAACAGCGATAACCTCTTGGTTATCGAGTGAGGCCGAACTCTGGCTATATGGGAAAACTAGTATTTATTTTGAGATTTTCTATTATCTGTTACAGCTAATCTTTGCTTCAAGAGCACACACACCATTTCGATGTTTGAAGAAAATTTTATATAATCAATCCAATCATGAACGTACAGAAATTTTTGTTTGAAGATCACAATGATGTCGACTGTGCTTGAATTCTTTACTTTACTATGTTTTTATGTTGATCACGTGGTCTTGCAGTCAGTTTACCTCCTCCTTTTTCTGCTTTTCCTCTGAATTACGTTATTAGAAAAAACACCGCAGAAATTGTGAGATTAATGTTTACATTCAAATACTTGCTGCACAAAAGTATGAGCATTACAGTTTTGTATATCATCATCTGTTGATGTTGAACATGACAATCTTCTTCTTGACCTCTTTTGAAATAAAGAATCCAAACAACAAGAGATGTAGATTGTTGTACCATAATAAAGAATTGTGATCGATGCATTATACTTTTCACTTGGTTTTAAATATATATGATGCTGTTAATAAGAATAGTAATTGTATTCATTCATGCTTTGAGAAAATTAATTTTTTATTTCTAAGTAATCGATTAGGATCCAGTTATCTTTAATTCGACTCATGTGGAGGTGCTATCGCTTAGGGTGCAGTTTTACTCCTCTCGCACAATTCAAAATAAACTTGAAGCAATTTGGATCAAAAATCAAAAAATACGTTTCCATCTTTCAACAATCTTTTCACCTTTCGTAGAACAATGATGCCTGCAGAAAACCGTCAATAAAATTGGCACAATGTTGATCTCTAACACGTCGTTAATTTGCTTCCGTAAGTCGAACATTCAAGGAAGTGACCTCTTCTAACCTGTACCGCCTTCCTTTCATCTTTTGCCAAATTACTTTTTCTAAGCTTCAGATCTTGGCGTGAGTATTCAAAAACGTGCGTCGATTTATAATTTGTGACTTCATTTTGAACGTTTGCCATCACGATGAGTCACAGCATCGAAATAACGAAGCAAAAATCAAACTAATGTCGTCACTATTTTCTTTTTCATAATAAAACAAAAGCATGTGAGCCTCACGTGACATAGTGTACATCTACATTTATGCAATAACCCACGAATGGCTTTAGATTTTATATTGAACGTCCTGCTATGCTAAATTAAAGAGAGCTTTATGCAGTTCATCCTTGGTAGTTAAGTTGGTTAGAGGTGAGGAAAGTTTAAATGTTGTATCACTGTTGTTTCTGTGTTAAACGTCATTCCACAAAATGATAAATAGAGGTTTAATAAACACAACAACGCTTCGATTCTTTGGGTGCATGGGTCCGAAAGAAAAAGGCGCGCAGCACAGGATCTTTCATTACTAAGAACTCGAGATGCTTGTTTTTTACTTTATTTTGTTTTAGCGTTCTGTTTGTTTAAATTTGCACAATGTAAAGATATTGAATTAATTATGTCACCATGCATGTCACAAAAACTGCTTACTTATAAATTTCTTCATCTAAATGTAATGGTTTTAATGCGATGGCCTAGAATATTCATTCTGTGAATTTTGATATCATTCCACAATTTCAATGAGTTTTCATAAAGCGCAGGATTTTACACACTAAGCTGTTTAAGCTCGTTTAATGAGATGATCAATTCCTTGATTATTTTCATCTGATTGTTCAACTTGTTGGTTTTGATTTTTTATTATATTGAATTTGACGCTCTATAAGTGAAATGCCAAATTCCATGCAGGCTCATTTCTGCGTAAATGAATTGGATACAAAGTTAGCTGTGGTAAAGTCCTCAAATGAAATCATGCTGTTCCACATGCTGTCATTTTCATTGGTGGATAACCATGAGTGTTTATGGATACCTAGTGAAGTCCCTTCTTGATGTATTTCTTATTTAAAAAGTCGTGATCCAATAAAGATTTCTTTTGAATGTAAGAAATGTAAAAAGATTCTGGCTTAATGCTCTCTACTCAGTGATGTTTGTGATGCACGAAATGTCACGCAATGATTTGATAAAAAAAGTTCTTAAAGTACCGACGGTTAAAATTTCACACGAATTCGACATTCCAAGGCCTGAGAACGTGATCCCCCGTGATGACGTCCACCTCCGCATTTTAAGATGATTAGATAAGAACATAATCTTAACTTCTCTCCGTTGCTACGGCTGGAGAAGTAATAACAGCTGATTCATCCTTTAATCGACACTTGATTTCGCTCTTATCTGACGTGAAACGATGCAAATGTGATCACGCGTAACGCGCATGCCTATTGAAACGATAAGACGATGAGATGTCTACTTCGGCGTTTAAAACTTTCATCATTTATTTGTGAAAGAAAACTGATACGATTTGCCTTTAGGTGAAAAGATGTTTTCGCTCATCGGTTCTTTTGAGTAATTGAGTTTACTCTTCTTCCTTATTGAAGAAGGTTTAGGAGCTTGAGTGTTTTCTCTGCAAACCCCAGCCGGATAGTTGCTCTCCATGCATCCGGCTGGGGTTTGTTGACCGCTTCTAATTCTTGGGGGCCATATTTTCGCTATTTATTGCTGTAGTTGTATGCATAAACAGTGGCATGTGTGTAATTGAAGCTTGATGTTTTCGCATACGGTGTCGTGAATAGAGGAGATATCAGTGAGACGTTATCGGAGGTGAGTTGACTGAGCATGCTCAGTGTGGCCAATTAAGTGTAAATTTATCAATTCTGCCATACTGAGTTAATGACAGCTCAATGAGATCGGCGATGAAAGAGAAAGAAACGCGTAACAACTGTTCCAAAAATGATTTCACTCGCCGTACGTGTTGTTCATTTTTTTTATTCGATTCTTTAAAAAAAACATTGAAACTTTATCAAAAATTCAATATTCGACGAAATTTACATTTTTTGAAACTTCGTTGACCTTTTGCTATTCCGTTTTGTTCGACTCCACTTCAAGATTTCGTAATTTCAACTGTCTTGTGAGATTGGTAAAGTTTTTGAATCGGCTACAAGAACTCAAAATTCTAAGAATTTATTTCAAACAACGATAAACGTTTTTGCCGGCATGACTGTCGCGTTAATGAATATTCTATCATCCACCTAGGAAAATTTTACTGAAGCGTTTTTTACCACACCCCAAATTTTCCTTAAACGCAGTTCAACATTCAAATCAAATGTTTAACAGCGTCGGTAGCCTATTTTGTACATAAGCACAACAGGGGCAATATTTCATTGTTTTATCAGAGAAAGTATTCAGTTACACCGAAAAGCTGCACGTCGTTTGTGTTATAAATGGGCTCTCCTGTATCATATACTTACCGACGTTAGATTGGTATGTCTTATTTGCGCATTGTCTGTGTCCTTGTCTGGGTCTATGACAGATAGCTAAGTATGTTTTAATTAACCTGTGTATGATTACTCTTTCTTTGGATTTGTAGTTGGTTTGTATTGCTAATTCGATGTGGTATTAATTTTGCTAAGCTACTCTGTTTTGAACTTTGTTTTTTTTTTGTCATTAGATTCAAGAAGTAACACATTGGCTTTGGTATTAGTGACTCCGTTGAAATTAATTGTCGTCTGCGCCTCTTCTTGTGAAAGAATTGAACCCCGTGCCATCAAAGTGAAACGCTAGCGGTAAGTAACATGCTAATTTTTGCCTTGGGGTAGGAAAGCGTTTTGCTTAGTTATTAAAATGTATGACATAAGCGTTCTTGTGTCACGAGTTTATCTCCTAGGTGGAAGCAAGCAGACTCCTATGTATATTAGCCAATTTATCATTTTCTACGCTTGATTCTGTCAATCCGTACGAGGCTACGTGTTAAACTTTTGAATTCTTTCCCTCAAAGTTTTGTTGCCTTTTTATTTCGCCAGCAGAAATGATTCTTGATCATCGCCTACTCATTTGCTGCCTGTTTGCAAATGGTGTCATTTAAATGTTTAAACCGACGGGATTTGGCATGTGGCGTAAAATTCTTGCAACTTAACATTCCTGTGAATTTTTCTAGAATGTTTTCACAAGTACTTTGAAACTTAATGTTAAATCAGCTCTTATGCTCAGTGGAGTTGGTCTGCATTATATTTTACTGTCTTTAAACGAAACCAACTGCAGAATTCAACTTCTTGTCGCTTATTTTCCCGTATCTGATTAGATACCTAACCTTGCTCATACTACTAAATGAAGATGAGTGATTGCTTGAAATGTGTTTGAGTATTTTGTTTGATAAATATTCTGCCTGCACACTGTACTTCGTGTTTTACCTCGCACATTGTGAGGAAGCATTTGAACTTTTTACGTCGTCTTTAATGTTATCTTGGCACTCTTTATTTCCGTGAAAGCGAGTATCTTCTCGCTCCAAAATTCCTCGCTTCAAGATCATTTGAATTACATGCGTGCATTTGAACAGGTCATCAATCGTAGGAAAACGCTGAATATTACAACTGAAAGCTTGGCAGGGGGGAGTTGTGAGTTTTCTCTTACAGAAATCATACTGTGAACAAATTTAGTGATGTGAACGGAAAGGCTGTGAAACTTTGCTATCACAGCATGCCCATGGAATTGACAGCAAAATGTAAACATTACTATTTATTTTGAGACCAAAACTCGCATACCAGGGCATACCAGGTCCTCGCCCGTCGTATGCAAAGGATTTCCTGCTGCGTTCCATCTATAGATAATGTTTAAATTTATACAGGCTCCGTTTTTAGTCGACATTACTTGCGCACAAACACATTAAGTTAGTGGGTTAAAGATAGATTTCGTACATTTATGATTGCGTCTATGAAATTAACGAAGTACGGGTGAAAATGTCCGTGTTTCTTTTTAAGGTGAAAATCATGTCCAGCTTTGTCGTATTCCTCCTTTTCATATGTGTTGTGGTTTTCACCACGTCTGGGACAGTTTTGAGTGCAGTATCGTCTTCCGATAGCCGCTGTAAATTGGTGAAGGTATTGCAGACGATCGATGAAAGAAAAACAGATCCTTCTTGCAAGCCTAAAAAAGTGTTGACTTCAGTATGCAAAGGTCTTTGTCCTTCAAACAGTATACCTTACTCCGGTGGTGGATTCAACGAAGAATGTTTGTGTTGTTCTGAAAAAAGTTTCGTTGACGAAAAAGTAACGTTCGATGGCTGTCAACACTACATCGTACGAAAAGAGATTAAATCCTGTGGTTGTTCAAAATGCTTGCGAAAGAAGACTTACAGCGGATAATTCTGAAGATGCCTAGAAATGATGGTAGCGTCTTCTGGCTTGTTGTGTGTGAGATGGCTACGGCAGAATGACTAAAACTTTTTGCTATTTGTCGCTATGATGAATTTGTAGATATCAATAGCCGTAATATAAGACATGGTCTTTTTTATGTAGTCCTTGCATAGTTATGTTCCTAGATTTAGTTAGTCCTTCCCGAAGCATATATGTAGTTTTTGTTTAGCCATTATCTTGGTGTTGTCTACTTTATGACTGTACATTTTTAACGATAGAACCTCTACTAGCTTTCTGCGAATGAATTGTAGTCGGGACATAGGTTTGACTGAAAGCTCGATCGCGCATCATATTTAAATTAAGCTTTCATACGCCTTGTGCAGTCAAACGTGAAGAAACTACATTGTCCTTTTAATAAAACTCTTCAGATGTTTTCATGTAGGAAACGAGTCTAAAATGATCACAGAATTACCATAGTTTCAAATCGAATTTTTATTCGACATTTATCAAAATACTGCTGTGTAAAAATCGCATTATACCTGGTCGTAGTTTCGTTTCATGATCATTGTCCACACTGCCGTATTACAGGTGTTATATTCCACACCTGCCAAAGTAGCAATAAAAGCAACTTGTAGTTTGGCTACTGATATCGAAAGGTTATTATGCTCTTATGAAGATGAATAGCTCTTGTTTCACAACTCGAAGAAGAGATTTGCTGTACAAAAATTAATTTGTTTTTGGTTAAGTTGCAGTTGTACTTTGTTATTGCAGCTCGACAGTTTATAGTAAGTAAATGCATGAGAAAAGAAATTATCGGTTGTATTTCTTTGTGGAAGAATTTGTGTTATACGTTGCTGTTGTCATTACACTCTTACAAGTCTGTTTATCTCGTTGTATAAATTGATTTTTTTATTGTTTCAGTTCTAACTGAGAGGAAAGAATGGCAATGAAATCCATGTATCTGTTTGTATTTCAACTCTTTCTTTGCTCAACACAAGGTAGACATGTTGTTTATTTAATGGATGAGGAGTTTGCACTTTGATCTGAAAAAATGGCGTATTATTTTTAATCATAGAACATCAAGTTATCTTTTTAAGACAAATGAAGTCTTTTGATTCTATAGCCATTTTATATATGTGTGCTGTTTTATTGCAGTTATAAGATTTAAAGTTTCTACAACATAGCTAGTATGCTTTTGATTTATTCCATTAAAGGTTGGAGAGTTGTGAATAAGTTATTATTGCGCGATTATGAAAATAACCATCTTCCAACGCCATTAAACATAAGCAGTAAAGCAAGCGAGGAAAATGGTGCTGTCGACACTTTTGATCATTATTTACCAATGTTGGATGAAACTGCGAAACTTAGGGAAACCGTCGCTAAAGGTATATTTTGATGCATTCATTTGTGCTTTTGAGTTTCTAGAAATCAGTTTCAAGTAAAAAAATCAGTTGACATGAATGATTCAATCCACATGATTCAAACTATAACGATATTTGTCTCGTTTTCATGTATAGCTGAAGAAAATTTGAAAGCGCATTATTTCGAAGGCGATATTATACTCACTCCTCGTCAGCAGAAAGTTTTACACAATGCCTTCAAATATGCTCACAAACGAAGTGATGCTGAAAACAGAGCATTGATAAAAGACGTGTCGAGATTGTGGCCAGACGGAAAGGTTCCATACGCTTATGCATCCGACATAGGTAACCATAGATACTAGTATGTTATCGCAGCTGTTCTTAGTGACGTAGCTAGCCCCCACTTTCTAGAAGTTCTTTATCATTTCCTAAACATTACCATCATTCATTTTTTTAGAAATCTTTTCTTTTGCTTAGAAACTATGAAAGTTTGCATAGAAGCATAAGCGTGCTATCTATGCCACTGGTTATTCCTGCATGTTCCTTTTATCCCAATTGATCCTGCCTGATCCATACATCTTTGTTCCCATGATTTTTATTTCATTAGAAACATTACAGTTTATACCCTCGTGGTTGTTACTTTACTAGACCAACTCATTTTCATTTCATTTTAAATGTATTTCAGATAGCGAAGGTAAAAGTATTACGAAAGATGCAATGGAGCATTGGATGCAGCACACTTGCGTTAAATTTATTCCACAAACGAACGAAACGGACTTTGTTGAATTCCAATTTGCAGATGCGTAAGTTTTTTGACGTCATGAATTTATGTTTTATCTACTTAGAAACACGAAATGATTTCGTGGGAATTGTGACCTCATAAATATGTAATGGTCAATATACTTATTGGTTGTATGTAGACGTGTACATTTAGCATCTAGTCTTCGCATATCCAAGGCCCAATTTGCTATAGCAGAAATATGCATTAAAAACAGAACTTAGTTTAACACTGAAAGAAAATCAATTTACTGGAGTCAAATTGTATCTTAACAAGCAAGGATCTTTGTTTGTGATACCAAAACGTCCCCTTAAAGTTAAACTTTATACTATCTCCTCAGATGCGCATACGGCGTAGAATGTCAACTTTAGCGCATCATGTGAAAGGTACCAACTTTATACTGTCTCCTCAGGTGTGCATCACGTGTTGGACGTCTTGGAATGGGTAGACAAGAAATTTTGATTGGTTCTGTTGAGGCAAAATGTAAAGTTGGCAACCTTATTCATGAGATAGGCCACACACTTGGTTTTTTTCATGAGCACTCCAGACCGGATAGAGATCAGTTTGTCAAGGTAAACCTTGATCTTGTAATGCAAGGTGAGTACAAGTCTGTATCTTATTCTTATTTTAGCGACCAAATGTAGATTTAAGTTCAACTTTTATCGATTTTCAGGTTTCGAAATCAACTTCAAGAAGCTTCCTGGTGATTGGATTGACTCGCGTGACGTAGCTTACGATTACGATTCTATAATGCACTACCCACGCACCATATTTGGTAAGATGCCCTGGGACCAAACAGTTGTTCCTTTGGACGCACGTGCTCAGATTGGTCAGCGCATAAAGTTGAGTGATTCAGATATTTTGCAAGCCAAGAAGTTATATAATTGTCCTGGTAAGCATTATGCATGTGACATTTCAGGTACAGCGCCAAAGGGGGGTGGGGGCGATTCTGGTTTGGGGACTTGAACCTCCTCATTTTTTCTCCAAGATAAAGTTTTGCTAATATTTATAAATTTTAGTATGAAGTTTACTAAGTTATTATGAAGTTTACTAAGTTATTATGAAGTTTACTAAGTTATTATGAAGTTAACTAAGTTATTATGAAGTTTACTAAGTTATTGTGAAGATTACTAAGTTATTATGAAGTTTACTAAGTTATTATGAAGTTTACTAAGTTATTATGAAGTTTACTAAGTTATTACGAAGGTTAGAAGTTAACTGTTATTATGAAGTTTACTAAGTTAAGTTAACCGTTATTATGAAGTTTACTTATGAAGTTTACTGTTATTAAGTTAACTAATTATGAAGTTTACTGTTATTATGAAGTTTACTAAGTTATTGTGAAGATTACTAAGTTATTATGAAGTTTACTAAGTTATTATGAAGTTTACTAAGTTATTGTGAAGTTTACTAAGTTATTACGAATTTTTCTAAGTTATTATGAAGTTAACTAAGTTATTATGAAGTTTACTAAGTTATGAAGTTAACTAAGTTATTATGAAGTTTACTAAGTTATTATGAAGTTTACTAAGTTATTATGAAGTTTACTAAGTTATTACGAATTTTTCTAAGTTATGAAGTTAACTAAGTTATTATGAAGTTTACTAAGTTATGAAGTTAACTAAGTTATTATGAAGTTTACTAAGTTATTATGAAGTTTACTAAGTTATTATGAAGTTAACTAAGTTATTATGAAGTTTACTAAGTTATTATGAAGTTTATTAAGTTATTTTGAAGTTTACTAAATTATTTTGAAGTTTACTGTTATTATGAAGTTTACTGTTATTGAAGTTAACTGTTATTATGAAGTTTACTAAGTTATGAATTTATTATGAAGTTTACTATTATGAAGTTAACTAATTATGAAGTTTACTGTTATTGTGAAGATTTACTAAGTTATTATGAAGTTTATTGTTATTTTGAGTTTACTATTATTTTAGTTTACTGTTATTATGAAGTTTACTAAGTTATTATGAAGTTAACTAAGTTATTATGAAGTTTACTAAGTTATGAAGTTAACTAAGTTATGAAGTTTACTGTTATTATGAAGTTAACTGTTATGAAGTTTACTGTTATTGAAGATTACTGTTATTATGAAGTTTATTAAGTTATTTTGAAGTTTACTAAATTATTTTGAAGTTTACTAAGTTATTATGAAGTTTACTAAGTTATTATGAAGTTAACTGTTATTAGTTTACTGTTATTATGAAGTTTACTGGTTATTAAAAGTTTATTTAGTTATTAAGAAGTTAACTAAGTTATTATGAAGTTTACTAAGTTATTATGAAGTTAACTAAGTTATTATGAAGTTTACTAAGTTATTATGAAGTTTACTAAGTTATTATGAAGTTTACTAAGTTATGAAGTTTACTAACTTATTATGAAGTTTACTGTTATTATGAAGTTAACTTGTTATTATGAAGTTAACTGTTATTAAGTTTACTAAGTTTTATGAAGTTAACTATTATGAAGTTTACTGTTATTGTGAAGATTACTGTTATTATGAAGTTTATTGGTTATTTTGGTTTGTTATTATGTTAACTTGTTATTATGAAGTTTACTGTTTTATTGTTAACTGTTATTATGAAGTTTACTGTTATTATGAAGTTAACTGTTATTATGAAGTTTACTGTTATTGTGAAGATTACTGTTATTATGAAGTTTATTAAGTTATTTTTTACTGTTATTATGAAGTTTACTAAGTTATTAGTTTACTGTTATTATGAAGTTTACTGTTATGAAGTTAACTGTTATTATGAAGTTAACTGTTATTATGAAGTTTACAAAGTTAGTTAACTGTTATTTACTGCTATTATGGTTAATTAAGTTATTATGAAGTTTACTTATTATGAAGTTTACTATTATGAGTTTACTGTTATGAAGATTACTATTATTGTGAAGTTAACTAAGTTATTATGAAGTTTACTATATTAATATGAAGTTTACTAAGTTATTATGAAGTTTACTAAGTTATTATGAAGTTTACTAAGTTATTATGAATTTTTCTAAGTTATTATGAAGTTAACTAAGTTATTATGAAGTTTACTAAGTTATGAAGTTAACTAAGTTATTATGAAGTTTACTAAGTTTTATGAAGTTAACTAAGTTATTATGAAGTTTACTAAATTATTGTGAAGATTACTAAGTTATTATGAAGTTTATTAAGTTATTTTGAAGTTTACTAAATTATTTTGAAGTTTACTAAGTTATTATGAAGTTTACTAAGTTATTATGAAGTTTACTAAGTTATGAAGATTACTAAGTTATTGTGAAGTTAACTAAGTTATTATGAAGTTTACTATATTAATATGAAGTTTACTAAGTTATTATGAAGTTTACTAAGTTATTATGAAGTTCACTAAGTTATTATGAATTTTTCTAAGTTATTGTGAAGTTTACTAAGTTAATATGAAGTTTACTAAGTTATTTTGAAGTTTACTAAGTTATTATGAAGTTTACTGTTATTATGAAGTTTACTATTATTATGAAGTTTACTAAGTTATATGAAGTTTACTAAGTTATTATGAAGTTTACTAAATTCTTGTGAAGTTTACTAAGTTATTATGAAGTTTACTAAGTTATGAAGTTTACTAAGTTATGAAGTTAGAAAAGAAAGTGTGAAATCTTTCCAATAGTTCATACTGTGTCAGTAAGATTATTTTATAAGATTATAATGTTTCGAAATTTTTTTCATGGCAGGGTATGAACAAAATATCCAAACATGAACACAAGATTATTGTAAAGTGGTAGAAATGGTCTCCATAACCATATACATGGCCGTGTATCTGAGGTCTTTTGTATCGTACGTTGGTTATGTACTCATAATTACCCCAATCGAGAATCTCACCGCATTCCTTAATGTGAGTTGAACGTATGAGTTGAATGTACAAGTTATGCTGAACATACTTAACTTGTTATCGACTATTAAGCCTTCATAGTTAAACGTAAGTTGAGCTTTATTTAGACATTTCTGAAAATTTTAATTTTATATATAGTGTGAAATTCTTCATTGACTGAGAGAAAAGTCAACGCCTGTAACTACTTATACAAATATTTCTCATTTAACACTTGAACTAGTTTGACTAAGTCTTCATTTAACAATTTTAAAGTGAATAGAAAGTTAACGGTCTTATTGATATCGTAGCTAAATTTTATTCACGATTTTCAGATTTACAGTAAATTAATACAACATTTATTACAACTACTTAATAACGGCCGTAATATGCCTTAAAAAGAATTCTCATTTTTTACCAACCAAATTTGTCTAGCTAATGTCGAATAAACATTTGTCGTCAATAAGTTTTCAGCATTTTGGGATGTTTTGGTGTTCGACGAAAGGTAACACTTATTCAGATATCTTTTGCATTATTCATATATTCTGCAGTCTACCGTAGAATGTTGGGATTTCCTGCAAGCACTATTTCTTAAAGTTCTCTTCCATCTTGAATTACAAACTCGTGTGAGTTACAAGCCAAAAAACTATTTCTACATGAAGTTCTTTGTTAATAAAAAGATTAAAGATCAACTGTTTTGTCAGTGCCTTGTCGTTTTTCCTCAATGGCGATATTTCGAGGGTCGTTTTGTGGAGAGAAGAGATGTAATATATTTTCAAAATGGGACTCTGTGATATATTTTAAATGAGCCAATGAACAAATAGAAAATTTAAAGTTGAGCATAATAATTTAACATACATATAACAACCGTTCAAATTTTCACATTTTTTCACAAAAAGACTATAATTCACGCATTTTCACAAATTTTCACATTTTTTCACAAAAAGACTATAATTCACGCATTTTCACAAATTTTCACATTTTTTCACAAAAAGACTATAATTCACGCATTTTCACAAATTTTCACATTTTTTCACAAAAAGACTATAATTCATTCATTTTCACAAATTTTCACATTTTTCACCAAAGACTATATTCACGCATTATAAATTTTCACATTTTTCACACCAAGACTATAATCCACTGAATTCAAAGCATGAATTGTAGTGTTTTTGTGAAAAAATGTGAAAATTTGTGAAAATAGATGAATAGAAAGAGAAAAAGATGTAATCGATTACATAAAAGAGAAAAAGCTGTCATTGCATAAAATACGATATCATAAAAGACGTTATTTCATAGGTTTCTTTGTCCTTGCTATTAAACTCTTGTCTGTGTGCAACCAAAACCAACGGTGAAAAAAATATGGTTGGTGCGTTATGATGATAAAAAATAGTTCAGTTAGTTCAAAAAAAAAATCAAACGATCTCAACGCCATTGTATCTGAAAAAATGACCTAAGATATGCTTGTCACTGCCCTGATTTACCACATGGCATCGCGTGAATTGACTACCTTCGATTACTTCGAATACTTTCGACTATGAACTAACTAATTTTTCAATTGTCGTGTTCAACAAAATGAGAACTTTGTCCTATGAAAAGGTAGACACAAAGGTAGACAAGAAGATAGACACAAATGTAGACTAAAACTGCATAGGCTATATTGATTACATTGACTATATTTTAAATGATGACGTTCAAGACATGGCAAGATTGTAAATAGACAAAAAGACTTGAATTAGTAAGTAGATACCGTTCTGTAGGAGCCATATGCTTTTGTACAAACCATTACAATACTATCATGCATGATGGTAAAAAATATTTTATTTAAGTTTAAACAAACAAGTTAGAAACTCCCAGCGCCATTAAAATGACTAGGAACATGCGCGTTGTTTTTCTGATTTACCACATGGCAATGTCTGACATTGTGCATACTTCAATGGTCTTCCTCCTTTCAGTTATATGATTTATTCTCCTGCAATGTTAGAGTTGAACAACTAAAATGGGTAGTAAGTCCCTTTCTTCATCTTTGCAATGATGGTGACGAAGAACAAAATAAACACAGTATTACATGTTAGCCTTAAGAGAAATGAAGGCAATGTTGTTTAGTCAGAAACACTTGACATGTTTTAATCGGAGTTTCAATTCACCCGTCTGGCTGAGTGGTAAAGATGTCGGTGCAGTGCTCTCACCTTCTCGGGTTCAAGACCATCTAAGGTTCAAGACCTTCTCCTTTTCTTTCGCTTCACATTGAAAAAATTTAACAAATACTCCAAAAAACATAAAGCTTTCGATGATGAGCGGTTAGCTCAACTGGCCGATGTTGGGCGTTTAGTTCGACATCAATGACCTCCGGTGCACAAGATCCTTGGTTCGCCCTCTGCCAACACACTTGGCAGGTGTACGCGGCGGATGTGGAAGACAGAAAGTCGAACTGAGGAACGAGTGCCTGGAAGTAAGAAAGGGATGATTAGGGCGTTCTGTTTGCTCTTGGGTTTCCTGACTTTTCAAAATTTAAAAAAAATAACTCCCTGATCACAGGGAGTCATAAAAAAATTTGAGCAAAAGACTTAGTTTTTTTAAGAGTGGTTTTTTGCATGGGATCCTATCTTTTTTTTTTCTTCGCTCTCCTTCTCATCGGAGAGCGTTTTTTTCTGAATTTATACTAAGTGTCGCATTCCATTCTCTAAAAACTCAGTAATAGAAATGCCCTTTTTTGTACTGTTAACCAGCATTATTTCCTCATTTCATAGCTCAATCTAGATTTAACTATACCTTATTACAGACAGGGTTTGAACCTCCACTTTGCAACCTCGAAAGGTTGTGTCTTGTAGTTGACCAGAGAGTTCGTTGGAGACTAATGCTCAATTTAATGTGCCATTCCTGCTTTGTAATAATTAATGCAAAAAAAATGACCTTTAAAGGTCTCAAATCAAAATAATAGCAGAACACTTCCAGAGTAAGATAAAGCAACAAACCAAAAATCATATTCGAAGTCGAGTGTTGATATAAAGAGTAAAAGAGTAGTACAAATATATACATTTATATTAATCTTAGTTTGGTAATACATCAGCAAAACATCTGTAGTTACTTATGTCTTCTTTTGAAAAAGATAGAGACTAAAGTCTTTCAAAAGCAGCACGTTTTTTTACGGCTAAGCAATGCAGGATTTCTTTTAGTGACTGCTGTCGATATTAGCTTTATTAATCGAATGGCACTTGTCGTAGTTAAATATGAGGATGACATATTTCTGGCTTGACGTTGGTGGAGGCTTTTAAGCAGCCGATAACTTGTCTTCTTTTAGCTTTTATATAATATACATTGAAAATGAATTTTCCTATCGTTCCAATTTTGGGGTGTATTCTTTAGATGTCGATTTCACGAGTCATATCCTACATTTCAATGGTTCATGACACTTATAACATATCACCGCATATTTGACAACGCAGCCATATTATCTCTAAACATTGTGTCGAGGAAATCGGATTCTGTAAGAAACCAATCTGCATAGTCTTCATAGCGTTCTTGTTTTTAGCGTTACGCTATCACTCAATTCCATAGCTTTTATACAAACTGTAGGCTTATCAAATGCTTAGATTTCGTCCGGTATATCCATTGACATTTGGTTTGTCTGGTAGACGTTGTTAACTCGTAGTAATTCCTTTTTGATAGTTAATAATTTACGTTCAACCCACGTGGAGAATCCCTTCCAGGACGGAATAATTCTCTCCCAACATAAACGTTAACGTTGTCTTGCCCTGTTATCCTTGCTATTGCACTTGTTCCTGCTGTTTCTGTTCAAATTCAGTCTCGGCAGATTTATAAGTGGATTTATGTTCTTACATGCAATATTATGCATGCATAAACGAAAACAGATTAATCCTACAGTACAAAAATTTATGTCTTTATTACAATGATTATTCTTGCACCTGACTGGTTTTTCATTCATTGCTATTGTTTTTGGGAAGTTTGATTGTTGATCTTAACGGCTGAAAGTGTCAAGCTCCACGACATGCATAATTAACCTAATATTTACATCATCTCATCGAGAAATGCTTCAAAACTATCCACAGATTTAAAAATCGATTCTTTTCTATACCGTTAATGACTTTACCACAATTTTCTAAATTATTTGGGTTCTCATGAGTTGCGGACGTCATAGAAATGCCTTCCTCCAGCGAATGGACATGGTCGTTTCCTGATAGTTTAAACAAATGCAGAATTCCATCAACTGACAGATTCGAAGAGCTCGAAGTTTTGCTGTATGAGAGCGTTCTTTTTGGTGGGCCGTGTTGCATCCATTACTTTAGTTTTGTAAAAGACATAAGATTACCTGTCAGGAACAAATTTTGCCTTGGATTGAAAAAGTTACATAAATATCAAAATATACAGATTTTAAAAACTTTACGACGTGCAGGAGTATTACAGTTTCTTGTGTGTACAACATACATCAAAACAAATTTTCTCATAACTTACCAGAATAGGTAGACAACATAAAAGTAGACTTAAAGGAAGACACAAAGGTAGACATAAAGGTAGACACAAACCGCATTGGCTATATTGATTACATTGACTATATTTGAAATGATGACACTCAAGACAAGGCAAGATTTTGAAATGACAAAAAGACTTGAATAGACAACTCCTATGAATTAGTAAGTAGATACCGTTCTGTAGGAGCCATATGCTTTGTACAAACCATTACAATACTATCATGCATGATGGTAAAAAATATGCTATTTAACTTTGAACAGACAAGTTAGAAACTCCCAGCGCCATTAAATTGACTACGAACATGCGCGTTGTTTTTCTGATTCACCACAAGGCAATGTCTGACATTGTGCATACTTCATTCGTCTTCCTCCTTTCTGTTATATCATTTATTACCCAACAATGTTAAAGTTGGACAGCTATAATGCGTAGTAAGTCCCTTTCTTCATCTTTGCAATGATGGTGACGAAGAACAAGATAAACACAGTATTAAATGTGAGCCTCAAGAGAAAAGAAGGCAATGTTGTTTAGTCAGAAACACTTGACATGTTTTAAACGGTTTTCCAATTCACCCGGCTGGCCGAGTGGTAAAGATGTCGGTGCAGTGCTCTCACCTTCTCCGGTTCAAGACCATCTAAGGTTCAAGACCTTCTCCTTTTCTTTCGCTTCACATTGAAAAAATTTAACAAATACTCCAAAAAACATAAAGCTTTCGATGATGAGCGGTTAGCTCAACTGGCCGATGTTGGGCGTTTAGTTCGACATCAATGACCTCCGGTGCACAAGATCCTTGGTTCGCCCCTCTGCCAACACACTTGGCAGGTGTACGCGGCGGATGTGGAAGACAGAAAGTAGAACTGAGGAACGAGTGCCTGGAAGTAAGAAAGGGATGATTAGGGCGTTCTGTTTGCTCTTGGGTTTCCTAACTTTTCAAAATTAAAAAAAAAAACTCCCTGATCACAGGGAGTCATAAAAAAATTTGAGCAAAAGACTTAGTTTTTTTAAGAGTGGTTTTTTGCATGGGATCCTATCTTTTTTTTTCTTCGCTCTCCTTCTCATCGGAGAGCGTTTTTTTCTGAATTTATACTAAGTGTCGCATTCCATTCTCTAAAAACTCAGTAATAGAAATGCCCTTTTTGCACTGTTAACCAGCATTATTTCCTCATTTCTTAGCTCAACCTAGATTTAACTATACCTTATTACAGACAGGGTTTGAACCTCCACTTTGCAACCTCGAAAGGTTGTGTCTTGTAGTAGACCAGAGAGTTCGTTGGAGACTAATGCTCAATTTAATGTGCCATTCCTGCTTTGTAATAATTAATGCAAAAAAAAAATGAACTTTAAAGGTCTCGAATCAAAATCATAGCAGATCACTTCCAGCAAAAGATAAAGCAACAAATCAAAAATCATATTCGTTGTCGAGTGTTGATAAAGAGTGAAAAAGTAGTACAAATATATACATTTATATTAATCTTAGTTTGGTAATACATTAGCAATACATTTATAGTTACTTATGTCGGCTTTTGAAAAAGATGGAGACAAGTAAGTCTTTCAAAAGCAGCACGTTTTCTTACGGCTAAGCAAGCAGCACGTTTTCTTACGGCTAAGCTTTATTAATCCAATAGCACTTGTCGTAGTTAAATATGAGGAAGACATATTTCTGGCTTGACGTTGGTGGAGGCTTTAAAGCAGCCGATAACTTGTCTTCTTTTAACTTTTATATAACATACATTGAAAATGAATTTTCCTATCGTTCCAATTTTGGGGTGTATTCTTTAGATGTCGATTTCACGAGTCATATCCTACATTTCAATGGATCATGACACTTATAACATATCACCGCATATTTGACAACGCAGCCATATTATCTCTAAACATTGTGTCGAGGAAATCGGATTCTGTAAAAAACAATCTGCATAGTCTTCATAGCGTTCTTGTTTTTAGCGTTACGCTATCACTCAATTCCATAGCTTTTATACAAACTGTAGGCTTATCAAATGCTTAGATTTCGTCTGATATATCCATTGACATTTGGTTTGTCTGGTAGACGTTGTTAACTCGTGGTAATTCCGCTTTGATAGTTAATAATTTATGTTCAATCCACGTTAAGAACCCCTTCCAGTGACAGAATAATTCTCTCTCAACATGGTCTCTCTCAACATAAACGTTAACGTGGTCTCTCCCTTGTATCCTTGCCATTGCACTTGTTCCTGCTGTTTCTGTTCCGATTTAGTCTAGGCAGATTTATAAGTGGAATTTATGTTCTTACATGCATTATTATGCATGCATTAACGAAAACAGATTAATCCTACAGTACAAAGTTTTCTGTCTTTATAACAATGATTATTCTTGCATCTTACGGGTTTTTCATTCATTGCTATTGTTGTTGTGAAGGTTTGAATTGTTTATCTGATTTATGTAATTAATTTTTGCTTCGTATCATTGATTTTCACTCATATATACTTACATGTAGCACAGGGTTATAAAAACACATCAAATAATATAATCGACCAATTGTTATAATTTCAATGCTTGATCACGATTAATCCTACGCGTGTACATTATTCCAAATATTTTGCTGTGAGAAATAATATCAAATTCTTAGGAACAGAAAAAATTTTTGTACTGGAAACAAAGATATGTAATATATGCTTGCATGTATAGCTGAAAGAAAACGATGAAGCATTGACGTTATAACAATAAGTGCATTTCTAAAGTTCGCCTTTTGCACACGCCCGGTATATTGTTCTTTCTGTTTACACATGTAATGTTGGCTGGGTTTAAATGATTTGCTCTTAACTAATCTAAACGTGACCAATCACAGAGTAACTAATGTAGACGTAACCAATCACAAAGTAACTAATGTAACGTGACCAATCACAGAGAATCTCGCATATGAGACATTTTCTATACCTTGGTACTAATGACGATTTCTTGTTGCTCATTACTGAGGTGAAAGATTGAACAGTTTATAAATACAACTGTCATTGTTTCGTCCCATTGATTTTCACTTCACGAAATATATGATAAGTGTTCTTTTGAAAGCACTTACAACTATCTTTCATCAATGAATCTTTACGGGAAAGCGAAGAGTTGACGAAATACATGATAAGTGTTCTTTTGAAAGCACTTACAACTATCTTTCATCAATGAATCTTTACGGGAAAGCGAAGAGTTGACGAAATATATGACAAGTGTTCTTTTGAAAGCACTTACAATTATCTTTCATCAATGAATCTTTACGGTAAAGCGAAAAGTTGGCATTGAATGTTATGCGGATAATAGAACATAGGGACGGATATCTTGTAAAAACAAAAATTAAAACGTTAGTCTTGAGAAAACAGTTAATCTATTATTCTTGATAGCTATTCTGTTGGTGTACCTTTTCTTTGGTGACTTTTCATTTCTCAAAACTTTCTTTTCTTCTTTTTCCCAGTGATAACCCTAAAAACACCAGTTTATTTGATTGAAGCAGTCAATATTTACGTACATCACGCTCCAAACTCTCTTCAGTAATTTCAGATTTGAAAAACTCCTATTCTCGGTTTCAACGTGTGACTATCAGCGCTTTCTTTGCATCTGCCATAACCGCTATTATCCATATATGTTCCTTGTGGTACGCGATCTGGTCTATCCCTTACAAATCTTCAAACTCATGCTATCCATTAACTATCTTTTAATTCTTTTCTCTCGTTATTTGAGATTGTTAGTTTAACTTTTTACCTCCTTCCATCTTTAAATCTGTTCTCCTAATAACGAACTAAAGGAGTGAGGTGTTAGCTAATAATGAACGCAAAATTATTCTTGCTTTAATCTGTCTTTCTCTTCTGACGACATTCCCATCTTTCCTATCTCCTCCAACTTTTCATCCCTTATTATCCCTGATTGTATCACATGTTTTACCTGTTTCATCATCGCGGGTAGTCCTCTCTCGTTTCTTGTCGAGATTTGTTGAATTTTCGCCGTATTTAACAAAACCCATTCTGAAAGAGAATGACGCGTATTTCAGGCTGGCATTAAAACTAGTCAAGCGAAGAAAATATTTGACGATTTTGCTGATTGGGAATATATATTATGAAAGGCCTGTAGAAAACTTTTAAAAGAACTACTAAACGCAATGTTATTTAAGACAATCTTAAATTTCAAGAAGTGGAGTATTTAAAATTTTAAATTATTATTATATAAATACTCATGACGATCATTTAAACTGGAAAATATAATTCAATATCAGCGATAGATACACAAATAGAGCACATCAAAACGTTTGTCGTCAATATGTATGATATTTTATAACAGAGCTGTTTGGTCCCTGCACTTTCTTGTAGCCAGATATAGTTTGAAAAGTCGACAAATTTCATACAAAAAACCCCCGTAAAGTCATTGCCTGAGCCTGCTTTACCTATAGCGCAATGATATAACATACATAGCTATGAACTATAGGGGGATCTCTAACAAAGGAAACGGAGATTGACAGAGCTTCAGATATTAGTAATTGACCAGAGAGAATCATGAAACATAACATACAACTGAATGTGAATTTTTTCACTAGAAATATTCGTTAAAGAGATCTTTTTATTAACTCGATGCGCAGTAAAGGCATTTGAAATAAACGACAATATTTCTCATAGTTTAAATGATTGCAATTAAAATTTACGTAATAACAATTAAAGCCATGAAAAGTGTCGTCGTTTATTTGAAATGTCAATACGAATCATCTGCAATAAAGGATCAATATAATTCTTAAAAGAAAGTATCAAGAAAGATCCAAATGAGGGCAAAAAGCACAAAAAAGGACCACATCGTTTCATCAACCCTCAACAAACTAAATATAAATATATAGGTCTTTATAATTTTGGAAATTATGATAATGTATTCCATGAGTCGCGTTCGTGTCACCAAAAAAAAGTGACAGGAAGTGTATATACAATGTGTCAATAACTACCTATCGAAATGAGCCGCATCGCCTTACCTAATGAATTGCATTGCGAGGTAAAACTACATAATATTTATGGCAATTTATAACACCTGTTTGTAAAGATTCATACTGGAAGAGGTGAGAAAATACATGTACTATGTTTTGCTATGGAAAATGCGACCGTCCGTGTTGTATATCTTTATTTGTGCAATAATACGTGATGTCGTGTCTGCGGCATAAATAGATATAATCCATATTAAATTTAGTCCACACTAAGACATGTACAATTGTCATGTCGATGTACAGTTCGGTAAACATTTTGATGTTATTTAGATTAAGATAGGTTCTTACGCCTGTATAGGGTCCACGTTTTATTTGGTAAATTTTATCCGGCCTTCTCTTAAAATTGACGATTAAATTATTTTCATTCGATTATCTATTACAAATGTAGCAAAATGTTCACTTCCTGTTTTCATATGATGATCAAGATGTGATCTAAATTAACTCACCGCACATTGTAGGCTATTATGACTTGTCACATTTGGCAGAAACTCTTTCTTCAGTTAATGATGGCGATTCAGACATTCGTGCCGTCAACGTCACTCGCACAACATATTGAATAATTTGATTCCGCTTGGAAAGGCTTCTTTTTGTAAACAACAGCCTTACAGCCATGTTTTGCTAGTTAGGGAAATGTTCCAGATAAAATAGTGTATAATAGGCGGAGTAATTCCTGTATAAGTGATACAAGCTGCTATTAATACAAAAAGATTATTATCAATACCAATCTATGAAAGAATCGCTGAACAGGTTGCTCGGTTCCAATGCTCGCTTTTAGCAATTCTTTAATTCTGAAATTTAATAAATTTTTATATTAAGGCATTTTATATATATTATTACGTTCTCTCATCGGGAAGTCCATTTCTTCATAAAGCTAGCATGCGTAAGCGTATTATTGTAGCCTTATCAAGCTGTGGATTTTACGTGGGCATATTTTGTGGGAGATATATGTTCAATCGTGCATCAAAATAAAGAAAATGTTTACTTTCTGATGGCAATTAACGAGTTCCAGAAATGTGTCTGAAAATGCCATCGTAAACTGTGAGGGATAGCTTACGCCAACAGCAACAAATATTGTGCATCAGGCAACCTCAAACATAGGAAAGATGGACTTGCATCTCACGTAACCTCACAAGAATATATGATTTTAGGGAATTTAACGCTTTACAAAAATCAAACGATTTGACCAAATTCAAAATTTTTTTCTCAAAGAGGCTTAAGTCATAGACAGATTTGATGTTGCTAAAAAATTTTTTTGTGGAAGGGGCACTTTACACCTTTTTGACAAGCAGGATTATTTTGGTGTAAATTCGTGTAATCGGATCAAATGCTTATTCAAGAATAGCATCGAAATGTTCCAGCGTTATATTGATGATTTTCTCTACGTGAATTTGCCAATGTGAAGATATATATTTTTTAGAATTACATGAACCAAATTACAGACATTACTTATTGTATGTTTTTTTCTTTCTGTGCTGAATAAGAAGATGTTAAAATAGTACAAACCTTCAATCGAAGGACACTTCCTAGAATCCCGTAGCGGCAGTCGATGGTAACCTTCCTTAACCATGAATTTCGAAGTCAACATCTCGGGATGTCTTGTCCCCTTTCGAAATTGCACCAAAAACAAAACGAGCACAATAAATTTCACACATTGGGGAGAAATCTGTCAGAAATATTTCTACGAATGTAATAATAATTCTGACAGAGAGAATTCAACTTTAATAAATATCACACATTGGGTAGAAATCTGTGAGAAATATTTCAACGAATGTAATAATGATTCTGACAGAGAAAATACAACTTTATCGGCGACGATAAACAGAAACTTACCTGCGTACGTTCTGGTTATCATAATACTCATCGCTTTCTCTAGTCTTTTGACCAATGGTTTCGTGTGTCTCGTCTACACGTTCTCGCTAGAAATACGGACTGCCAAGCACTATTTCATCGTCAATCTTGGAGTAGCAGATATTTTCATCGCTTTAGTAGGAATACCTTTTTATCTTACGGAGTACATGGATTGGGATGATAGAACTTTATGTCAGATTGGCGCCATGATTGACGTCATGTGCTCTACCAATTCCATCATGAGTTTCGTTTTGATAAGCGTAGAGCGATACACGGCGGTAAAATGGCCGCTAAGATACCAAACCATAGTAACCAGGAACCGTTGCTTGGCCGGGTTGATCTCAGTGTGGATTTACTCGCTTCTCGTAATGCTGGCGTCCCGGATACCAATTGGTAAATTCCACATGAATCACTGTAGCTTCTTCACAAAGGAATATCTCATCGCCACCAGCTTTACAAGTTTTCTCTTTCCACTTTTCGTAATGGTTCTCGTTTATGGCTGGATCTTCAAGGTCGCAAAGAGACATTCTCGGAAAATTAATTACACTCTCAAAAGTAAATTGGATCGAGTAAGACGCGAGTACAAGGCGGCAAAAACTTTTTCGATCATCATCGGCGCTTTTCTCATCTGCTATCTTCCGCTTTTCGTCTACATATGGTTGTTTCACGTGAGAAATGAAAAGGTTCCGTTCATCGAGTTGTTTTATATCGTCAATATACTGCGTTATCTCAATGGATTTATCAATCCATTGATATATGTTGGAATAAACAAAGAATTTCGACGAAGTGCGTTTAAAATACTCAACAAAATTGTACCACATCGGAAACCTAAGAAAAAGGAAACAGCGAACGATATTTCACAGACGTTGGAAGATGTAGCGGGCAGTAGATCGGGTACTGATTTCTTGGAAATGAAAAATATGTAGAGATTACAGTCATGGAAACAATCATTTAGATGGTACCAGATATCCATGTGAGCCACGCCGTTCGCTTCGTGGAATTCTCTTCGTCTATTTCATCTTCATAAAAATCTTTAAATCTGACGTGATCTTGGAAAATTGACGAGTTTTTCAATGTAGGATCCATGCAGCGTTGGTCAAAACAAATACTATTAGCTCGATTTTAAATTCGAAGTACCTTCAGAACAACACTATTGGTTACCCATGCCTTGAAAAAGGTTTTTATCAATGGATTTGCTTGCATCTGAAGTGTATGGAAATGTACTAGGCTTTACCGTCAAATATCAGCAATCATAGCAATGAAAACTAGACTTCTGAAAAAAATCAGTTTTTGCGGAAATGTACTAAGTTTTACCGTCAAGTATCAGCAATCATAGCAATGAAAACTAGACTTCTGAAAAAAATCAGTTTTTGCGGAAATGTACTAGGTTTTACCGTCAAGTATCAGCAATCATAGCAATGAAAACTAGACTTCTGAAAAAAATCAGTTTTTGCGGCTAACTGTTGCGTGAAAAGCAATGCTTCTGTGTGCAGCGGTGTAACAGTAATTTGTCCAATTTTTTTAAATACACAAAAGATTTAGATTTAGCTGTAAAATTAAATAATTGTTCGTTTTCTTTGTTCGTACATAACTACATATTAACAGCAGTTGAAATCTGTCCGTTCAAACTTTTCAAGCCGACCGTTGAACCGTTAATGAATGATGAAGTAATTATTCAAATAATTCCTAATTATATGTACAGCAGTAAATTTCTCGTGAAATATTTAAGGTTAAAAATGACTGTGTTAAATAAAAAATCATACTATAATCAATTCACTTGTGCATGTTTTATAAAAAGAGCCCGCGTTAGCTTTAGTGACGTTTGTGTTTATAAACACGTGATTTTCGATGATGTCATGTACAGTAAAGGTTTAACGACATCATCATATTTGAATAATTCTTGTTCGACATCCACTGCCTTCAATAACTTTCCTCCAATCTCTTTTCTGATCTGCTCGCTGGGCGCGGTTGGATAGTCCGGCGAATTTATTTTTCAATTCCGGAATGAGCGCCCTACGTTTTTCCTGGGCTGTTGCTAAAGTGTTGCGCTTTCCATCGGATTGCGTCGGTTCCGAAGTGCTTGCGGAACCTTCCGACTGCAATCTTATCTCGGGAGTGTTGACTTTCTCTTCATTCTTTCGGAATTTCATCGAAACAGTTGCAAGTCGATTTCTTATGTTCCTTTTAATGTCTGACCCCAAACCGGAAGCGATCTGCGTCTCCTCTGTCTCAATACTTTGAGCAACAGAACTATCTGCGCTATTGTCAATTTTATCGTCTGAACTTTGATTTTCAGATTGATCAGAACTAACAGTTTCATTGACGTGATTAATATCGCTCACGAGTTGACTTTTCTCGTTAGAAACATTTAACCCTAGTGAGACAGTATTTTCCACGTTCGGTGCTTTCGTTATTTTTCCAGAAATTTCGCGCTCAATGCTCTCTTCGCCAGAGCAAGCATTGTTCGAAATCGCTGAATTATCAGATTTTCCGAAATGATTTTCTTTTTCTAAATTCTCATTGTAATTATTCGGTGATACTGAGAGATCGTTCAAGACGTCCTCTTTCTTAGATAACTCAATCTGGGATACCTCAATCTGAGGTGAATCCATTTGAGATAAATCCGATGATTCGTTCATCGAAGAAGTAAAACTACTATGAAGATTACCTTTATCATCCTGCTTGGTATCCAGATTACCTTTATCATCCTGCTTAGAGTCCAGATTACCTTTATCATCCTGCTTGGTTTCCAGATTACCTTCATCATCTTGCTTTGTATCCAGATTACCTTTATCATCTTGCTTTGTATCCAGATTACCTTTATCATCCTGCTTCGTATCCAGATTACCTTTATCATCTTGCTTTGTATCCAGATTACCTTTATCATCCTGCTTAGAGTCCAGATTACCTTTATCATCCTGCTTGGTATCCAGATTACATTTATCATCTTGCTTTGTGTCCAGATTACCTTTATCATCCTGCTTTGTATCCAGACAATCTTTATCATCTTGCTCTACGTCTTTCTGTTCGGTACATCCAGAAGAGACTTCTTTAGAAGATGGAATATCCCCAAGATTTGCAGGGGCGGATGCCGAGTGGTGGATTTGGGGAGGTTTAATTGCAGAAGATTTTTTTCTGCGAAATGGACTACCAGGCACACATGGTCGAGATTTGTACGATAGTTGAATAACTTCATGAGGTTTGCTTTTCTTTCTGCGAGATACGTTTAAATCAATTCAAATGAACAAAAACCTTTGAAAAATTTCAAAGTACACTTGCAATAACGAGTATAGAATCTACTATAGCATTTTTCACCACACACAAAACAAGTACAATAGATTCTGTATTCGCAAGTTCTTGTGACAAATTTTCTAAAGACCGACAGAAAATACCTGTCTTTAAAGTGCGGATTGCTCGAAGGCCGAATAGCGCTATCCACTGGATAGCGATATTTTTCTCAAAGTTTAAAAAATCTCTTATAAGAGAAAAATATACGATTTGAAACGTGCAATCACTGAAATAAAATATTGTTTGGAAGATTAAAAAATTTCTTTGTCGTAAGAAAAATAAAAACACCTTTTTTACAAGTTTGAAAATTTTTGCTATCCAATGGATAACGCTATCCAGGCTTCGTGCAACCGACCTCTGGAGATTTCTAGCAAAATATCACACTAAAGCATCTCACATTTAGTTACAAGTTGTAGTAGCCGCGACAGGTAGCCATGGATTGATAAAATTTAAACTCACTTGTTTATCTTGCACTCTGTAATCTTAAACTTGACATTTGAAGCCTCTGCCGCTATTTTAAATTCGTCTATAATTTCATTTAGGACATCTAAACGAGCAAAAAGACTAATATTAACTCACGAAAATGACCGTTCACATGGAAATATCAGAATAATATGATTCTCCCGAAATATTTGTAAAGATTACATGTTGAATCGAGTCGTAGCTATTTGCGTAATAGAAAACTGTGAAAAACATACCTTTATCTTCGTCGATTGTTCGATTCTTTAAGAGTTTAAAAGTGTGGAAATATCCACTGTCGTTTTTGTTGCGATAATAAAGTCTTATGGCGGAATGAACTGAAGATTTATTGATCATATCGGGACCTGAATGAATGAAAAATAACGGCGATTTTCGATTGACATCGTGGAATAACGTCAAAAAAATTAATGATCGTACCTAGCTCAATTTTTTCCAAATTTTCCAAAAGTTGAAACTCATATTGATTAACACATTCTTCTTCTTCGTTGTAACTATTAAAATATTTTCAAAATGAAAACCACGGCAAACATTAGACTTGCCGTCTAATGTTTGTTTTTTTTTGATATGAACTGTACAAACTCAGAAGACCTCGTATCGCTTAAAAGTATCGCTCGCTGCATGCGATATGCTTGCCAAATCATAACAATTCTAATAACAAGCTGTTGATATAGCAAATGCAAAACATCTGTTGAAACTGTCCGGCATTCTATGTCTAACTTAGCTCTACAAAGTGATCTAGGAGCTTTGAAACTTTACAAGAAAATATGTTGGCTATATGCGTCAAGTTTTACACTAGATGGGAAAACAAGGTTTAAAATAACGATACACAAACTACACACACATAAAGAATACCTGGCTATATAGAATCCTCTTTTAGAAAGCAATAAAACTTTTTCTTGTTCATAATCATAACCATCTCCGTCCAATCTATGCGTAAAATAAAGAGTAGAATGCCATGCAGCAAAACTTCTAGTTAGTCGAAACTTCTAGTAAACACTACTTTATACGTACATGCTATTTGTATATCAAAAAACCCAGTCTAGAATGCTATGCAGTTAGTCGAAACTTCTAGTAAACACTACTTTATACGTAAATGCTATTTGTATATCAAAAAACCCAGTCTAGAATGCTATGCAGTTAGTCGAAACTTCTAGTAAACACTACTTTATACGTACATGCTATTTGTATATCAAAAAACCCAGTCTAGAATGCCACGCAGTTAGTCAAAACTTCTAGTAAACACTACTTTATACGTACATGCTATTTGTATATCAAAAAACCCAGTCTAGAATGCTATGCAGTTAGTCGAAACTTCTAGTAAACACTACTTTATACGTACATGCTATTTGTATATCAAAAAACCCAGTCTAGAATGCTATGCAGTTAGTCGAAACTTCTAGTAAACACTACTTTATACGTACATGCTATTTGTATATCAAAAAACCCAGTCTAGAATGCCATGCAGTTAGTCGAAACTTCTAGTAAACACTACTTTATACGTACATGCTATTTGTATATCAAAACCCAGTCTAGAATGCCACGCAGTTAGTCAAAACTTCTAGTAAACACTACTTTATACGTACATGCTATTTGTATATCAAAAAACCCAGTCTAGAATGCTATGCAGTTAGTCGAAACTTCTAGTAAACACTACTTTATACGTACATGCTATTTGTATATCAAAAAACCCAGTCTAGAATGCTATGCAGTCAGTCAAAACTTCTAGTAAACACTACTTTATACGTACATGCTATTTGTATATCAAAAAACCCAGTCTAGAATGCCATGCAGTCAGTCAAAACTTCTAGTAAACACTACTTTATACGTACATGCTATTTGTATATCAAAAAACCCAGTCTAGAATGCTATGCAGTTAGTCGAAACTTCTAGTAAACACTACTTTATACGTACATGCTATTTGTATATCAAAAAACCCAGTCTAGAATGCTATGCAGTCAGTCAAAACTTCTAGTAAACACTACTTTATACGTACATGCTATTTGTATAGCAAAAAACCCAGTCTAGAATGCCATGCAGTTAGTCGAAACTTCTAGTAAACACTACTTTATACGTACATGCTATTTGTATATCAAAAAACCCAGTCTAGAATGCCATGCAGTCAGTCAAAACTTCTAGTAAACACTACTTTATACGTACATGCTATTTGTATATCAAAAAACCCAGTCTAGAATGCCATGCAGTTAGTCGAAACTTCTAGTAAACACTACTTTATACGTACATGCTATTTGTATATCAAAAAACCCAGTCTAGCTACAATGATGGACTGAAGTTAAGATTCTCGCAGACTGTGCTAAGATTCTGTTTCGATCAAGTTTTAAATCTCTCACTTTGCAGTAAAATTTACGCACAACCTTTACCACGAGTGAAATCAAAATAAGTTTGAAAGAAAAATACAATATGTTTTAAGGAATGGTGGGTAATGCTTACTCGACAACGGGCTCAATCAACGCCCATCCGCCGATATAGGAATCACCTTCGTGAAGTAATAAAAGACGACACTGATTAACCAATTGGGCAATCCATTCTTCGCGCTGTAGCGTCCATTCTTCGCCAGTGTCTTCTGGCTGCTTCATTGCAGATATTAACAGAGAAATATCTTCAGAAGGTGGAATACCAAGCATGATGTCTTTAAAATGCACAAATACAAAAAATAAGATACACAAGGCTTTCTCTTCAAGAGTAATTTCGAAGCTATATAAGTTTAACTGGGACCAAGTTAGGCTAGGTAATCGGATGTGTGTTCCGTTATTAATGTTCAGTCTTCATTCGTCGGACAAGAAATAGTATAATATTAAACATTAGAAATCTACCTCTTCAAGGCGAAGTTCACGTACGAAGTTCGCGCATGAAAAAAATCAGAAAAAAACGCAGCAAAATTCTTACCTATGACTGTTTGTCTGTATGCTGCCGTAAAGCGGTTCAAATAACTGTAAACGAAAAACGAAATGTTAAGAAGAAAAAGTTTGCGCATAAAAATTTAATATCATCACGAACGGACGAACAGACAGAATGAATTCCAATACAAAAGAAGCAGATGTTTTCAGATTCATGGAATTGTGATGAGTCTGAGCGGAATTCGCCATACGTCTAAACGTTGGATAATTTTCATTGTAACTAAAAACTTAGACAAAACGAAATTGCAATTTTATAAATATTTTTTCGTTTCTTTGGTAGTCGCGAAAAGTCTGGCGATGAAATTTCCACTCCAATAGAAAATACATGCGACGTATCTTTCAACTGTTATATTTGAATAGGATAATGTTATCGCATTAAACCAATTCATCAAATCACTTCATAAAAATAATACCTGAAGCCAGTTAGATATGCAGTATAAAGCCAGCCGCACACTGGTGAACTTGCCGCGCACTTGTTATTCGTGACAAGTGTGATCGAAAAAATTTCCTAGTGCGCGCGTAAGTTTTAAACAACATTTGTCATTCGTGACAGATGAATCAAATATGAGTCGAACGCGTCTGATTCATCTGTCACGAATGACAAATGTTGTTCAAAACTTCCGCGCGCACTAGGAAATTTTGTTTATCACACTTGTCACGAATAACAAGTACGCGCGGCAAGTTTACCAGTGTGCGGCGGGCTTAAGGAAAAGGACACTCAGTTCGAGACCTTACCGAGCTTACCGATTGGCTGAATGGTATCCATCTTTCATCACACCAGTAAATCGCCTCTCGCCAGTCCTCGTAAAATCACCCTGAACAGTGAACAGAATTACTATGGCTATGAGAATTATGATGTTTGAGTTTTTTAATGCGAACTCAAAATCGGCCGTTTCATAACGAATGAAACAGGTTCCATGTGACAACATATGATAGAGCCGTTTTTGACCAATGTCAACCATTCTCAAACGTAGCTGCGTCGTTTCTACTACGAGCATTGCAGATCTCAAATATGTGATGAAAATTTTGTGGTCAGATTATAAAGATTTACAAATCCACAGTATACAACAGTTGGGTGTATATTTTGCTGACCTTCATTGCCGCTGTCCCAGCGTATTGTCTGCTGATGGCATCCCCGTTGTTTGCCCACATATCCTGATACACGTCCCTAATATCACCAGGTAGATCAATCTCAGGCATAATTCGACCGAGCCTACACAACTATGCATAAATAAATCGCACACTACAGTTGCTGGTTTGATCATTGAGGCAAAAATGAATTCTTAAGTTGTGAAAAAATTATGATTTGGAGCCACCGGCATGCTAAACCAAAATCGATGTGATTTTATAGTATGTAAAAGCCTTGAAACTATTTGCTTCGTTTAGTAATGGGGACACAATAAGTGACGTAACGTTGGGACGGAAATTTCAGAAATACCTGCGCTATTAATACACTTCTTGCTAAAGCAGCTTGAACAACGTTGGTACGGTCAAGACAGTCCATACAATTAACGCGAAACACGCCCAGTTGTTCCCAAATCACTCCTCGATTGTCAACCCTACATTACAGAAAATCTTTTAATGAACCGCGCATAAATTAACCCGTGAATATTGATGGCGTTGATGCAGCATCATTGCATGGTGGGTGTGGGTTGCACATAGATTATAGCAAGGTTCTTCTTATAACAATATGACACTTACGACATGTATGTACGGTTGATTATCTGGTTCAAATGCACCGCAAGACTCACCATGAAAATTTCATATCGCCTGTAATACCTTTGACTGCTTCGACCAGTTTCGAAACGTTTTCGAATTTCATGCCGCGACTAACAAGAAAACGCTTCATGTAAATAAACATTTGCAGGGGGTGGTGGTGAATATTTCTGATAATCTTACAGGAATTAAATTTATTTGAGAACAACATAATGACAATTGATAACTTTATAACACAGAACATCGGGCAACTATTAAACAGGTTGCAATTATGTAAGAATATAACAACAGCTTGCGACTAATTATCGAACAACTTGCAACTTTAAAACAAGTGCAACAATACAACAACTTGCAACTTTAAAACAACTGCTACAGTACAACAACTTGCAACTTTAAAACAACTGCAACAATACAACAACTTGCAAATTTAAGACAACTGCAAAAATACAACAACATCAAGTTCGAAACAGCTGAAAATGAAAAACAAATTGCAACTACATACAACATGAAATCGCTTGCATTTACGCAACAATTGCGACCATATAAAAGCTAACAATAGTACAACAAGTGTCGGCCGAGTAACAACTGTAGCAAGCTTCCACTTACCAATATTCGTGAAAATCAAAGGTTACATATGTCAAAAGCGGATTATCGTAGGTAATAATTTGTTCCATGAAAGCATCATAGAGAACCTGTATCGATAGTCAATAATTTGTTTTATATATTTATGAAGAGTATAAAGTTTTCAACTTTCTCAACTTTAAGTATGAAATTCAGAAATATCCACAATAACTTTAGAAGAAACGTGTATAATTTATTTAGGAAGGTACGTACACTTGTTACATGAAAAGGTGTTGACAAAAAATTACGAGCACAATTGTGTATTGTTTTAGGTTTAAATATACCTGCTCTCTACCATTCTGCTCGACCAAATTCACAACAGTCTACAACGAAAAAAAGATCACGCTCAAGCAAACATTTCATTTTGTATCATCATAAATTATCTTGTTACATTTTACAAAATATTTGGACCTAGTGGTATATCAAAAACACTTAAACACAAATAAATCGTGTTGAAATGGAATACGTGTTGCTTACGACATTTTTGTAAAAAGAAAGTTCTTTCTGAAAATGCTTTTTCATGGCGTCACAACTTTGCTTTTATCTATGTGGAATGAAAGGAAAATAAGTTTCATGACAAATCGCCCTCCCAGTTTGACTTGTAAATTTGATGTTATTTCTGAAAGTGCACACTAAACATTCCAGTGTTGGCGTTTTGGTCAAAATATTAAAAATAAGTCATCGTCACATGGCCAAGCGATTATTAACAAATAATATTTGACGTCATCATCTAACAATCTTAATAGACGTGCAAGAGCTAATTTTGCTATAATCAGCGATTTTATTTGACTCCTCTTGAACGATAACCGTTCAGTTCTATTCCAGTCCCTTTATATGAGCACGGTTGGCAGTCAGTCTTTTACACGAGGTTAACATGGCTATGACAAAATGATTACTGCGGCCATTTCATAAGAAGAGTTCCTTTTTGTCCCACATTTCTTTTACTTATTTTAGTAGAGATTGGATTGACAGTCCAGAATTGTTAATCAAATTGAGCTCAAAGGAAAATAAACATATATGAACTGAAATCAAACATACCTCTTTCTAATTTTGGTGGCGGTTTGTACTTCATACCCGTCTGACTCCAGTACAAAGGTATCGATCCCCGCGTTTGAACAAACGACAGACAATGATTGTTGGCATGGACAATCTATAAAAGTGAATGAAATTAATCAACAACAACTGAACAGCACCGTAAAATCTCAGATCCCAAAGACTTACACTAGCGGCACAGTATAGGAACATACAGTAGACCCACTCTACAGAAATTTTTTGTGTAGCGCATATCTTATTACGCATGCGATTAGCATGGTGGCAGCCAGTAAATTGCATTTTTTGACCAATAGGAGCGGAAAGATGGCAAACGGCAGCCAGTAATCTAAATATACAGCACCAAGTTGCGGAGAGAAGTAGGACTACTGTTTGTTTCTATACTGTGCTAGCGGCTTCAAAGCAGCAAATATACCTGTACTAAACTACAATAACATTCCTTATAAGAGTTGCTATATAGTGGATGTATAATAAAGCAAAAACTTTAAAAATTAAAGTACTGTGAAATTTCAATGCATGATCATTATGCTAAGCCCACTGGTGCATTCCAGAGCACGTTTAATACAGTGATGGGAAAAGAAATTATCACAAGTCAATTTCTGAAGCTCTTGTTTTTTAAATTTCTACACCCTGTACTAAGTGCCATATTTCCTCTTTTTTGCCTCAAGCCTCTTTTAACCCCCCCTTCTAATTACCCCCCTCTTGAAAAGCAGCAACACCCCCCGGGGGATGCTAAAAATTGAAGGCACCTAAATTGGGAAGTACGGTACTTTCAACAATATAGTCTAACATCTTATCAAATTAAGAGCAACACCTGTTCCGTTTCGACGTAATTAGCCACATTTCCGTTCTCATCGACACCCCGGCGCTTATACCGTGTTCCTGTTAAAAGAAACGATGACATCACCAACTGTCATTACCCGTTCAAATTTTCGAGACAATGTTAACGTGTCGTAATCAAGTATGATGAGGTTTCTACGCAAGTACGAACCAGCTCGAAAAACGCTACGACGTGAAATCAACAGCAAATCGAACTTCGCAATTTCCGCCATCTCGTCGTTCATGCCAGTGAAAAAATTATCACCATCAAACTTGGCTGACTGAACGTAACCCTGTACGATTGGCACAATCCAATCATTTGCACTGACATCCTACCAATAAGAACGATAAATTTAATTTTGACATGAGCTCCTCTTTTGAAATGCAGTAAAAATATTCGTCATTTTAAACATCACATGTGAAAAAAATTGTAATATTCAATTGTTTGTACATTATTTGAAGGTAGAGATGGATTCACAATGGTTTTCTAAGGGAGGGGGTGCACTAGCTTAGATTAGATTTTTGCGCTCCTTGTTGACGTAGTTACGTTGCACGTCATACTTTTGTTGTTGAATTTTTTGTGGATCTTTTCAACATGATTGGGAGATTTTTGGAAATGTGCTCAGTTAAACACTACCACAAAAGCTTTTGCTTTATTGTTTGGATTGATATTTTGCAGAGATATTGACATCCCTCCTACACCTAAATCCATCTCTACTTAAGCCAAAAGAACTCAGTCGAAATCCCACATTTTCTTACCGTCTCGGTGATCTTAATAATATCCTCGAGCATCGCTTTATTCCAAAAGAATCGTTCATCAGCCTTGAACATAAATCATTCATGTTCTTGTTTTATGGAAATAACAACTACCTGCGTTAGTAGTCGGTCAATGAAAAGTAAAAGCACAAACTTGTAAATTAGTGTGATAAATCTTCAAATGACTTATATAGATTATTCACCAAGCAATGCCAATAAAGTAACACCACTGAATGCCAACTTATGTTTATATAATATGTTAGTAAAATAGTACTACAAAAATGTGCTACTTTTCTGTTGTAATACTGTAGCTAGTAGAATTACCGTCTTCCAAAGAGGCAAGCCTTTGGTTTCCTCTTTTTTCTCAACGATTCGCTGTATGCTATTGGTGATATCACTTTCTTTGCTGTAGTAAAAGGACTGGGAGTCATTGAACATCTTTAAAAGTTCCTGTGACAAAAAGAACTCGAGCATTAGTTACATTGTTAATATGAAGAAGGGCAACTCATGAAATGTTTACATTTCATAGCATTTTACATAGCTTACAATAGTAAGTTGTTACAAGGCACATGTTTGGAAATCTAATCACAAAACTGACAAAACTATAAAATGAAATATAACTACAAAACCATAGGGTTGTATGGAACGGGGGGCTTGGGGAGTAGAGCCCAGTCCCTCATGTTAAAATTCTATGTCAAGGTTGAGAGACTCAGCAGTGGTTAAAAACCTCTGCATAACACCTTCATTTGCATGATTTGCAAGCATTCTTACACTTTCTATCAAAAAATTACCTCTTGGAGTCTTCGTTCTAGCTTTTCAAGTTTTTCTTTATTTGCTTCCTTGTCTGGTATTTTCTATAGCAGCATTGGTATTGTTTTTAACCAAATGATGATAAATTAATTTCCTCATAACAAAGAGTAAACATGTCATTGCATGCATAACCTAGCCAAGGAAATTATGGGACCAGACAAAACAAAAACAGAAAAAGTCATCAACTATACACAGGTAAATTAACACTTGCTAATTGTACAAATCTAATTCTAGATTGATGTTATTTATGTGTTGCATAAACTTGATAAAAATTTACCTGAGAACTGTTCTTGTTTGCCGTGGCTTTACTCCATAGTGATGCGAAATTGTTACTGAATGTTTGCGCTATTTTTGGCTGTGCAGCTGATGTTGGCATTGAACATTCGTCAGCATGTTCATCACCTAACTATGAATGCATGGAGCACAAACAACATCATATAGATAACTTTTTGATGATGGTACTCAAAATGAGCATCTAACCCATAAAAATACGTACTTGAAATTCAATGTCTGGACATTCTTCAGATGAAAGAGGGACAATTGCAACTTTGTCGATGCTATAAATTGGAGCTTCATCCAAAAAACAGCCAACTTCATGTTGCTTGATAATCAAAATCACCTTATCATCAGAACCTTAAATTATTCAATCAAATGTTAAAGCACAAACATGTGAAATTGAAGTACAAAACAACTGAGAAACCTAATAACATCAAAACCTAAAGCTTCCGTCCCAAATCACAGATAAACTAAAATACATGACAAAGATTTTAGCTTAAAATGAATGATTTGAACGCAAGAGTATCGTCATATGCTTTTAGATGTAGACAGCTTAGTGGAGTCCTGAGAAGAACTGTTTTTGTTGATATTGCAACATCCTCAAGATGAGGAAGTCAGAAAAAATTGTGCTAAATCATTACTCCTACATGTTGAAACATCAGTTAACACCAACATCAACAGTCCTTCTAAAGAGTACACACACCTGGACCATCTACATCTACAATCCTGACATATTTAGCTTACAAATGTAGGACATATCCTTCCTTCCTTTGATATAATTATGAAAGAATAAGGAACTTTAGTCAAGCTCCAATCGATGAATGAACAATCTAGCATTCAAACCTGGGAAGAACTTTATCTTTCCAACAATACCAAACACACAGCCCAGGAGTGTAGGTTGAGCAAGATCTCCAATACTTGAAGCTAAAATATTGAAAATGATCAATTTTTCGTCGAATATACAAACAATGATACCGGTAAGTGCCTTATTATTGTCAAACATTTATCAAAATTGGAAACAAACATTTCTTTAACATGACCAACATAAGCAATATTGATTTATTGGTAATAAATATCCTCAAACCTGGTCTGACTTGTATGTCACCGTTGTTTCTGCTACACCATAAACTAGACTGTTCCTTGCTAAGTACATAGAAGTCTTGAGTTTCGTAGAAATTCATCGAATCGAGAAAACGCGTTACTTTGCCTCGTGTAGCACCGAGAACTCAAGAGTCAAGTGCCACTCAATAAGGATGTATTCTAATTGTCAGAGATCGCTTTTGACAAATAATAAATCCTCAATAAGAAATATATAACAGTAACCTTCTCAACTACATACCACACCAAAGATAAACACCGACAATCTGTCAACACCCCTTGCACCCCCCCGTTTCAAAAATTAAAAGAATGCTCACGTCTTCACTCTTTATCAGTCCTGTCGACTGATGTGCCCACCCCAAATAGTTCACTAAAATTATTGAATAAAAAATCATTGTTACTTAATTGCCCTCCCCCCCCTAAATCTTTAATTGCTTTCTATAATGTAAGGAATGTTGTATAACAATGATGGTAATCTATTACGTCACATTTTAAAGCAAAGCAATTGTAAAACAAGTTAGCTTGTTGGATTTCAGTTGATTTCAGACAGCGCCGTTCATAAGAAAAATTTGTCTTTTGACAAATGGTAGTTGTCTGTTGAATGTTTTCATTGTTTTGTTGTCCATATATTTGCCTACCTTTTTCACTACTTTTTTGTCTATCTTCATGTTTATTCTTTATGCTTACCTTTATAACTACCTTTTCGGCTACTTTTCCTTTTTTACAAGCACACGAGCTCTTCTACTCCATGGGATTTAAGACAACTTCAAACAGCAAATTATTGCACCCAGTGAAATTAGCAAAGTGATTATATATAGGCATGAAAATTAATTGTAACAATTTGCTAATCTCCAATAGTATTCTTTTTTATACACTTTGAATTCGTAAAATGTAAATTGTAAGTGTAAGGTATTAGCTGGGTAAAATCAATAAACAATAAAATTCGTTCAGTCTCTCAAATAAAGTAGGTATAATCTTGTTCGCTTTGTCGTGCATTCTATGAGTCCGATGCACTAAGATGTTAGTGACGTGAAGTTTTTCTACGCGTTGCTAACCTGGAGACATGTTGGAACTTTAGAAATGACTGGAAATCACAAAGAAGTTAAAAATGATCATCAAGTGAGACAGGGTGAAATAGTTAAATATTTTGCGACTGCACAATTGTACGTAGCTAAACGAACACCATAAATTCATTGATCCTTTTCACTACATTGCCATGTTTGTGGTGTAAGCAGACGATGATGTGGTAAGATCTTTAAGACACATCCTACAATGGATTCTCAAAAATACGTTATGTTGAAAGACATGGCAAGAGAAATTATAAAAATAGAGAGCGACTCTGCACGCACTACAATCACTTTAATTTCCAAGGAAAGAGTCTTTTGCTTGATCAGAATAATGTAAAAGTGTGCCACAAACGTGACTCAAAAAATATATTTACAACACGTTGCACATTCTTTCATGAATCATCCACAAGTTCAAGTATAGTAACGAGACAAAAAAGATGTAAAAAGTTCCATCTTTTGTTATGCATTGTCGACGAGCAACAAAATTTTGGTGGCTACCGTCCATGCCTTCTTTACACGAGATGCAAAACTAGCAAATTTCACTGGTGTCAATGTGCAAGTAAGAAAAGCTTCCGAAAGATGAAAGACAGGGTAATAAAAAGGTGAAGTAACATATATTTTAATATATTTTTTTTGATAAATTACTTATATACTCGACAGAACTGTTTGCCAGTGCAACACGAATTTGAACACGAGCTAAGCATTCTCGAGAGTGGGTGGTTTTGCAGCTTCTAATTAGCCCTCACACTATCCACTGATGGCCATCCCGATTGGACTCCAGGTCAAGGGATTTTTCCAAAAAGAAATTAAGCCAATCGGGATGGTTCCTACTTTATGCTGATAAACATATATAAGGACAAATCTTACATAGACTAGACAGCATCGTCAAACAAATTCAAACTGACGATTTTTAAAATATTCACTGTTTCGTGATCTTTAGGTAACGTTTAATATAGAAATAGTAGTGGAATTTTTGGTTTATGCTCGTAGCCTACAAAATGCGTAGTTCCTTCGAAGAATGAACATCTTAAACATCTTAAATTGTTCACAGTTTTTTCGACTTTACATTGATCATTTTTTACCGCCAAAACCACCGAAGCACTTATTCACTTTAGCTGTGCAAAGAAAGAACATTTTAAACAAGTTTGTTCAACGTTATATAGATTTGATTTCCATTTCTTGTTTAACAATAGCACGTTCTAATACATCCTTCCCCGTTCTTTCGCTCCCCGCTTCCACACACGTCCGCTCCTTCATCATTAACCACATTAACCATGGAAATATGAGAGTTTTTAAGTAATTTGTATGAAAACATCACGCATGTCTTCTTTAAGTACAACAACGTACAAATGTCTTCTATTTCTCTATCAATTTTGTTTTGCTTGCGTTGCGAGTAAGTTTGTAGTGTTATATACGAAGGAAAGAGCTTCTGGCTGTGCAACTGATTTGAGTCCAATGCAAATTGTTGACCATGCAAACTGTCAACAAAGGTTGTCAATTTTTTGCCAGGTTCAAACAAATCGACATAGTTGCATCACATTATGATATTCACAGTGTCATGGCAAATTCGTTAATTTTGGGGGGGCACATAAATTCAAAAATGCATGTCTTCATCCATAGGAAACAATTGATTTCAAGGCAGAATGGGTAGATATGAATATGTGCCCACCCCCCCCTCCAAATGATATACATAATTTTGCTAAGCTACTGAATATCCAAAATAAAAGTAGCACTTAAAAGTTCACACTACCTTCCCAATCTTCAACACTTTTAGGAATTTCATTCAAACTAACAAATTCATGAGTAATCTTCTCCTCCATAACAGTGACAATACGGATACCATTTTCGTCATCTCCAAGAGGGAAACCAATTGCACTTGTAACAATCATTTCTAAATTGCCATGGAAGCCTCCTGCATTCCTGTGGTAATGTCCAGCAAAAACATACCTGACACCAGCATTTTTCAGTTTCTTTAACATTTTGGAGCGCTCCTCAGTTGGAAAATTACCATAATGTTCATCTTCATCCGCATGTTTAACAAACAATGGGATGTGTTGAAATATAACAACATGTTTTGCAATTGCTGCTAGTTCTAGTTGTTTATCCAACCATGTATCCTGTACGTCCCTCAATGATTTTAGGCTTGAATTATAATAGTACTGACTATTTACGGTAATGAACAATACACCTGTAAAAAACATAAATAAACATAAACTTACATGTAAGTTTTCACACGTTGTAAACTTATTTAAGAAATAGAAAATATTTTTCATGTTTCTATAAAGTAATAGAAACACGTGGGGAATGTTTGGGTAAAACAAAAAAAAATTCATGGCAAGCAAGAAGTGGAATGTTTTAAAGCAATTTCAAGTTACTCTCAAACTTACACGTGTTCCTATAACTCAATAGGAACAAGCATATATTTTTCTGTTCAAGTGATTTCTGTTTCTGTTCCAATGATTCTAAGGACATATTTTTCATATTTTTGCCATTAAAATTTCCCACACATATCACAAAACCTGCAAAATTTTTGCATGACTGTGTTTCCAGTATGCTATTCAGAGGCAAAGCCAACCTGTAAATTTGCTCATGCTATGAAAATTTTTTTCATTCTAAGTTGCTGCAAAAAAACAACATATTTCTAAACATAAGTATAAATGATAAACGTACTTTTTCGTTTCTGATGAGCAATATTGAAATGATTCATTGCTGGACAATTATGTAATTCTGTGAATTATCCAAAAAACAGCAGACTGTTTCGGAGATCACTTACCACCAACCCAAAAACTGTAATAATCATCTCCATAGCTGTTTCTATATTTAGAAATGCCCTCGACAGTTGGTTGATTTCCAATATCGTGATTTCCACAGACACATATCAACGGAATTTCATTATCTAATTCATCAAAAACTGTCTTAAAATCTCGATACTGCTCGTCGTAATTTCTCGTACCGGGAAAAGCATCGATCATGTCTCCACATACAACAAAAAATCTTGGCTTTGGACGCATCTCGTTTGCAGCCTTAACCGCAACTTTTGCCCAATCAATTTCATCCTTCCATGTTCGTTCGTGTTCAGCTATACCGCTGTAACTGTCCTTTAAGCCAAACTGAGTATCAGCGCCAAGAATAAATACGAAAGGTCCTTTCCATTTACCTTCTTCCTCTTGAGAAAGAGCTGGATATCGTCTCGCACGAGGCTTCCTTCTCAAGCCGGCCATATTTTTCTTGAAGGGGGGCCAGTGAACTCGACATTTGAATAACTGGAATGATAACCGAAGCCAAAAATTGAAGCCAAAAAAATATTTGTCGTCATCATTCGTCATCACACGTCAGGCTCTAGTCTCTCGCGTGTTCATTTCAATTTTTTTAAATCATTTGTCCCTTGGTAATGTTAGAGTTCGGATCTTGATCAGAGCGTAAAAATAACGAAATTTTTGGAATGAAAAGGTTCACGGAAAGTGAATCAAAGTGATAAATCGAGAAGCAGGGTGAGGTGAACTTAGTCGATCTGCTTTTACGCTGCGGTTTTCCTTTAAAACATATCAAAGTCTTTAAGGATATTCAATTACTGATATCGAGATGACAACCATTTAGTATTTCAAGCACTATCAAAATCGATGAAAGATACAATCGCTCTGTAAAAAGTAAAATGCGAGTTATCGACTCAACATTTTTATGAACCGGATATTCAAGTTTCTTTTTCTTCGGAAAACAGATCTTTAAATCCATTGAAACGACAAAAAAGACAAACACTGTCTGACACCGTTTGAAAATTTACCTTCCGACGAAAGAAAAATTTATTCTTGAATATTTTCTCGTCATATTTTCTTATTGTATTGCGTTTTTAGCATAAAGTGTAATTTTCAGTTGGCTTTTCCTCGTTACAAGTTGTAAGTAACAACGAACTCACTGTAGTAAAGTTTTAGCTGTAAAAATAACCTTTGCGAGGAGTTGGCCTAGTGTGTTGTTTGTCGTGATGTTGTTTATATGTTTATGCTTTTGCAGTTTGTATTCAAATTTATATTGGCCGTGTATGTTTGGCACTCAGGGGAATGAAACTGACGTACAAACCGCGTGAATATTCGACTTTGAAGGACTGGAACTGACGTACAAACCGCGCAAGAGACTAGGACTTTGGCTTCAATTTTATATCTATAAAATGTATTGTAGTTATCATTCCAGATATATATATATATGGAGTTCACTGAGGGGGGCCCAGCGTGGACATGAGGGGGTTTGGTACAGGTGTGGGGTGCCACCATTGGGGTCCCCACAGCTTTTGTAACATATTTAAATACGCCATAAGAACTGATTGAGCAAAGTTTGGCTAGCACATTGTAAGTCTGGAATTGGTGATTCTTCAATTCGTCAAGCCTAAATTTTTCATAAAAACCAAGTACAAACAAAAACAAACAAACAAACAACATTTGTATACCGGCCAGTATTAATCCCCGCCAGGGGGGTTGACCGGTCCATGAACTTTTCTACGCCAAATGTCTCTATCTCTCGCCATATCTCTCGTTATACCCATTGCCTTCATATCACTGTTCACAGCATCCATCCATCTCCTTCTCGGTCTACCTCGTTTGCAGACTCCATCAACATTCATATGCAACGTTCTACGAATTTCAGCACTTTCTTCCCTCCTTTCCACATGCCCAAACCACCTCAAACGCTGGCGCCTTACCCAATTCTCGATACGCTCAACACCAACTCTTTCTCTAATCTCTTCACTTCGAATCCTATCCATCAACATTACACCACACATCATCCTAAGCATTCTCCTTTCCGTCGACGCCAATCATGTCAGGTCCTCTGCTTTCGGCGCCCAACACTCTGCTCCATATCCCAAAACACTTCTAACACATGCCTTGTACAATTCTCCCAAGTACAACCAAGTACAACCAAAAACCAAGTACAACTTTGGAAATTCCTTGAAATAGCTTATTAACCACAATGGACTTTAACAACATTTGAAGACATCAGCCAAGACTTTACTCCAACCAAAGTATAATCTTTATAAATTGAAACATTCTCATACAGCAAGAACATGCAAAATCCTTATACACTTGTGAACTCCTTGCTTGATTTTTTAAGAGCATCAAAAAACTAAGAGAGTACATAGAAATCAATTGATAAATGTTTGTCTATCAAAATTAACTAGTTTGGCCTTTCAAATCTTATCAGCAAGAGCAAACTTAAGTAAGTTCTTCTAACCATTTGGCAATGGAAGAAAAAGTTAGTCTTAAAATTATGTTTAATTATGAGCAAAACAAAATACACCTTAACATTGCCTACCATTCATAAAAACAACATTACAGACCAACTGACCAAGGATCATTAATTTACCAAATTTAATGATTGACTTGCAAATGAAAACCTGACCTCCAGCATTAATTGACCTGCAGCATAAATTAGCAGTGTAGGCTGTAGCACACAAAGACAAGAGCTCTCCTACACTAAACATAAACATTTTTGGGAGCATCCTCCAATTTTAAAAAAGAATGGGTAATTTTGTCCTCTTGAACAGTGACAATACGTACTCCATTACTGTCATTACCAAGAGGATATCCAATGGCACTTGTAACTATCATTTCTAAATCACCATGAAAGCCGCCTGCATTTCTATGATAATGTCCAGCAAAAACATACTTTACACCAGCATTATGAAGTTTGTCAAGCAATTCACGACGTGCTTTCATTGGAAAATTAAAGTATTGATCATCTTCATCAGCATTTTAGAAACAATGGAATATGCACAAATACAACAGTGTGTTTAGCTGTTGGAGCTAGTTCTAGCTGTTTATCAAACCATGTATCATGTTTGTCTTTCAGAGACTCCACCAATGAGCTATCTCTGTAGTACTCGCTGTTGATGGTGATGAAGAAAACACCTAACATAAAGTTAAGAACAAACGAGTCAATATTGTTACAACATAAAAAGGAATGCCTTCTATCTTCCATCATGCTTTAGCCCTCCCCCCCCCCTAAACAATTTTGGCTACTGAGGATGGCCTTGGAGAATAATAGTTTGTGAGACTGAAATATAAATCACTTACCACCAACCCAAAAACTGTAATAATCATCTCCATAGCTGTTTCTATATTTAGAAATGCCCTCGACAGTTGGTTGATTTCCAATATCGTGATTTCCACAGACACATATCAACGGAATTTCATTATCTAATTCATCAAAAACTGTCTTAAAATCTCGATACTGCTCGTCGTAATTTCTCGTACCGGGAAAAGCATCGATCATGTCTCCACATACAACAAAAAATCTTGGCTTTGGACGCATCTCGTTTGCAGCCTTGACGGCAACTTTTGCCCATTCAATTTCATCCTTCCAACTTCGTTCGTGTTCAGCTATACCGTTGTAACTGTCCTTTAAGCCTAACTGCGTATCAGCGCCATGAATAAATACGAAAGGTCCTTTCCAAAAACCTTCCTCTTCTTGAGAAAGAGCGGGATATTTTCCTCCTTGTGGCTTGGTTGAGAGTCCAGTCATGGAGGTGTTGCGAGTATTGATTGAGGAATAAGTTGAATGTGGCAAATGACTTACGATTCTCACCCCTACCCCACCATAGAGATTGTAAACAAATTTTGTCCCCCCAAAAAACGCGTATCATATGTTGAACTATAGATTATATTACGACCCCACCCCAAGTACTATTTATGATCTCTGTGATGACCTCACCACCTGACAACAGCTGATAAAGATAGGTACGCAAGATGTACACTAACCAATGGCGATTATATGACAATTTGTGATGGGAAGGGTGTTTTTGTGGACATTACCGCAAAAAATACTACCCATGTGAAATGATATCAAGTTGAATAGACACCACTTTACATAAAAGCGTATGGTTCAGCACTCTTTACGATGCAAATGCGTCATTTGTCGATATTCAATTGAATGGACAAATTAGGAACGATTCATCTTATGAAATAATTTGATGCTTTTTTGATTCAACTAGTTTAACCTTCGTTGTTAATTGACAATTTGAAATAGCTTAACATGTTCACCTATAGATCACGCGTCCGTGACACGTTCACTTCAAACCAACTTTTAAACAAGGACCGCGAACTTGTAAGGAAATTTTCTTTCGATCGTAACATTTTACAACAAGCTTTAAGTTGTGACAACTGGAATATAACACAAAATTGCCTGAAAAGACAAACAGAATGTTTGCCTGTTGCTCACACTTCAAAGATTCTTCAACACAAAATTAATCTCCTAGCAATAAAACTGACCATAAATTGTCCCGATAGCGATAAAACTAGCAACAAAGCAACGATTACCAATTTAACTGACAATGCAATTGCATTATTTTTTGATTGAAAATACACTATTTTTGTAATAAATTGGTACAATTATTGTATTTATAGAAATATACATATGGGATTCAAATATCTAAATACTAATGACTATGTACAAGAGTTCCATCTATCGACCAACTTTGCTTATTAGTTCGTCACAAATGGCTGTCAACTCTTTGTTTTCGCTTGTCTAACAAAAAATGACACGAAGGCAATAATAATGGCATTTGAATGAAACTGGATACTAATAGACACCCAAAAGTACATCAGAAAGAGCTCCTCGCATCAAAATTGACGGCGTGTTGACTCTTTCAAAAAAGGAGTGTAAATCATAATTAGTAAGCTTGAAATTCACATACCTTTTGATCGAGATTTTGTTGCAAAGATGAAATTTTCGTTTTCTCTCGTTTTAGAGCTGCCTGAAGGCAGGCTACCTCTTTATTAAACGTCGTCTGAACCCGATTTATTTCAACATTTGCCCTGCACAATTCAAGAATATAAATTATCAAAATACATGCATAGTTGCTCAAGTTATGAGTGACAGTACTCATTATAACTGTACACTCACTCTTGCAATTTTTGCTCGGCATGACCTTTCAAAATTTGATATTTTTTATCAGCATTCTTGACATCTTCCTGTAAATCTTTAACCACCTTCTTCAAGACCTCTTCATTCTAGAAAATAACACAACAACTTTTTAACAAATATCTCCGGGACATGTATTTCACAAGTTCATAAAAAACATACAGTGTATTCCATACCTTTTGATATGACTCCACAGCCGTTTTGAGCTTTCCAAATTTTTCATGAAGATGAGCGAAAGACTTTTCTGTATTATTCAAGTCTCTTTGAAGCTGATATTAAAAGAATAAAACTGAGAAAAGTCCATGCGAGTTCGAAAAAGTGAATACATCAGTTTTTACTTGATCTCGTTCCTGTACAATTTCAGCGTTCGACTTTTCTTGTTTACTTTGTTCTGTTTCTCGGTCTTCTACAAGAAACGTCAGATTCTAGCATGAAATTCTTGTACGTCTCAATTCACATCCTTGTATTTTCCACTTGAGACTGGCTAGGCAAAACAATAACAAAAAAATTTTAATGAAATTGTTAAAGGAATTTGACTCTTACTTATCATTTGTGCCATCGTTTGTTCATACTCCATCATGAGGGTTCTAAAGAGAAAACAAATTCGTGAAAAGAAACTATAATTATAAAATCACATACTTGCTAAAATTCTACGTGAATTTGACAAAGAAACCAACGAAAGAAACAGAGGTCGAACATTGATTGCGTGAACACCTTACTTGATAACTTTATTTTCATCTAGCAGTTTCTTTCTTTCGTCGAGTAACTTTTCCAACTCAACTTCGTGTAAGTTGTTCTGAAGATTTAACTATACACAACGGTAGTTTTGGATTAGCAAAGTTCATTACATTCAAATGAGAGCGAGGCATTCATCCTAAGCCTCACCTCGCTTTGCATTCTTTCTTTCTCTTTATGTACAGCTCTGTCTAAATCTGTTTTCGAGAACTGCAATGGCTATAACAATACACATAAGATTATAAGAAATATAAAAGGCAGGAGTGACAACAGGACTATAATCCACGAGAATGCTGTTTTACGCTTCGCTATTCCGTTATAAAAATGCTTATCACAGATCCTCTAAAGCTTCCAGGTCACCAGAGGAGAATCAAGAAATAACACACACAACATCCGATTTTAAAAGGTTATGTTGACGAATTAGGATGGCAGCAAATTTGAATTAGAAAAAGATCGCATAATATAAACAGACATGAAACAACTTATACATGCCAATAATATCAATTTAACACCTAAACCCCATGGAAACAATGACAAAACGTTTGCAGTGCGTTGAACTCACTGCAACAGGTGATTGAGCTTGAAGATCTTTCGCCTGGTCGCGTTTTTTTCTATTGGCGGTGTCAAAACAAAAAATCCAATTAAGAAATTTTAGCATCATCTATTGGATTCGAATTTTACCACATTTTAAAAAAATATGACGATCTAGTATCTCTTATTGGCGAAAGGACAAAAGACATCGATGGTCAACAATTAAATGAAATCAAGAACACCAGTTGCCACCGCCAGTCAAAACAATCCTTAAATAATGGAATTCCAAAATATCACACAAACGCCAATTGGCGAGACGACAAAAGACATCGATGGTCAACAATAAAATCAAATCAAGAACACCAGTTGCCACCGCCGCTCAAAACAATCCTTAAATAATGGAATTTATCACACATACTCCAAGTAGTCGTGTAATAATTACATTACATGTTAATTAAAACAAACCGTGTGATAAACCATTTCGTGTTCTTTAACACAAACCGTGTGATATTTACGTAGATGTTTCCTAAAGTATAATGACCTCTATACATACCTGTACTAGAGAGGTATCGCTGCTCTGCTCGTTCATAGTAGATTCAACAACACTGTCTTCGTTTGAATTAGGACTTTCTTCATTTATGTTTTTATTTTCGCACACCTCTTCCTATTCAAACATAAAAATATGAATGTAGAAACTAAAACAAGAAAGTGGAAGACAACATGGAACATATCAACACGTCGCTACGATAACGCATCTCTTTCGTCGACGACTAATCATAATCATAGCCATAGACCTGTAATTCTCACTCCAGCCTAAACCCTCAACCTAGTCCTCCATAATCACAGCAAACCGAGGTCGGACGTTACGTATGCAAAGCCTATGTACTTTTCGAACAGTCGTCCGAGTCTTTCAGTTGTCTCTAGATCGCAAGCCTATAGGACGAAGATCCATCCACACCGCTGAAACTCAATTGAGACAACTCAAAACGACTTTTTGAGAACAAGCCTTAAGAGACATGAAGATAAAAGCTTGTTCGAGAAATTCACACAACAACAATCCTCGGTTCAACAAATTATAGATGCGTTTGGTAAAAAAAAAAAACAGAGAACCTCATTCTTATTGGGTGAAAAGGAAAATGGATCAACATGGACAACAGGGGATGTCATTGCGTTCTCCTCCGCATTTTCGACATTTTCAGATCGATCAAGCAAATCCCGGCGGGATACGACTGATTTGGCAGGTGGTGTATCCATTCCTAGCAACAGATCATCGCTGGACCTAAAAATTTCATGAAATTAGATATAATAAAAACAGAATCTTACAATGATTACGGAAACTATAGAATACGGTGTGATAAGTTTAGATTAACTTACAAAGCTGATGAACCTTGAAACAATAAGTCGGACGGTTTGATTGTCGGTGCGTCCAATGATTCTGCATCGAAAAAGAAGAACTTTAATCAGGAATAAAATACGTTACCTGAGTCTAATTTTGCATTGTAGAAGACCACGTACAAACCTTGATCACTCTGCTTGTTTGGTTTTCTAGCTTGTACAAGAGGATCGAACTTCACGTACAGAGACTGTCTTGCTAATTCACTCTACATCGCAGATTTCATTTTAATGTAAGATTTTTCACAATATATAAACGGCTTATCTTTCATAACAATCTACATGTACGTTGTTGACGAAAGTCGAAGTCAGCTATCGAAAGAATGTTGAAATAACACATGCATTTATGTATTTTTCACCACACAAAAAAAGCCTTCTGATTAGAAATTCTTAAACACGTACGCAACACATACAAAATATAGCATATACTGTACCTTCGGCGTCGCTCGAAGTTTAAAATCAAACGCAAGCGAAATTCATGAAACATTAATAATTAATGATGAACAAAAACCAAGAATATTAGTGCATAAAAAGTTAGCTAAATAATACAAGCACATCCCATAAATAATACATTGAATACGAAGTAAAAGTCATTTGTAGAAACGTCGTTCTATAGCTGTTTGAATCGATGCATCATTGATGAAAGCATGATATGGTGTTGGTGTACAGCGTTCATATTTTTACCTCGAATTCTTCACTGTTTATATTTCCACATTTCTCAAGAAAATCCAAATCCAAGCTGAATTCTACAAAAAAACAACAACAACATGCTCGTCATGTAAGTAATTGTTTATTTCAACGTATATTTTTAACGTCCTGCTGAACTGAATAAAATCCGTTATTCACGGAAAACGCGCTCTGACAAAACAAATAATTATGTTGGGCAAAAACAGCTGCTAAACCTGTAGCTTGTTTGAAAGAACTCTCATCCAAATTCACGCCATCATATTCGTGAACTTCAGAATCTATAAAAAATACAAAAATAAACGCAATTAAATTGGAAATCATCAAATAACCAGTCTCTTTTTTTGATAAAGATACTATCTCAAATTTCTAATAACACGTAGCAAGAAACTTCGAAATACCGGCCGCTTTCTCGTTTCCATCTGCGTCTGTCACCTCTTTCACAGTTTCATCTAATACTAAAAATATGTCGCCAATAAGTCGGCATTTTTTCATCATTTTCATCGTTTTAACACTTTAAACGTACGACAGTTTGTAAAAGACATGGCGCACTTACTAGAGTCTGAAAACTTTGATGAATCGACGACGGCTTCCTTCACTGTGACATTAAGATCTAAAAAACGAGAATTTCATGAGACATCCTTCATATTAAATTCTCAGTTTTATCGTGCCACTTTTCCAAGGATGTGAAGCAGTCTGTGAAACATTATGCTGAATGGTGCGGTGCTTCGTTGGTTATGAGCCAAAGCGATTGTAAAATGAAAATTTTTCGTATACCTTCGGAACTTTTATCAAATTCAGACAATGTATTTTCTAAGCATGATTCGTCATTGACAGATGTTTCTTTAATTGTAGTATCAAATTCTACGGTAAAAACGAAGATGAATGTTGCATCACACAAAGGCAAATTTAACAAAATATGCTCACACTTAATCAACACATCATTATGAAGATATTAATTTTTACCAGTACACGAGTTTATGAAATCATGATCTCCTTTAACTTCGCCATTTTCCACCATTTCGGACTCATCAACTGAACAGAAGAAACAATTGTCAAGAAAGCATTTAAAAAAGGCTACTGTGTTGCTTTATTTTAGAAACTCATATAGTCGGCTAAATGTCTTACATACAATTTGTAATATTTGCTATCCAGATGAACCTAAACATAGTTCAGTCTCTATTCATTATATAAGTTTTCATCACATTCTTTTTCTTTTTGTTTGCAAAAACAAAACTACATAGCACTTGATGAATAAATTTGTTAATTTCTACCCATGGTCTTCTCCCACGAGCAAAGTAACTTACTTTATTAAAATAAGTCGCTATGTTTTCATTTATTTATATCTAAAATTGTAGTCTTGTGGAAAAGCAGCAAAAGTAGATAGCCCCAAATTCAAAAGTAAATACATACTTTGTATATCATCCTTCCCATTGGCTATCACATCTTTTTCTTCTTCACAAACAACTTTTTGTCCTGAAAGACTGGTTTCAATATCATAGTTAACATCACGGTCTTTTACAATCCCATGATCCTCGGCAGTTTCATCCATCCTATAATTGCAAGCAACACGATCTAACACTGTAGCGTACAAGAGTGGACTTTTAACAAAACAATTCAGTAACAAGTCGGATGCATGTTGCTTGACGTTAACTTACGTGAAAATTGGAAGATTGTTGATGATCTTTGTCACAATTTCCTGTGGCAACAAAAACCAACATGATTAAAAAACAATTACAAAAATCATTCATGTATTGAACACCAAGAAATGATGAAAAGACATCAAAACATTCGGAAAAAGTCCACGACTACTGGTTATCAATTATCAAGCCTCATTAATGCATGGTTTTAAGTAGCAATCACCTTAGCAAATTCACCATACAAAATATGGTCTTCTTTGGTGAGAATTTGGGTACGTTCTATCCACAGTTCCTCTTCATCCAACTTACGAATTTCTTCCCACAAATCGCGATGCTTGTCGGTGACAGATGACTTCAGAAGTGGAGTACTTGGAAAAATGCCAACCTGTGTTAGAATTTAGAAAAGAAAAATCAAGTTTATATAAGTCGCATAAACCAATTTGAAATCACCTATTTCTTGATAATTTATTTAATTAAGCAAGTGCGATGTAATCAATCAATACAAATTCACAATAAAGTAAATGTTCATGTACAATACATAAATATTTTTGGTAAATAAACATGGCACTCCACAACTACTGAATAAGAGAAGGTACAACTTATGTATTATGGTATCATTCCAAAGAGTATGGTGATGGGTTGAATACACTTCATGAGAAAAACATTCTTCACACTTGACATAATAAACATTGGGAAATCTTTTACCAATGTCATTTTTTCAAACATACAATGACAAAATGTACTTCTAGAGAAGTTCTTTAAAGCGCGTTGATCGAAATAAACATCAATGTTAAATTACATTTCAATGACCTCTAACTTGTAATAAAAAATCTCACCATAAAACTAAGTATTTCGCTGTAAAACCTGACTAGATTTGCACCCATATTTTGTAAATCTTCTCTTACAAAGTGCACTAGTCAAAAACGTACTTGTCCAATTTTATACCGAGTTAAAATAAAACTGACAAAAACAAGAGTTCAGTTAGATATAATGGTAGAGAAGAACAGCAAAGTTCAATAAATCATTAACTATATATTGTACTTTTCACCTTAGATTCTAGACCCTTGCCCAGGCAAGTGAGGTTTCTCTCAGTCAGTGGTGAATGTGGACCTTTACTCTCGTCGTGTGAACTGCCACTTGACAAAATTGGCGAGCAAATAATTCCGTCAAATATATTTTCTTTCCCAGTCGGCTTTGGTTTTTCCATACTGCACAATAAAATGAACTGTTACGGAAAACTTTTCATAGAATTTTTAATGGGATTTTTCATTTGAAAGATAATAGAATTTTGAATCTTACCATTATATCTTCAACCGTCTTTCGCCATCGTTTCCAGACTCCGCCCAGGATCATCGCTCACGATGTGCTTCCACTTTTTATGAAAAATGAAAAAGAGTAACTGATGCATTTTATTCAATATTAGGTTAATGTATTATTTTTTGTATTTTACTCATATGACTTACGAAAAAATATTTACCTCTGAGAATAATTGAATGTATTGTATTTCATAATTCATTTCTACGTAAAACTTAGAATCGTGACTTTTAAGTTTAAGGGTCAACTTTTTTTGTTAAATACATAAACGCTTCAGTTAATTTATTGTTTCAGTCATCTGTCATGCAAACAACAAAATACTGCTTTCAATTCCGAGAAACGAAGAATATAATACAAGATGACATTATTTCCATACGAAGACGCGAAGCCGATTTCATTTTTCAAAATCTTTTCTTTTAAAGTTTTACGCACCCAGAGAGGGTAGTACTTTTTCATACTTCCCCAACAATCAAGCTTTTAACTTCCAATGCAAATGGCTAAATCGACGGGTGAAATATTGAAGAAACTGCGAGCAGTAATGAAGAACAAAGCATACGTTCCCGAAATCTTCTCAGCTTACATTGTACCGAGTGGAGACGCTCATCAGGTATGTAGAATATGTCCATGCAAGTTATGGAAGCTGTGTACATTTTCAATTTCAACAGTTGAGAGAGTTCAACAGGAATGATAACTACGATACATGAAAGAAGTGAAGCATTAGATTTTGTCTTCTTCACATTAAATACTGTTTCTAACAGTTTGAATACTCTATGAAACAATCTATGTGATGGACAATTTTATGTCTTCAGAGTGAGTACATTGCCCCATGTGACAGCAGAAGGGAATTTATTTCTGGATTCAGTGGCTCAGCAGGTAAAGAAACTGCTTCAGAAAGTTCTTAGGGATACTTTGTACAGTTGCACATTCCTTCATGTTCGTATCATGTATGAATCCAGTCAATCTACTTTAACTTTACCGACATATAGGAACAGCTGTAGTGACAGAAAACAAAGCCCTATTATGGACAGATGGTCGCTACTTTTTACAAGCTCAAAAACAGCTTGACAACAATTGGACTTTAATGAAAGACGGTAGTTATAATAATGGAAGCAAAAGCATACGCATGTCACCATTCTTAATCTTCCAATTCCCCTCGTCAAACATTTAAGGAATCAAAGACACTCCAGCTATAGAAGACTGGATTGTTAAGGTAAAGAAAAATAAAGTCAGCAAATTTAATAACTGCATATTTTCAATCCAGAGCATTCATTTACTATGTATAAATCACATAGGAACTCAAAGCTAATAGCTTTGTTGGAGCTGATCCATGGTTGATGTCATTTGGTACGTTGAAATTTTCATATACTTTCTAAAATGTTGTGAATGATACAGCAAAATTGCTGCTGTATCCTCAAATGTTTTAAGAATCACTAACTTGCATGTTTCATTTCTAGAAAAATGGGAAAACATAAGAAAGGTAAATTGGAGATTGGCTAATCAACTGAGGGCTGCAATGATACAGATGGCATTTATTTTAAAAACACATATATAAACATGCTGCTCACTAAATGTGCTGTGTCTCTAGAAACTGAAACATTACGGAATATATTTGGTGAAGTCAAATGAAAATTTGGTGGATATCGTCTGGCGAGAATATGGCAAACCAGAGATGCCTAATGATTGTGTGTTCATCCAACCTCTGAGCTATTCAGGTAAACTAATTTGCTGGCATTAAAGTTTGGACATCAAGCCAGTATTCGGTAAAGCTGACCTCATATTGCTTTTGCAATTCATTTGGTTTTAGAGACTACAGTCCAAAAATAATGAATATATGCTTATGTTCAACAAACTCTAAATTATTTTTCTCCTTAACTCCCCGATGATTAACTTAAAGTCGTAGTTTAACCGTAAATGATCCATGCAAGTCAACTAATTTCTGTGTTTAGGGCAAAAATGGAAAGAAAAAGTTTTGCGTGTTCAAAGGAAGATGAAGGAAAAGAGTGTCATCGCTGTTGTGTTGACAGCTTTAGATGAAATAGCATGTAGGTCAATGGAGAAGTTAGCGTGTTTATTTAAATTTCATGTATTTGGATACAGCGGAAAAAGTGGGCTTTTTTTGTTTCCTAGGGTTGTTTAATCTACGTGGATCAGACATCGCTTACAATCCGGTGTTTATGGCTTATGCAATTGTCACGTCTAAAGAGGCTTTGTACGTTTATTACTATGAGATCATTAACTTCGCTTAATGGAGCAACGCACTTATTTAGCTGAAAATGTCACTTGGAAATGACTGCATTTAGAAAAGAGTGCATGGGAAACATTGTGTATGCTGACTAAATAACTAAATACTTAATTTATGACAACAAAAAGCAAGAAAAAGATCCTTAAAAAATTAAGCAAAACAATGCAACAAAAGAGCATTGCATGGTAGCGAAAAGTATCAGTTAGATTGTTGTAAGGTTGACGATGATTCTGGGTTTAGAAGATAGCAGTGAAATGAAACTGTCATTGCAAAACAACGAGGTTCTGTTCCTTGAAAGTTCTTAGCTTAGCGCCAATTAAGTGAGACTTAGGCGGTCTTAAATAGTAAAAAAAAGTGACAGAGAAAAAGTGTTCATTCAAAAACATTCAAAAAGTGACAAAGAAAAAGTGTTCATTCATAAAGTTAAATGTTGGAACCCGGGATTATCGTTACCCCAACCTTAGCGATAGCCGTGCTAAAACATCAATCAACAACGACAGTAACATTGACTTTTCGTCATGACTTAAAACACCATTTATTATGTTTTAAATTTCGCTGGTTGAATTCCTCTTCCTGATTCGATATAGCTTGTTCATCGATGATTCAAAGCTTAGTGAGGATATCTATGAGCATTTGGGAATAGCAGGTGGTAATCGTCATTCGGAAGTGACCGTAAAACTAAAATCATACGGTGATCTTGCCCGAGCAGTCGATCAGTTGGTGAACTTGTCTGATGGAAAAATTTGGGTAGGAAGTTTTTTACGAATTAAGTGTTATAAAGTAAAAGGTTTGATCCCGGGGATAGCGTTAGCTACATGTTTGTACATGTATATCGTCCATGTCGGTAGAGTTCTGAGAAGGACTGTTAGTGTTGACTGACTTAGCGGTAGTCATCTTCAGAGCCAAGTCTTCATTACTCCACCAACCTGGACGATCTTCATTCACAAACATTTAAGTAGGTGTTTGTGGAACATGTTTCAAATTATATGAAACCAAAAATCATCCTATCAAATGTTTAAAACCTTAACCTTCAACAGTAACAGGATAAGGGCAAGGTCTACCACCGAAATGTCACTAACAAATAGTGTCTTACTACGTCTTTTAACCACGTATAGTTTGTCTTTGAAAGATGTTCAAGAAACACACAGGACTCGCTAAAGTTTTGACTTTCCTTAGCATGAACCTTACAAATTTATGTTTTTAGATAAGCCGATCATCTAGCGCTGCTTTGAACATGTTAGTTCCCAAGGTAAATTCCTTAATAGATCATCTATGTTTATAAAATAAAAACAATAAAACGCGTGCGGTGATTGGTCTAGACTCTAGAGCCGTGTTTGCATTAGGCTGTGCTGAAAACATCTGAGCTCAACCAATCAAATCAATCAAAACAATCAATCAGTCAAAGAGAATTTGCTAATCGATCATGAATACTTTTGAAATTTTTGTCTTTTTCCCATTATTGTTATTGTATAAAAGAAATAAAAGATGCTTTTCGTGTTTGCCCTGGCTTAACCTCGGACACGTTTGTGAGAACTCTCGAGCATGTGCAACCCTCGACCTTCGGTCTCGGGCTTGCACTGATCAGCTCTCGAGTTCTCCCAAAGGTCTCCTCGGTCAAGCATAAGCCTGTGCAAACACATTAAACATCTTTTATTTTTTAATTGTTCCCCAAGATAAGTTCCATAACTTTAATTCACATCGAAGTAATGCTTATAGTTTTGTGCTTGAATCCTACTGTTCTTACTTTTTACGTATATATTTCAATATGTAGGTTGCTTTTCTAATATACATGTTTAGAACAGAAGAGTAGCAGAAATGTCACCAGTTGCTAGACTCAAGGCGATCAAGAATCCTGTCGAAATTCGTGGAATGAAAAATGCTCATGTAAGTCAATTGGCACCATACAAATAAATATAACAATAGATACTATATGTTATATTCATTTCAATGATTGGCACAAAATGATCACAAAACCTGCGATTGGGCATCAGTATTGCTTTTCATTGCTCATTTGCGCAACTGCCAATTGATCTTCCGTGTAAAGTTATGTAACTTAGAAACACGTTGCTGGAATATGCACCGAAGTCGTTCTCTTGTTTACTGCAGATAAAAGACGCAACCGCTTTGTGTCAATTTTTTTGCTGGTTGGAAAAAGAGGTAAGCCATCTCGTCCACGTCTATAGGAAAGTTTTCAACTCTTTCGAAATGAAACGCATTTCTTGTACTCGCAAGGTACCAAAAGGAAAACAAACTGAGATAAGCGCGGCAGAAAAACTGGAAAGTTTTCGACGGTATGTTGCGATCATTGTCGTAAACGGTGACAGAAATGACGATTAAATAGCCATCACTGTGTGTTTTGTTGCCATTTTAAAGTGAGCTGGATGATTTTGTAAGTCTGAGCTTTGCAACTATATCGGCCTCAGGACCCAACGCAGCTATAATTCATTACAGGTATTTATACAATAAACAGAATAAAACACGTGTGGCGATTGGTCAATAGCCGTGTTCGCATTAGACTGGGCAAACCGATCTGAGCTCGACCAATCAAATCAATTAACCAATCAAAGAGAATTTGCAAATCAATCATGAATACATTTTATAGGAAAATCAAAACGTTTGTTTGAAATTTGTCCATTTCGCATTTTTTCTTATTTTATAAAAGAAATACAAGATGTTTTTCGTGTCTCAACCTTCGGTCTGGGGCTTGCACTGATCTGCTCTCGAGTTCTCCCAAAGGTCTCCTCGGTTTGCATAAGCCAGTGCGAACACAGTAAACATCGCTTATTGCTTAAATTACTATCGTAAACAAACACAATTCATAATGTATGTTTAGGTAAATCACAGCTATATGAAGTGTATTCTACATTGGATAAGAACATGCTAAAAGTCATTTTATATACATACAGGCCTTCTGATAGCACAAATCGCAGACTCACTGTTGACGAAATGTACTTATGTGATTCCGGTGCGCAATTCAGGTGCGTACCAACGAGTTGATTTGATTCGCGTAAACAATTTCATTGCATCCAATTATATTGATGCACGGCATGTGACCTCATCGAATTTCAACTTAACGTTCGTACGTAAGGAAGCCTTAACCATATAATTAATAAAACTCCATGTTGCAAGTTTTTCGAAGTTGATAAACCTTGGTAGTGCCGAGTGGAGTTTCAGATGTTAGTGTTGCCTGACGTTTCAACATCTAACTAGCGTTAGTCATCTACACTTAGAACCCGTTTACACGAGCCCGAGTTGACAGCCAGCACGGGTTGGTGTTACACCCCTGGTCAACCCGTCAATTAATAAGTTCCTATTAACGTTAACACGATAGCCGGGTCAATTTACCAACCCGGGCGCACCCTTGTCGAGACCTGGGTTTTCTTCATTTAAACCCGAGTTGGCTTGTCTTTGGCTGAGAATTGCTGACCCTGGTTGAAAATTCTGTTGTAGCCCGGATTCGTGTAAACATAAAAACCTATCGCAGTCTGACCCGGGTTAAATGTCCACCCCTGGCTCGTGTAAACATAACTCCTATTGTAGTCTGACCTGGGGCTCGTAAACATATCCAGTCTGACCCGGGTTAAATATCCACCTCTGGCTCGTGTAAACGGGACTTAATCCAATGACGATTGTGTTCTTTACACTGCATCGAGTTGACTCCGAAGATGATCACGGCTAAGAATGTCAAAACGTCTGTCGACATCAACATGAACAGTCCATCTTAGGACTGTATTGACCTGGTCAAACTACATTTCAAAAAAGATGCGATATAAACTAAATTTTATCTATTTTGCCATCCCTTGGATATATAAAACTATACCAATCTTATATCATAACCTGTAAACTGATATGACGAACTTTTATAACCACAATGACTTTTCGCATACAGAGATGGGACAACAGACGTTACTCGGACGTTTCATTTTGGAAAGCCAAGTGATCATCAAAAGGTCTGTTCGCGAAAATTTACACACACGTGAAAAAAAATACGAATCCACGCTATGGGCACGTGTATAGCAAATGATGTTCGACATGTAACATATTCGAGCGCTTGTTTGTTTTCCACAGAAAACGGGTCTGGGTAGAAAGGATCAATGCTGTTGTTTTTTGTTATAGAAATGTTTCACCCGTGTGCTGAAAGGCCATATAGCATTAGCAAAAGCTGTTTTTCCAAACAAAACAAAAGGTATAGTCAGTGACCGTTGTGGTTCAAAAAAATTATTCAATTTTCTATGAAATATTTTCTTAATCATGGTGAAATGAGGAACCAGCGTTCGCATTTATTATCAATTCATTGTTCAGGTTCTAGAATTGATTCATATGCAAGGTACAGTCTTTGGGAAGGCGGGTTGGATTACAGACACGGTACGGGACACGGAGTCGGAGCCTTTCTCAATGTACATGAAGGTACAATTATGTACAATTTAGGGTAGCGTTTAGTTTGCTAGTATTGACATGTTTTTTTGTTTAAGGACCTCAAGGGATTGGGACGCGAACTAATGACGAACCGCTGGAAGCTGGTGTTTTTGTTTCAGACGGTAACGAATCTGATGCATTGACTACAATAACAATATTATGATATTTTAGCATGTTAGAAAATGTCGAAACAGATGTCAAAATGCCAAAGTCGTACATGTTACAAGTTTAGCTTTTTTTATTTCCATAGAGCCAGGATATTATGAAGATGGCGCATTTGGCGTGAGAATCGAAAGCGTGATTTTAGTAATACCGGTGACTTTGGAGGTATTCAGCCTTCAAAATTATTTCAACCGAAACTTGATTGGTGTTGAAAATTTTCATAAACTTTTGCAATCTCCTTAAGTATAAAATAAAAACTGTATTTTTCGATACAGAATAACTTCATGGGAGGCGGATTCATTGGATTTGAGCCGGTAACTCTGGTAAGCGTCTTTACTTTATGCGCGTGCGCGAATATAAATAAATTGTTTCCGAATCTGTGTATTGCTATACGATTTATATAGTTTCCGATACAAACAAAAATGTTGGTTCCTTCAATGTTGACTCGTGATGAGGTAAACTGTGTAAAAAGCTCATGTTCATATAATGAAAACACATAGTTTTTGTACAATTACCTGTTTGATTTTCATATAACTATGGCAAAAAGTTTCGTAAAACTACCAGCATAATTTTCGTAAAATGGAAAATTAAAAATCGGCAACGAATTAATTTGATCTTATGATCACAGTTTACTACATTGTTAATAAACAAGCGATCTACGAAGCCAGATATTTATTAAAAAGACGAAATCATTTGTATTAGACTTGCATCAATAAATTAAATTACATAAATTATATTACATAACATTATATATGTTTGTCAAAATTGCTAAATTAGCGTACAAACAGGTTTTATTTAAATTATTCATTCAGGTTGATTGGTTAAATTACTACCACGAGAAATGCCGTGAAACTATTGGTCAAGTTCTGCTCGAGCAAGGCAAAATGGATGCGCACCGCTGGTTAGTGAAGGAAACTGAGCCTCTGGGTTAATTTATTTAAAACGATGCAATAAATAATGTTCATAACTAATTAATAAATATTTTTTACCACCTTTATAATTCTTTGCTTGCAAAAAGTCATTGATAAAACTAAAATGGTGGCAAGTTTAGACTTTTTAAGACTATAATCTGCAACGTTTCTCGTCATTTACAGCACTCGTACGAGAAAATCTCTCAAATGCAACAAACAATGCTTTCTTTTCGAAAACCTTGTCTTATGTACATTCACATCAATAACATCGATGTAATTTGCATTATAAAGTATCGACAATATCGATGTGATGTGCTTTAAGGTATTGATAGAATCGATGTAATTTGCATTATAAAGTATCGGTAAAATGGATGTGATATGCAATACCTAATCTGTAATATCGACAACCCAATAACGGATACCGATGATTCTCTTTCAATCCGCCAACATGGACGTATAAGAGAGAAGAATAATCTATAACCTTAAAAAGGTGTACTTACGGCTTGTGTTGATTGATCATTAATAAGTGTTATATCGATCTTGATGGAATAAAATGGATTTCACTACCTTTCCATTGACCATCGTTTGAACTGATATGTCAAGTGTCGCAGAAAGTAGTAAGAAATACATCTCCCCCCAAGTTTGTCCGCGTGGTTGTTCCTCAGTCGCCCGGTGCATTTTTAAGCCGCAGTTTTCCATAACAGCCATTACATACGAGCACGCGTTGATCACGTGATCCGGGAGCTAGGAAATTGAAGTTAATTTTTAATTTTACAATGCTGCATGTTTAAGTGTTCATAAAATCATACACTCGGTATTCTATAAAGTAAAATGGAACTGCACACATAACAATGATTATTATTATTATGTAAACATATTTTCAGAGAATGTAAAAAATTCAGTTAAAATACTGCTATTAACTTGTGTCCTCCACTAGAATTTAAATGAAATTACAAACGTTATTACACACGCAATCTAAAATAAAAATCTTAAATATGACAATCTGAAATTTAAAAACCAATCTAAATTCTAAAAAGAATGTAATACAAAATATTATTGACTTTAAGTGCAGTATAAAATTTTTTGAACTCTTCTTAATCCTCAACCGCGCGTATTTGTTTTGGAAGATCGTTGTACGTCTTTGCAGTGAAAAGTAAAAAGATTTCCTGTCATATTGGTGTTTAATGTTAGGAAGTTCGACTAAAATTGAATCGCTCCGAGTTCCTCTCCTATGACTGTTAGTTCTGAAATAGTCTCGAAAATTACTTGACCTTGTTGTCCGGACATTCTCTTACAGATTGAAAGATTTTCCGATGCATATTTTGACTCTGAAGATGACTACCGCTAAGGTTATCGAAACGTCAGTCAACAACAACAAAAACAGTCCTTCTCAGGACTTTACTAACCTGGACGATCATCATTTACAAACATGTAACGATACTCCCGGGTTCAAACCATTTACTTTATGCAAATTTTGTATTAATAAAGTCATATTCTCGGCACTCTATAAATTGTGGAATAGAAACTATACATACCTGTAACACCAAGGGCAGCCTTTTTAACACGATGCCTGCAGCATTTCGAGCAAAACTTATCACCGCATCTTCGACAGTACTTCTGTTAAAATAATCGAATAAATGCTGACACAAGACATAGCTGAGCGATATATCATATGGGACAATGCAGATTGGAAAAAAAGTGCGTTGACTTTATGGAAACCCTTATTGTTGAGCCCATTTTCACCAGACAACCTTACATGTTGCAGGGCCGCATTAAGGTTTTCTGCGCCTCTGGAAACTTATTGTGTTTGCCCCCTTCCCATATCACTGTTGTGCGCGTACGGATTTTATTTTTGGTCCATATTTTGCCGGCAGTTGCAGGTGTTTTTATCGTTGACTGATTATATTTATCTGAACAATATTCGTACTCGTATTGTGTAGTTGTTTTTTAAATTTCATCTCATTGTCGAAATAAAAATTTTCGGGCCCGAAAAATTCTGCAACAGTGAACCCGTTGGTTAATGGAACACCGACATAATCACAGAGCCTCGTGAAAATGGCAACCTTCAAAAGCGGACGAAATGTGACCACTTTTCTCATTAATACAAGTTGGCTATTCCCTTTTACACTATTTAAGTCGTTAAAGCAACTTTTGCTTACCCTTCTAGTCAGGATCGATGAAAAGGCAATATCGCATGCGACACAATTTCCTATTGAGTTAGACGCACATTTAAATTAAAGCAATTCTTTATTAATGAGGATATCTCAAGTCGAGAGAGTATAGCAAACCTTTTTTCAATTCTTGTCGTCGTTTTCTGTACTCGCTGATGTGAGACACGAAGGATTCTGAAAGTAAGATACAATGTCTTCCTTTAAATGGATGACACAAGTATTATTTATGCTTGAAATATAAATTGCAACGACGCAGTCAAGTTATGAACTGATTGCCATCAAAAAATCCATTTATTATTTGACAATTTGTGTGAGACAATCCCTTTGAGATAAATTGAAGACTAAACGTACTTGATTGTTTACCAGGATTGATCTGAAATAAAGAAGGCCATATTGTTTGAAATATTTTTGTCGTGTTCTTGATTCACTAAAATTTCCTAACGTACTGTAGTGATTATTACATGAAGTACACCCACCTTAGTAACCGCGCCTAGTTTGAGATAATTACTTATAAAGAGACATTTTGTAAATTTTAATTTAGTGTTGAGTAAAGCCTTATTTTGAAAGGTTATTCTTTGGTGTTTACTTGAATTCAAACTTCTACTTCACGTACATTATCTTCATCTTCAGTGTCTTCACCGCTTTGACTATCATCTTCATACGAACTAGTATCGCTGTCAATAGAACTGTTCGCATCGCACTGTATATAATAAAAAGATGAAATCTAAATTAAAATCATTTAAGTAACAAAATGTTCTTTTAATGCCCCTTTTAGCAATGTTCTCGTTAGCACAAAGGAAAAATACACGTTCTCTTTACCGAAATAGTTGGATTATCCACGCCATTTTCTTCTGAGCCCTTTTCCATTGCCTTACTCTCTTGCAAGGATTCCAATTGTGGCAAATCAATGTAAAGATTATCTGTGACTACTACAGAAAGAGTAGATATAATGAACGGACTACGCGCGTTTCAAAGCGTAAACTATTTCAATATGAAAATTATCGTTGGTAGAATTGAATGCACGGGAAAAATCTGAATTCGCAGGTACTTACCTTTTCTAAAGTCGTCGTTGTATAAAACAAAGTAGAGAAACGAAACGAGAAATATCAAAGAGAGTGGCACAACACTCGTCAATAGCATCAAAACGAATATGTAGCCAAGAAATCTGCAATTCATTCAATTAGTTAACTTATAATGGTGACAAAATACTGAAATACGTGGTATGCATGTAGAAAAATTAAATAGTAGATTGAAAAATGTGGAGCAAAGGAACAGAACCTGTCATGAATTCAATAAAAGAATTGTTAAAGTATGAAACTTAGAACGCCGTTTCTGACTCAAAAACAACATAGAAATCACAAAGTAAACTGTTCAGCAAGTTATTTTGATGGGAAAATCAAACAACGATTGCGGATCTTACGTTATTTTATACCTTGTTGTAAGCTTTGGATCTTTCCACAAAAAGACGCTAAAAAAGGATCGGAACACTGTGTATACTACGAAGTAAAGACTTAAGTTTTAAAATTTAACGATGCCTCCATTATAACTATAAACTAAAAATGTCAAATCCTTCCTACTTTTCAAGTAATAATTAAGTCAAATGATAAATACACAAAAGCCAACTAGATCTACTAGGACTGATGTCAAGGTAATTAGCTTGCTCAGTCCAATATTGGAAGCGAAATCATCTGAGCATGCGCAGTTGACTTGACCTTTTAGGTCAAGTTGACCAACTGTCTGAGTTCAAGGTCATTGCACCAACGAATTGTCTCTACTCTACTTGCACAACTTTCATAGTAATAAGCTCACTTAGTAACAAAGTGTTACATAAATCATCTGATTTGTACAGTCGAATGGACCTACTTTTTGAATTCATGGTCTTGGCAACAACCAAAGGTTTAATACAATGTAAGTAACAATACTTGCAACTTTGCAATAAAAACTGTTCATTTTGGGCTGAAAATGCTATGATAGAATAAGGCTTAAGACAGATTTCTTAAAATAACATTATCCAAACTATACCTTCGTATAACTGACATTTTTCTATGAGCAATGTCCATATAATATTGGATTTCACATAATCTACATAATCAAAACATGAGAAAGAATGAATGGCTTACTTTTTGCTCTCCCCCGTATGAAGTTTACAAATGATAAATAATATAAAAAAGTTACATGACAAATGATGTTTTGTTTGCAAAGTAACATGCTAATCAAGGCTGTTGGGTAAAAAAACCTCCTTACACTTTTATAAATCTCTTCAAATCTTTTCTTGATCTTTCAATTAGCTCTTGTTTACGTTTCTGCGATAGACAAATGAAAGGTCAGAAATTTTCAAGACTTCACAGTTACTTGATAACCATATTTTGAAACATACTGAACATCAGAGAATGAAATAACTAACTCACAAGATGTTGCTCTTCATTTTCAACTGCCATCACAATGATATGCCTGATTTGTTTCTGCTCTCCCAAACTTTTCATATAGGTACCAAGTAGTACAAGTGGAATGGGAAAGAGACCAAAAGCGAATAAAAACTCTAAAAACAATAACCAATTGAGTTAGCAGATCTCAAAAAAAGACCGAGAAAGAGATGGATGGATGCTGTGAACAGTGATATGAAGGCGATGGGTATAACGAGAGATATGGCGAGAGATAGAGACATTAGGCGTGGAAAAATTCATGGACCGGTCAACCCCCCTGGCGGGGATTAATACTGGCCGGTATACAAATGTTGTTTGTTTGTTTGTTTGTTAGCAGATCTCAAAAAAACCTGTGAAATGTATACTACAATGAAAGTTACTGGTCCAAAAGATGCATTAAGGTATATTGTAATAGTTAGGTTTTTCTATTCAAACAGATCTCTTTACATGATTACGCAACAACAAAACATAAAATGTCTCATCAAGTGCCTACACTACTATTGTGAAGAATAATTGTGCAAAATCTACCCACAAATTTTGGATGTTTTCACACTCAAAAGATACTGGTGTCATGACTTTGGTTATAAATCATTTATGCAACATACATACCTGGGAAATAGATGCACAGTGTCATTACAAAGACACAGAAAATGAATGAAACTGAAGGAACGTCCCATCTATATTAAATTATGAAAAAAATTTCACTCATTTTGAAGCAATAAAAGATGTAGAACATTGAATGTTATTTAAGGCAAATGCTCATTGCCTATTACAATTGTTTACTTATGTCACATATCAGGTTGAGTTTCCCATCTCAAAGTAAACACTATCTAAATTCTAAAATCTCATCATTTCCAAGAAGATGAATTAATTAACCAGAAATGGTAAATAAAATAGCAGCCAAGAATAAAACTCTAAGTACAGAGATTTTTGATGCCAATGAAATTGCTTTTTAAAATGCCATAACAGTTGAATAAAATATTGCCTTTTAAAAGAACTTTGTTGGCATAAGTCTTTATTCTAAGAATTCTTTAAGATGAACAATTGCAAACGTGTGACTAAACCCTCAAGTGCTTTATGTAAAAGCAGTCTTTTAAGGAGTTTTAATAGGTCCTTCGAAGTCATGAGTTAATATAATTTAACCAATTACAACAGTGAGAACGACGAAGTCAATTAATTGGAAATAGTGCAACAGTAAATCACTTCCACGTATGTTCAAAAAGTATGCACGTAACCTCCTGTCCTTCTACAATAAAGTATTTCGCAATTTATAATATAAACACCGTACCTTTTTAGTATTTTACTGGCTTCTAAAACGCTGTTCATGGCATTCAGATGTTCTTTTAACGTGTCATAAGAACTTAAAAACTGCCCAACATCAAACTCCGAGGATATTCGACTGGATCCCACAGTCATTTCTTTAGAAAAAGATATGAAGCAGGACGAGTGAGAAACTGTTTTTTCTTTCCGTATTCACATTCATTCATTCATTCATAGACGACTCAGTTTCATCTTTATTTATGAACTCGAAGTCTCGAACTCGAACCCATTCATTACAAGTAAACATTTATCATGCGGCAATCTCGTGACACAGCGTTCAAAAAGCGCAACTGATTGGCTGCTTTCACTATTCTGAGAAAAATTACTGAAACGCAGGGGAATGCTGGTGAAAAAAGGCGAATTTTCTCAGTTCTTTAGTGAAGTGTTGACGAAATCTGGCAAGTTTTCTCGAACTACCACGAAAATATAAAACGTCACGCTTAGACATGTTAATAGAAATTAAAAAGGATCATTAAAGTCAGGTGACCTGTGACCAGATCATTCATCTGTAATCACCACTGACGTTCTCCACAATTTGTAAATAAACAAAAACAACACAGTTCGCCATCCAGCGTTGAAAATAAACTACAGGCACACAAGTCGTTCATACATAGCTGATGAATGAATGAACGAAACATGCTTTGAATGCCCGAAGAATATTCCATGTGATACAATTAAATCCCCATTTGTACATTTGGAATTTACACAGATTTTGGTCATTACACTCGTTTTACAAGTCAAGGCGGGCCACAGACTATTTACCAGTCATAAAAATCTCTCTAGGTCTGTAAGAAAACGAAGCAAAACATAAGTCTATTTCGAAAAACATCGTCACGAAGCGAACTGTCTCATTAAAGACCTCACAGAAACATTTTGACTATCGTAAAGATCAACAAGAAGGACATCATTAGCACTTCCGGCAACTACGGCTCGAAAAGTCTTGTTCATTACATAAGTTCTGAACCAATGTGAAGTTTCCTCTCTCCAACCACCGACGCCTGCTTTCACACCAGCAAGACCACACTTAAAAGCTTGAGCCGACATGACTTTGAAATCTTTTGATAAAACCCTCAATGACCCTATGTCGACCGTCTCACGATTCCCAAAGTCAACATATAAAATGCGTGCGCATCCATTTTCATAAATAGCTTCAACTTTGCAACGACACCATTCACCATCAAAAAGAGAGGCATAGCATCCGCCAACTGCTACATCGCGCAACTTATCGTGTAAATTACGTAAATTGGCGTTTAATTGTTCACCCATTTTCGCATAGGCTTGAGCAATGTCCGAGACAGCCAACTGAGCCCAGAAACAGTTGGGGGAATCAACCCAGGAAACAAAAATGCGAATTTCATTTTCCGTTGGTAAAGAAACGCAAATTGTTGATGTATCTAAAGTGATAGCGCTGCCAGTGAGAGATTGATGTGACGTTGAACTTGTACCGTTGAAACACAGATGGGTTTCGTTCTTTGCAGCAGAAGTGGCCATACGTTTGTTATGGGAAAGGGTAAACACGGAAATTTCTTTCTTTTCGATGGATGTTGATCCCGAAACGCCGTTCTCGATAGCTAAATTATTGTTCATTATAGTCGTAAGCTTCTCATCGACATCACTATGATGCCCATTTTCAACTTTTGGTTGATGGAAATTTGTAACCTCTTTGTTTTTGGCCGTGATATTACAACGCTGACTTTCGTACAAATTGTTACCTATTGAGGACAATTGATGAGCAGAGGGAGAATTGCCATGTATGGGTGACACATTCGCTTTTGCAGGGTGCACATTACCTTGTGTAGGAGAGACCTTAGTTTGCGCAAGGGACACATAGGTTTCGTGACTTCCTGCAATGTCACAAGTCGCGCCTTCGGCTACCACAAATTCCTTCGCAAAACCAAACGAGACGAGTAATTTAGACAGCGCTACTTCATCACGTGACTCGCGATCGTAAACGTCCAAAAACAATCTGGTCTTGCTAATGTACACGAGACGAGCCTTCAAAATATTCCCAGTAACCTTCTTGCCGAAAAAAAGTTTAGCTTCATTCGACCAGACCATTCCGTAAAGTGGCGCCACTCTATCCAAACTACATAAAACAGCCCCAATGGCTTGAGAACGAAATTTTTCTTCCAGGGGACGGAAACTGTTTTCCTGAAGCAAAATCTGAAAACCAAAATCAACACTATGGACAACAAATCCTTCGGGCGTTTGTGACTTTACGTAAACTCGATAGACATTGTTGTTTGTGCCGTCGACAAAACAGCAAAATGAACCAACGGCCGGCTTGTATGAAGAACGGTTGCTATTCATGTAATGTTTCTTTAACTCGTCTTGAAGTACCTGGATGCGAGCAATATTTGTTGCGTTTTGCACCCAATAGGAATGAGGATGGCCTGAACAAGTAACTTTTATTTCGTACACTTGTCCAAGCTCCCTAATCCCAGAAGCAAGAATGGCAGGGCTCAAAATGTTTTCGTTAAAACGAGTTTTGATTTCTTGTGTTGTTTCTTGGCTTTTACAGGAAGAAGGCAAAGCACAGGAAAATAGATTGCTCGGATGTCTGGATGTCTGAGTTACCCACAAGGGAGGGCAACCGGCCATATCTGAAAGGCGATCAAAACAAAAACGTCTTAGCTGGTAATGGCAAATCATAATAACAAAATATTAATTCATAACGGCAAATCACAAAAACATTCTACGGGATGACAAAAAAAACATTACAAGAGATAAATTACCTTTGTTTAGCTCTTCGGCAATATCCACAACTTCACTATTGATGGCATACTGCAATTTTACATAAAACGTCGACTCGGACGAATCGGGCAACACAATACAGGAGAGCCGTTTTTCTAATGTTAACTTTTCCATAAATTCTCGACTGTGTTTTCCCCATATTTGATGCCTAGAGCCAAGGCGGCAACACAACGACAGCGGAGGAAACTGAAAAAAAGATTCTGCAATTTCAAGAAACTCGTTGGAAGACACAACTTGTGTGTTACCAAAGTCAATGAAGCGAATTGTGTAGCTTTCATTTTGGATCTGGATTATCTGTGCCCTGTACCAAATCTCATCCTCTTTAAATTTTGCACATCCCAAGTTGTTCGACGAAGCATTTTTAACCGGTTGCAGCTCCTTCATCGAGACATACTCGTTGAGGCTGCGCACGAGTTCATGCAGTCGACACAAGGAATCGTCATCAATTATCTGAACAAAAAATTCATCAGCCGACACAACTGAACTGACGACGACGTCAAATGGCAAGGATGATACGATCGGAGGCCGAAGCAAAGGCATAGAGTTAGTATTCTCTGCAAGAGGTTTCGTAATGATTTGTGTTTTTCTTGTAGCTAAACACAACTGTTTGCTTTGATCAGCTTGCTTTGGCCGATTAAGAGATGTGCAATCGTTCAAGTAAGTCAAAACTGATGCATCTGCAATGGGAGGACTTTCATTTCTGAGTCTGACACTACCATTTTCGAAAGCTGTTGATGGTGTAGATATTGAATCTGAAGGCATGACATGACACGATTGATCATTGAGCGGGATTTCTTTCTCTGTACAGCTCACATCTCGTCCATTGACGGTCAATTCATCGCGAGAGGCATATGTCGAATACGTTATTGGCCCATCGTTGCCATGGGTAACGAGGCTGTCACGAACAACAAATCCTGCTTTCATCATTTCCTCGTAAACCGAACACATTTCACCATTTACAACCATTTCTATATGAAGTATCAAAGCATCTTTGGAGCGTTCTTTGAAGGTAGCTAATGCGCTCTTATTTAACACCATGTTGCTGACAAATTGAACACATTCCTTGGAATAATTTGTCGAAGAGCTCGCAGCACCATACAGAGAGCATTTTGTGGCAAGTTTTGGAAAGGAAACCAGGGAGTCGGTGATCCGTCTAGTATCTCGAATCAAAACTGTCTCCGAGTTGCCAAAATCAATGAAAGTGACAAAAACTGTAGAATCTGCGTTGACAACGTCGACGCTGGCTCGATACCAAGTTTCATCAGTGAACTTTGCGGCGATGAGCTCGCCTGCAAACGGTATAAATTCAGTATATGACGAATCTTCATACGCAGCGCTAAGCATGGTAGATAACTGAGAAAACAAGCTTCTAGCGGTATCTATAAACCAAACCCAAAATAGAGAAGGATCGACAAAATGGCAAATAAATACATCAAAGGATTTTGAAGACGGCAGAACGTCAGGAAGAACTTCGGATGCCATTCGTTGTTGGTGGTCACTAATCTTCGAGACAACAGAGTTGGAGCTTTCATCCAAACTACCGTTTGAATTGCCAGCGCACTTATGTAGCTGAGAATCTACGGAGTATTGTTGTACAATGCTGTTGATCTTTTCGTTTACACTGACTCTGGACGTCGAGCCCCTTTCTTTCAAAATGACTTGAGGAATTGAGTTTGGTGAAGAGGAAACTAATTCGAAGAGAAATGTTTTCCCACAGATCAGATTTTCCAGCAATTTCTCGAGGTTATGCTCCATTCCCACGATAAGCGCGGGATCAACACCATACAGAGAAAATTGCTTTGCTTGTGGAGAAAGCTTGTTAAAGTCAGAAGGAAGTTCATACAAATCACCGACATCTTTCAACTCGACGTTCCCATAGTCAATAAAAATCACCCGTACTTTACCACCGCAGGTGTACTGGTCTATCCTTGCCCGATACCAGCAATTATCGACACTTAACCTGGTCAAACACAAATCACCAATGTCAAATACTTTGAGTTTCTCAAGGTTTCCTTCCGTAAGATTACTCGTCTTTGCAGTCAATTCACAAAAGTGTTGAGATTCGAGAGTTCGTGGAACAGCCCAAAAATTATTTGAAGAAAATGTAGCAGAAACGTAGGCAACAAATTCCTTATCCAAAAACGACTGCGAGATTTCGTCATTTGATAACTTGGAACTACTGTCACACATCACCTTAATATGAAACAGACAAAACACGATAAGAAAACAGCGCGACAAAATAACATGAACTAAACACCATATTACCCCTTCAGGAGAAGTTTTGGATTCTTCAAACCTTTCAAACAATACAGTCGCGCTATCTTCTTTTTCACTGGCGAGACTGTCAACTAATGTTTCACTCAAAAGCTCTTTGCCACTTTCCGAATCTTTGTCTGAAGTTACTCGCGCAGGCATGGTTGTTGCATCGATAGAAATGTCAATGCAGTCAAAATCGCTATCGGTTTTAAAGTTGTTGTAAGGTTCAACAGTTACTTGCTTTGGGAGTTCTGGTTTTTTGAATCCTGCATAGGTGCAGATCAATTTGTGTCTTGCTTTATCCTCCTTTTGACATTTTCGGCTGCAATATGGCGCCTTGCATTCGGAGCATCTCTTTGTGCACAACTTGTTGCAATTAGTGCAAGGATACTTGGGTAGTGTAGATCCTGAATGTCACAAAAAAAACATTTCATCAAGCATGTTTGAATGATCAATTGACTGTTGTTTTATTTTTTCTACACATACCAGACTGTTTCACTTTTGCTTCGTTCTTATGGGGCATTTCAGCAGTTCCAGAAGAATCTGAGGACACAATGTTGAGCACTTTGGACGATGGTTTTTCAAGATTTTCATGGTCAATACAGTTCAGAGAGTTTGGGACACAATCTTGATTCCTGCCCACAGTGACCAAAGATTTCTCAATCAACTCATGATTTTCGGAACTCCACGCTTCATCATCACTAGAAAACAGCAAACAAATTTATATCAAACATTACATTATATCATTTAAGAAAATTTTATGATTTTCATTGGTATATAATGTGAAGAAGCAATCTTGATGAATAATTTATGAGCATACCATGACATACAGTTTATTATTATCCTCATGTTGTAGATGATTGTTGGCTAACTGATCATCACCAGTTTCATCAGGCAAATTATTGTCAAAATCTTTATAATCAACGATTTCGTCAGTCTCATGTCTTCGATGAGCTACTCGAACGATCAGGTTTTTTTCACAACCAACATAAAAACCATCATACTCCTCAATTACTTTTATTGCCTCGCGCCATGTGGAAAATTTGACAAACCTAAAAAGTTGGGAGAAGCAATATAATTTCATTACAAAGATGAACGGGTAGCTATTTCAACACAGAAATTGATCACATAAAATGTTCACAAGTTTTTAAATGAAAGAGTTATGTATGAGCTAACTACTGCTAGATTATGTGACTTATGTAATACAATGCAAGCATACCCATATTTTGTGTCATAACTTGGATCTTTGGGTGGAAAAACTGCACAATGCTGAACAACACCAACATTAGAAAACAAATTTCTGATACCTTCCTGCAAAAAAATGTAAAGTTCCAAATTCCATGAAGAAGTACTTTCAAAAAATGCTACTTACAAATGACAACTATGGGCATGGAAAAACTATTTGCCCTATAACTTATGTTTTAAATACAAAGCTCATACTACTTGCCAAAAGCAAAGTTACAACATAACTGTGGACAAACTACCAATTCAACCACCCCCCCCCTCCACCACCAGCTAAACATCAACATTAATCATTAAAATAAGTTGGCTAGCTTTTTACAGATTTTCTGACACTTCACCTACATTAGTAATGCTTAGTGGAATATTTCCAATGTAAATTGAAACTTCCTCTTCACGATTGTCAGGGGACTGTCGAATGCTTTTCTCAGGGGATCTAAAACAAAATAACATTCAAGTCAACTAATTCGGTTTAAAGATTCCAAAGAAAAAAATTCATCAAAACTACATCAGGATGATAAAACATGGCTCACCGCTCACAAGGATCCTCCGCTTCGAGGATATTAAAGTTTTTGTAACAATTAAACTGAGGACTAGCAAAGTCTTCATCCATGGGATTCCAATCATCTATTCCTCCATCTGGAGGCTCAGGTAAAACATTCTGTTGCGAACTACGTGACAAAAGGTTAAACTGTAAAATTGATACTTCTACACTGCGGTCGTTAATGATTGAAAATGGTTTGAAACTCCAAAGTGGTCAATCAAAATTAACTTCGCAAGGTGAAGTGCCCATGTGCATGCAGCAATCTTACTTTAATGAATCAGCAAGGTTCTGGTCTAGATTTTCCATGTCGTTGTGTTGATCTTTTGTCAAGTGATTTTGTTGCCATGTTTGCGATGGTACATGAAATGCAATCGATTGTTTATTCGCATCACTCGCTGCCCAAGGCCGACCAAATTGCACTTGACTTAATCCTGAGCCAGAAGTCTCGAAGACTGTACTTTCTGCCATCATAAAGAGAGTTTAACAATGTCTATTTTCTCGGTGATTCATCTTCCAAGTTGCCACATTTGCACCCACATGGTTGGTCATAAACCAAAATGTTCTCTCATCATCACAGCCCACGTGGTTCTGATTGGTTCGTCAAATCCCCAAGGGCAAGGGGTCACTGTCACAGCAGTATTAATAGGGTATTTTTGGTAATACCATGTTATCATGAACAGTTTTCCAAAGGAAAAAAATTTTCCTCTTTATGTACAAATACCATGTCATTATGTGTAATATAAATATAAGCACATAGGGGTAGATTGTAGGTAGTCATGTGATTACGTTGTGATGATTTTCACCACAGCAGAAAGACGGGGGGAGGAGAACATTTGAATATTGAACAAAGCAATAGACAAAGCTCCGTGCTTGACTTGACCTCCGTCACTTCCGTCTTGTTTATCAACAAAAGATTCGTGAAAAAGAATAGTTTTGAAACTTAGGCTTCATAAAGTACAAGTTGAATTGTAAAGAATTAAAGTTGCTGTAGTCTATCGAATCGTCGCCTTAAGAATATGTTGCGCAGTGAGCGAAACGTAATCGACAAATTTGCTGTGGATTTGAAAAGCGATGTGCTTCCCATCGATCTTCTTCCGTTCTTAACTTGCCTCACTGAGGACGATCGTGAACAAATTCAGTGTAAGCAAGATAGAGAAGGACCCAGAAGTGCCGTGACTATTTTACTCGACAGACTGAAAAAAAGAGAGAAGGGTTTTGAGCAATTTCTAAGCGCACTGGAAGACAATGGTTGTAAACATCTTCAGAAAATGCTTTCTCAAGCTCTCCAAAGTGAGCTAGGTACCAACCATCTATATTTACGATGTAAAGATACAATTCTTCTCAATGCGAACAATATCTTTTTTCTGTGACGTGATTATTTGTTTTTGTAATTTGCTCAACTTTTTAGTGAGTTATATGTAATTATTGACGTGTGACTTTTGTTTAGTAAATTGGCGAGTGTCTCGCTTGAGTAGTTTAATCAAAACTCTTGCTGATACCTTCACAAGTTAGGAACACTATCGTTATTTATTTTGTTGTTATTGATTTTTATACTATTGTATTTGAACAGATTCCCAATACATTATCAACTATTAAAAGTACTTTAAAAAACTTACTGCTCTATATGTAACAAATTCTCACAGTCAAACACTGTAGTACGTGCCTATGTGGTTAAACATTTTCAAAATTTTATAGAAAGTAAAGTGGTTCCAGATGAAAAGCCAAAACTACCTCCAATGACCAGCAAAGACAAAACAAATTCAGATCCACAATCCAAGTCACTTAAGACACCAACAACAGAAACTTCTAAGCAATCCTTCAAGACAAGCTCTGTACCTAAAAAGTCTACAAAGAAAATGCTACCAAAGGAGAATACAACAAGTCCACCAAAGCCAAAGACCGATGCCAAAGTGCAAAATGAAGAACCTTTTGTAAAGTTGGTACGAAATACAGAAGATAAAAACATTCCAAAGGAAAAATCTGATGAAGAATCACATAACACTACTATGGGAAACAGTGATACTGATTCTATTTCAAAATATGACACATTTATTTGTTATGCAAAGAAAAATTCTGATGTTGCTGTAGAGTTAAAGACATTTCTTGAAAATGAATATCTAAAGGTTTGCATTGACTTTGAAAACTTTATTCCTGGTGCAACTGTATTAGACAACATTTGTGAGAGCATTAACTCTAGTGGCAGCACCATATTCTTACTCTCACCAGCATTTCACACAAAAAAATGGGCAAAGTTTGAACTGGAAAAAGCAATACTTGATTACAACAAATCTCGAGAGCTTGGAAAACTTAAGAAAATCATACCTGTCTTGCTTGAAGAATGTGAGGTACCAAGTGAATTGGAAATGTTTACAGAAATTGACATGAAAAGATTTGATTCTCGTCAAAAAGGTTGGCAAAAGTTGGCTGAAGCCATTGGACATAAGTCTTTACATAGTGATAACTTAATTGACAATGACGCAGTAGTGAATAATGTTGAGTCTGTTGATGAAGAAATTAGTGATGAGTTCACTCGTGTTCTTGATGTTGATGGCCAAGAAGGTGAGGAAAAATTACAGGATGACAATGTCTCTACTATAGAAAACGGTTGTCATAGTGAACTTGATGAAAATAAAACAAATGCTGCTACATCAGATGATCCATCTGAGAATGATGTTTATGATAACTTTGATGAAGAACCCTGCGCGGTTTGTGATGATGGTATTACGGAAAATGTTGATGATAATATTGAAAATGAAGGTAGAAGCAATGTTGAAGAAAGTGATCTCATTGAAAATGAGAACTCTGAACTTTCTCCTGCTTCCAATGAAGATGTGAAAACTAGGAACGTACACCAAAACAACATTGAAAGTTTATAAATTTTACGGGCTATAAACGAGTCAAAATTTCATTAAACATTTTTACAATCCTTTGAAGCAGTTGTTTCATATACCACTACTTCAAGGGCAAGGAAACATGGTTTCTAGCTCATCAATAAAGTGATCTTCTTTTTACAAATGTCTGTATCTATATTTACGTATTTTTCAACAATTACCTGTGTATTATAGTTAGAGTGAGATAAAGCAGAAGGAAAGACTTCACTGAATGCTAGAAGAACTATTCACGTATTAACTGCATTCAATTTGGAGGTAAAAGCTTTTTTGCGCATCTTCGTAGTCTTAATTGTTCAAATTGATGTGATCTGCGTTGGGTGAAATTCGTTGTTGGTTGCCACGACAGTCAACGTGTGAAGTAATAAAGCTTACATCACAACTCATTAACACATTTTGCTAAACAGCATCGTTAGCAAACGCTGCAGAAGTTTAAAAACATCATTTTGTTGTTACTGTTATCTGGAAAAGCTGCTCATCGGATCTTCGGTGTTCCGTCTCTTGATTCTGTATGCCTCTAATTCCTCAGCCGTTACTTCGTGATAGTCGCGTTTCAATGAGTTATAAGTGATAAAAGTTAAGCAAAATTATATTCATTTTACTACAAAAAAACATTGCATCAACCATCATTAGATGACGTTTTCGAGGTTTCGGGGAGTTAAAAAAAACGAGGTGTAGAAAAAGCTTGATTAATTCAAACTAAAGCAAATCAATTCAAATTAGCTTTAGCCCACATTTTTATTTAAGCAAGCTTGTTTTGTTTTAACACGAAAGAAGTGAAAATCTTTTATCTGCAGGTGACTTTATCCGCACGAAAATTTAAGCCTTCTTCATCCGATGCAGTTTTAGCTATATCAGCACAGGAAATGAAGACACGCCATCGACTTTTTAAACCAGGCACAATAGACGAGTCTCACTTCTTTGTGAAAACTGTTCTTGCTATGTCAAGACAAGGAGATCTTTCAGAATGACCTAAAAAACTTTCTTTACTGAAGTAAATGCTCGCAATTAAAGGATATGATCTTTTACGTTCGTCCATTTGTAGGAGCTTATTCGCTTCTTTTTGTTGGTTTTCCTCTTCGATCAAAGCCTGAAAAAAATTAAAAAATTTCTTGGCATTTCTCAAACTCATCTTAACTTAGGCCCAAAAATATTTCACTACGGTTCATGTTGCTCGTGTTCCACCAACGTTTTTGTTGTTTGATGCCGTTAGCAAAGAAATGTACAAACAATTTACCTTTTTCAATTTCTCTCGGTCTAGCTCATCCGAGTTTTCGCTTTTTCTGTCATTTTTCTTCCTTTCTTTAGATCGCTTTTCGTGATGTAACTTTAAAAATATATTTTTTAGACACAACTTTTTGTAAGGCAAGAAACGACTTAACTCAATAGACGAAGAATGTTCGTTACATGTATATTCTTCAAAAAATCCGTCAAAGACCAATCATCACGACATTTGGCTTTTAATAACATTGCATTTCGTCAACTTACCTCTGTTAAAGATTTAGGATCACCAACGTCGTTGTTTTCGATCGATGGGAATTCTTGCTGAAATGAAAAATAATTTCACCGTTCTTTGATTAAAGCCTAAACTTCGGATGAATATTGCTTGAACATTAACTTTATATTAAAAAGCTAAATATGCTTCGAAGGAAAGCACTACAAAAGCAAGCCTCATAGTCTATATGGATATCACGTGCTATGCACGACCTCAATGTTACATGCAAGTGGTTTTTAGCGTACGTACTTACCGCGTTCACCCTTTTCCCAGCTTCACCCGTACAGTATGAACCGCGTATAAGCGAATGACAACAACTGTAGCCCCATTTACCATCGACCCAATAAGAACCCCACACGGACTGAAATCATACAAAGGTGTATATTGCTAGTGTTAATGATAGGTAAAATTCTTCAAGTACATTTCGATCCCTTCTTATCCCTCGTGAGAATAACAATTTCAATGTAAGAATTTTGTACGCTAACTGTTTGCTGGCGGAGTATATGATATGGAGCATGAAATATCTGAGACTCCAAGCTCACCATCTACTCTATCACAATACATCCTTCAAAACTGTTGATATTGCCGAGCCGACATGTGTGATTATAAAGTAAATGGTTTGAACCCGGTAGTATCGTTACATGTTTGTAAATGATGATCGTCCAGGTTGGTATAGTCCTGAGAAGGACTGTTTTTGTTGTTGTTGACTGACGTTTCGATAACCTTAGTGGTAGTCATCTTCAGAGTCAAAAATGAAGACATTTTGACCTTCTCAGGACTATACCAACCTGGACGATCATCATTTACAAACATGTAATGTGTGATTATAGCTGGCAAATTCATCAGCATTAAAATATTAACTTACGGTATGATTATTAATGAACACATCTTCCTCGTACTTTGATTTTTGAATGGCTTTTTCTTGACCTGAAATGAACAGGAGAAGAGGAGAAAAAAAATGCCAAAGAGAAGAGTATCGCAACATAGACATCAATGGAGGTGTTTCATATCTTAGCTACCTTTCACTACTTCACCAGTTCTTGAGTATTCAACATAGTTTTCCTACAAGAAAACATAATAAAACAATTGAAGTCGAAGCAACAGTTACATATATGAACAGTCAATGGAAATATCTGGGTGTTTATACATTTTGACAAGTCGAATATTACCGTTTGCGCGAACAATAGTTCCTTCGGTGGTGCGTCCAAATGTTCTTCGCCACCATACTGAAAATTGGAAAAAATATAAATTGGGAATATAAATAGAAATGAAAACCGCGATGATATAATCGGTTGACGAAGAAAACCACAAAGGCGCTTGAATCAGAAAAAATCAACGCTTGAAGAAGAATAAGAACAAGGATTTTATGCAACATAAACTCCCCCTCCCCCCCCGCGATAAAACATCCATACCTTCTCCAGTATTCCACCTTTAAGATCTTTTTTATAATCACTTTTCTTAACTTTGTATTCACGATGCAAAAGTTCCAATTTGGTTGGATCGGCTTGAAGATGAACATCCGTGCCTTTTTCGTACGCCTCCCACGCGAACACTTCAAAGAGAAATTAGCGACGTGATTCACATTTATACCATTACGGAACTGCATGCATAGTCGATTTAGTAAGACTTACACTGAGTATTCGCCATGTTTTTCGTGTCACCTGAGTAGCGGACGAAGTTATCACCTTGATACGTCACTGCTCTAGAAAATACAACAATTTTAGGGATAAGTCGAATCACGTGACTTACACGTCATAAGACATTGCTCGGCGTTTGGGTGAGCTCTTTTCGACACATGAAATAGCAACTAAAGAATGCGCAAAAGAGCTCTGCGCACACCAAGCTATTCACTCAGCATAAAAATCACAAAAACTTGACAGGTTTTCTTAAAAGTTCTAAGTCATCAGATACCGTCCATAAGCGTGTATGGATAGTCATATTACTAACTTTCCCGCAATATCCTTTTGACCAAATGGATTGGATCTCATCGACCTCGTTTTCGGATCATAGTGAGCAGAATTCAAATCCAAGTTGTACAGGTACTGCATAAAAGAACGATCACGTGACCACGCTTCTTAATTCAAGTAAAGTTTGTATATTTTGCACTTCTCAACATACCTTCGCTGTATCTTCTCGAATACGCAGATTTCTTACTGTCGTCCTCCTATGGTGAAAAGAAAATGCTCAGCAGATAACTTTTTAAAAATATGAAAGCTCGCACTGATCTATGAAAGCCAACTTTTTTCTGAACAATAAACCAAATTTTACATTTAAATACAAAGATGGACAACATAGATGAACAGTTTTTGTAATGAAAACAGAAAATCATGAAGAGACAGTTCAACATTAACACCAAAGTCTGCTAAGCTGCAAGTGGATACTGGTGGATTGAAGGGGCAACTACATGACCTATCTCACCTCTCTGTGGATACTGGTGGATTGAAGGGGCAACTACTATGATCTATCTCACCTCTCTGTGGATACTGGTGGATTGAAGGCAACTACCATGATCTATCTCACCTCTCTGTGGATACTGGTGGATTGAAGGCAACTACATGATCTATCTCACCTCTCTGTGGATACTGGTGTATTGAAGGCAACTACATGATCTATCTCACCTCTCTGTGGATACTGGTGTATTGAAGGCAACTACCATGATCTATCTCACCTCTCTGTGGATACTGGTGTATTGAATGCAACTACCATGATCTATCTCACCTCTCTGTGGATACTGGTGTATTGAAAACAACTACCATGATCTATCTCACCTCTTACTGTCAAACTTCTGTCCCGGTATAATGACATCATCAGCATATTTATCCTCATCGTCATCGTCATCGTCACTTAATTTCTCCTACGGACATAAAATGTTATGCACGTAAGTGACAACTGAAACGTCATGATACTGGGTCAAAAGGGGGAAAGGGAATTCAAAATTCAAGAACGCACTTTCTCCTCAACTTTCTTTCCGTCCATTAAATCTTGATGCAGTTTATCCGACTTCAGCTGTTGTTTCGCCTACAAAGAAATATCAGTAAGCTTCGCTTTAGAAAACTTATAGATAAAGATGAGGTCCATACATAAGCGCACGGGAGCTATCATTTCTGGAGGGGGGAGTAAGAAATTTTCCCCAATTCACAAAGAAGGTCCCGCCGTAATTTCGCCCGACTAACGTTAAAAATTTGCCCAACTTTTCAATCTTAACTGGCCACCTGTCCCTTACGCCCATGGATCTATAAAGTACTCGTATCAATGATATATATAGATCAATCGGAGAGTAGAATATTTAGATGAATGAAAAAGAGAACTTTACTCCATGATGAGTACTCGCAGTGCTACTGGCCAAGAGGTTCATTAAGTGAGAATACGATGATAAGAACAATTTCGAAGTTCGGTTTCTTTGTTCACAAAAACTTTCGCTTACCATTTCCATTTTTTGATATTCTTCTAGCACCCTTTGGTGTTCTTCAGGATCATATCCAACCCATCTTAAAATAACGAACACCATGCAAAAATCAATGGCGAAGTTCTCGCTGTGTACATAGCTACAGCGACGTATTACTGAACAATCCCACTTCATATGTAAACCATGTATACCTGTCTCTTTTGCCATCGTAGTCAAAGCTATGTTGTTGCGGGACATATTCGTCGGGTTTTATATCTTCTCCGGTGAATTTAGCACCTACACGTCTAGGACGCTACCAAGTTAAGTGAAATAAATACTACAGATTGTAAAATAAGCAACGCGATATACGAATGCCATATTTTCATACTTTAAAGATCATTTTATTAAATTACAACATGCAGGGTGAAATCACAAGAGTCGTTTAAATGTTTCTTGTTGTGCGTAGATTACCGTGAAGCATTGACTTTAAACTTTAAGCCCTCTGAATATAACAACACGCCCATTGTATTAGCCCATCATATATCGCTCACGAAAGTAACACGTGCAGGTCTTACAGTCGAGAGTCTAAGGTAATCCTTTAATCATGCAAGTGATTGATTTAAAATGATAACCGGATCCGTATTTAGGCTCTACTATCCTCGATGTTCAGATAGGCAAAATTCCCATTAAAAAATTCATCATCTTTGACAGTTAAACAATGGATAACCGACGCCACTAATCAATCTCATCAGACAACAAAAGTTAAAAGAGATTTCAAATACATAATAATCATGAAAGAAACCTCAAGGCAGTCTTTTTTCTTGTGAGTAATCGCACCACAGTTTTCACAGGCTCCTTTTCGAAATTTTATCGCTGCAGTCTAAAGATTTAGACAGGTTACATTACATAATTTTCAAAACGATGAAAAATCACCAACGTGTAACTCACTACCTCTTTCACACCACGTTTATACGATGCATCAATTTTAGCAAACTGTTTTTGCCTTTCTTCCTGTGGCCTTTGATGCTTGAGAGTTGGTCTAAATATTGAGAAAAATCATTTACGGTCTGCATTTGTATTTTACACAGGACATGGTTTGAGTTAAAACAATCTTAAAACTTTTCATTGTGGAATAATATTCATTGCAATGTTATGTGGTGTTCAAGACTGTGAAAATTAACACTAAGTTTTTTTGGCCAAAGCTGTAGTTTTTTATCCCGACCAGATCCAGAACCTGAGGTGAAGGTGAAAACCCTTGAAAACTACTCTTTGCATCAGCAAGTTGCTTTGAAAGTTCAAGATGTTGATGTTGAACTTCCGATATTGATTGCTTTACACTGAAGTCAACAATTTTTGTTCTTCACATACTTTTATATTTCAGTAAACAAACAAGTTGAATATATGATTTTGCATCAAATTTAAAAATCCAAGCCAGCAACTTCAGCAACAAGCTATACGAAACAACACAATATAAACTACTTAACATACCCAGATGCTCCATAGTACCAAGGCGCATCAGAAATATATTGAGGAATATGAGGGTTGATGTCTCTAGATAAAGCAAAATATTGAACGTATCAGATATTATGAAAAGATTTACACAATTCATAAATAAAGTACTTTAAGCACTACTTTACAAGATCTTCAGTGGTTTAAAAAACCAAGTAATTTTAATTATCGCATAACAAGACAACACTTGGACATAGGATTTTATAAAGTGAATGGTTCAGACACACATGACATGTTTTCTCTCACAATATGTGTTATATTTATTCCACATACAATCTAGAATTATTATATAAACTTTAAAAATTTAAACAATAAACAAACTAGTATATTTTAAATTTATTTATATATAACGTGAATCATTTCTAAGTAATATATTTTTTAATTTGAAATGCTTCGCAAAATTCATAAATAATGAGATATAAATTGGTTGAACTTGAAATCGAATGTTTGAAGTAGAAGGAAACTGTTAAGTATTCGCAATCACAAAAATTACGAACATAAAAAGGCGCAAGATGGTTAGCCTTTTGACAAGTAAAAAGAAATTTAGACGGTACACATACTTTCCTGTTTCATCCTGCAAAGCTGGTGCAGTTCCTGCCTTTCTAGCTTCTTCTAATTCTTTTTCTTTCTTCCAATCTGTTCTTGTCATTTTTGCTGAGAACTTGCCGCAGAAAGCGCCATTTTGAATTATGAATTTTTCGTTTACCTCCCCCCGGATTTATTTCTAAATACATGTTTGTTGAATTTGTATTTTTTGTATATTCTTAGTTATTTTAACAATGTTATTTTGCGTTTTAAGTCATTTAATGTAAGCAAAAGAACACACAAAAATCAAGGTTATATGATATATGCTAGTATGTACATCAGTGAAAATGTAAGCTTAAATTATAAAATGGAAATGTAGAATATGAGGGCAGGAGATATTCCATTTTTGATTTTATAATTTCATAGGGCAATAGGCAATCCCATAAGGAAAACAGAAATCCATTTTTTTCTTTAAATGGGAAAAAGCAGTACATTTTTCTGTTTCCACATTCACAATGACCAGCTCAAGTGGGATTATCTTACCTGCTTCATGTATTTAGCCAGAGCTCATCAACGAAATCTGGCCACGTGACACGTCAATCATTTTGACATTTTCATAAATCACTGCCGTGGACAAAATGGACCGAAGTGCACAATGTTGGTACAGATTTAAAAATCAATGTTAAAGTAATAATATAAATTCACAAGTCAATGGAAACTAGGAAAAGACACTAAATTTATTGCTAATGTTATGCATCCATCATGTAAAAGATTCGGAGTTGAAATGTTCATATCTTACGAAGATGACTACAAGACTTCATGGCGTCCACATGGTAAATTATAATGAATATATTTGTTATATTTCAACATCTCTAGCCTTCTTCATCTTCCCTTTGCTTTAGGTGTCTTTCATAGACATTTGTCTGTTTTCATTGAACATTCTAGTCAGCGAATATAAGTCTAACTGTTATTTTTGTCGTACGAAGAATGTACACGCTTCGTTAACGTTTGAAAGATATTTTGAGTCTTTTGGTTGCTCCGTTTGTCGTAATTGAAAAGAATGCAGCTTTTTTCAATGGGCAGATGAGTTTCCAAGCTATATGTTTATTGAGGCACACCAAAAATCATAGACCCATCACGACCATCGATAAACATTTAGCAATTTTGCGATAAACTACAAAAGTTAGTCAAAACTCAAAGGTGTGATGACTATGAACGGGCATTCAGTCATACCTGTCATTTATTCTTTAATTCTTCCTAAAGAAATGAAGAAACATGTCAAACATGAAATATTATGTAATGTAACGAACAAAATGATCAAAAATGCAAGTCGTTTCTTAAAGCCAAATGAAAACAAGAAATCGCATGTCTTAAGTTTTCATGGTTTTTTTAAAGACATAGCATGTCTTGGCTGTATAAATAATGTTTTATTTTCTGTTTTAGAAAAATCTATTTAATGATGATGCAATTGAATTCTTTTTGAACGCTTTTCAAATTCATGGCTACAAGAAGATAATTTGTGTAGGTACTCCTAGGTATGTTCAAATTTCATCCAAACCATGTACCATGCTGTTCTAATGAATATTTATTTGGATATTCAGGTTTTCTTTTACTTTTATTTAAATATCTTTTGTTTTAATGTTTAATGTTCTCGTGTAGAATATATGAACTAGAAAAGCTGGTATGAATAACAATATCTTATTGGATATTATAGTCTGTAGATGTGTAAATTGTTGAAGAGTCACTTTGATGATACAGAGGGAATCATAACTTCAAACTTATAGCATAAGGGAAGAAGGGGTAACAAAATGCAAACAATTAATTTTCTTCCAGCTCCTTCATGTCGGAGAGTATGATGATCTATTAATATAATTACTCGAAAATAAAAATTCACTACAAATATTGCATGTTAACCAATAACATCACTTCAGATAAGCTTGACGCTGAAAAAGATCACGGTAGAAATGAAAATAGCTGTGATGATGGAGATGAGTATTTTGATTTGATGCCTAATCTTTCGGCTACGCTGCGAGAAATTCAAGAATTCGGAATGAATTTGAGGTGTTGCGAATGCTTGGAAAAAGGAGGGTTTGCTTCAGTTGTCAAGGTAACTTTTCATCACATACATCGTTTAAAGAGACGGTAATTTGGTCATGTGAATGAAAGTTTTTACGTGTTTTGAAAATGCCATATATACGCTTAGGTTCGTAATAAATTGTACGGCTGTCTTTATGCGATCAAAAGAATTCCTTTGAATCTGAAAATTATGCTTTTTAATCGCAAAATTACTAGAGAGGAGAAGTTACTTTCTAGATTGAATCATGAACATATTTTAAGGTGAAAAGAAATTTACAATCCAAAATTAATCAAAATTTTATAACATAAGGTTGAAAGGGATGTTCAATTTAGAAGATACAAATTGCTTGGCTTAATAAATGTTATCTTTTGTAGAAACTATTATAAATGTTTAGATAATCCCTTTTTCCATGAATCCCATGGATGCTTTCGTTCATGACGAGAGAGTTATATTGTATAAGGATCAAGGCTCTCTTTCATCACGAGAGAGTTATGAGAAAGTTACATTGTAAAACGTAACTAGTAAAAAGTATAAACTTGCTTAAAGTTGGTCTGAATTATAAGTCACAAAGGCAGAAGTTTTTTAAACCTTTGCAGTATCCATGGATGTTCTAGTTTCTTTTATGAGAAGAATTCTTGTAAAGAAAAAAGACAAATTTTGAAAACAAAAAATCCCGTGTTCGATCCATGCCTTCCGATACCCCGAGATAGTTTAGCTTTATATCTTTCTGATTTAATTCTCTCATAGTGTTAGTTAAGGGAAGCAGATAATCTTGTTTGCCATGAAGTCCACGGATGGGTTGCTTGTGATACATGAGAAACAGTAAATGAGAGAATTAAATCAGAAAGATATAAAGCAATAAAAGTTGTATAAAACATGTTTTAAGTTATCTTGAATTGTAAGTGTCATAAAAAGGAACAGTTTCAAAAGAATTTAATTTAAAGCATTATTTGGTTTATTTTATTTTAAAAAGATAAAATTCGAAAGCAAAAAACCCCGTTTTCGGTCCATGCTTCCCGATACCTTCTTAAGCCGAGGCACTAGAACGCCGCATGTTAACGTTTCGGTAGGAGATTTCGGCCCCTCCACGCTATCCTACTTGGGAGATGCAATAGCAAGCTTCCGCCCATCAGACCCCGAGATCACCTGCGATAGGCTTTGCTCGGGGTACGCAGGGAGAGTGCGGTCGCGACCCGAAACGTCTGGGCCCCTAAGCCACTGCATACATATCGCACCCGGCTTCCACTGCTAGTTGACATCTACTATATGAAGTTTTAGCTTTATATATATATACAAAATTTTTAAGGCTTACGAAAGTTGTGGTATTATCAAAGTCACTAGTGCGCATGCTCAGATTATTTCTTTGATATTTTGCGACAAAGTGAGCTAATTGCCCCACATGTAGTGCAAGTACTTATAGTTAGTCGTTGCCATGACTATGAACAATTAGTCGAGTAGACTGCGCATGCTCGAGCGCATGCGCAGATGATTTCTCTATTAAATTGTTATTAAACATGCTATTTACTTTAAAATCGGTGCCAATAGATGCAGTTGGTCGTTGCCATGACCATGAACTTGGACAGCTGGTCCCGTCGACTTCGCATGCTCGAGCTAACTGCGCATGCGCAAAAGATTTCTCTATTAAATTGTTATTAAACATGTTATTTATATTAAAATTGGTGCCGATAGATGCAATAGGTCGTTGCCATGACTATGAACTTTGGCAGTTCGTCCAGTCGACTGCGCATACTCGAGCAGACTGCGCATGCGCAGATGATTTATCTGAAAATTTGTGAGTGAGCGAGCTAATTACTCTATAATCGGTACTAGTACATACAGTTTGTCGTTGCAATGACCGTAAATTTGGAGATTAGGTGGAGTTGATTACGCATTCTCAGATTGATTCTCAGTTAATTTGTAACGGAGCGAGCGCTGAATTTGCTGCTTGTCTATATGCCCTTAGCAAATTTTTAATCATATATTTTTGGCATGTTCTTTGTTTTTTAAGTCTGGTTTGACAAATGCATATCAAACTCATCAACATTTTGTTAGACCACTCGTAATAGCTGTGACAATGTTAGAGATGTTTTTATTTTTGTCTATAACTTTCTATCTGCATATTTTATGCATAAACAATGCTCTAATTTTTTGCGACAGATATTATAATTTATGGATTGAGGTAGTAGAAATACTTGAAAATGAAACTTCCAACAGTGAAACAAAATCGAAACTAGACAGAGGATAAACAACGACGCCAGGTTTAAGATAGCTTGATGAAATCCAACGTAGTTAAAGCACCTTGCTCACATTAGAGAGTTTTTGATGAGGACTCGTTGACCAATGAAAATGTCAATGTGCAATCAAGCTAGAAAGAGAATCTGAAAGATGAAGATAAGTGATGTATGGATGGAAGTGAAATATATTTATTTTTGTCACAATTAATTAATTAAAAGTTTGGGAAACCTTTTACCACCTCTCTTGATGCTTATAAAGCACATAGTGAACACAAGAATACCCCGAGTCTATGTAGGTGTTGACAGTTTGTTGAGTTCATTGGGTTTCACATAGGCTTACGGTTATACTGTGGAGTGAGGATGAAAAGTTGAGCAGTAAGGATAGAAAGTCGAGGCTGAAGTTAAAAAGTAAAGGTTGAGAACACAATCTGTATTTTTGTTTCCTTTTTGTCAAGCCTTCGCTTATCTCATTCACTTCAACCAAGTAGTCAACCCCTTCAAAATTGTAATTGCTCTAAAGGAACACGTGACTTTTTTGACCAATTAAATTTGATAATTGGCACTAACTTTGCCGATCCTTCACGCGCATGTTTACAAGGATTTTTCCTAATACAGTCTTTATCGTAAGTATTATGTGAAATATTGCATTATTTGTCCAATAAATAAGATTTATAGCATCACAGTGTGTTTAACTTGTCAAATACACGACTATTTGTCTTGAAGGTATTGAAAAAAATCTTCCACGAACTCAGCAAACCTGTTGTCGACATGTCCAAGCAAAGAGACTTTCTCACGGCTTGCTTTCTTTGGTACAAGGTACGATGGTTTTCATGATTATAAGAAATAAATACTAACGGTTTGTTTACCATTTCCTGAAAATATTGCTGAATATTTGTATTTTAGTAGAAGAAATCTTAGACAAGTATGATGTCTCACTAGTACATTTCATATAGTTTCATATTCATTTGCCTACACGTGACAAGTGAATCAAAACATCTACAAAAACTGTAGACGTTTTGGTTAGAAAGTTATGAGTCTCAGGAGTTTAGATAGCATGGTTGGATATATGTTTATTTATAATTATTAACTACTTATTCGCTTTGCAATATGGTTTAGTGTGTATATTATTGTGTATTTTTATACACTTAAAGCTAAAACTAATTATTGTTCTTTGACTTCAACTACCCCCAATAACTTCCTAAACTTTTGAAATTGAACTTTCGAGAGTCCCTTGGTCATAATGTCACATAACAATACTTGATAGAAACGATGTTACTTTCGACTTGTTCTCAAATATAATGATACCACACATCTATATGTTTAGCTCTATTATGGAACTTGTAGGATTTCTGGTGAGGTTAATAAAGTGGTTAGGTGATAGGTTCCTTTTGCATAAGCCAATATGACACGATCATCCCAAGATTAGCTTTAGTTGGCTGTAGTCACATTCAAACGTCATGTGCTGAGTTGCACCAGAATGGATTATCCAGTCACATCTACTTTCATTTCCATTTGTAATTAACGCTACTCATCAGTATCTTCTTGACAATTTTCACCTTGTTCATTTTCATCTTCTTTGGCACAATGTGCAGACCCTTTCCTTTGTTGTGGAAATTATGCTTAAATCATTCTTTCTTTTGGGACAGTCTCGTGCAAAATGTCCTCTTTTTTTACATGAGTGAATAATTGCTTTAAAAGAATGCTGATGTTCATTTTCATTCTTGTTGTAGTCCTTTTTCTTGGTGCTATTCACAGGCTTGGTATTAGTCTTAGTACTGGTTTGTTCTTAGCCTTGCTATCAGTGATAGTGTTAATCTAAGTGCTGGTGTTGCTCTTATAGATGGTGATAGTATTAGTCATAGTGTGTAGTGTTAGAGATAAACTTTAAGTGGGCATTAGTCTCAATCTTGGTGTTAGTGTAGTGTTTATCTTCATGCAGATGTTAGTGTTAGACTTGGTTTTATTGATAGTATTAGTTATAGTGATTGTATTAGTCATTTAGTGGTTTTAATACTGATGTTTGTCTTGGTGTTTATGATGGTGATAGTGATAGTATTAGTCATAGTGTGATGTTGGTCTAATCCTTGCTGTTTGTGATTGTGTTAGTCTTAGTGTGGTGTAGGTCTTAATACTGATGTTAGTCTTGCTTTTGATGTTTGTGATAGTGATAGTATTAGTCATAGTGTGATGTTGGTCTAATCCTTGCTGTTTGTGATATTGTTAGTCTTAGTGTGGTGTAGGTCTTAATACTGATGTTGGTCTTGGTTTTGGTGTTTGTGATGGTGATAGTGATAGTATTAGTCATAGTGTGATGTTGCTCTAATCCTTGCTGTTTGTGATTGTGTTAGTCTTAGTGTGGTGTAGGTCTTAATACTGATGTTAGTCTTGGTGTTTGTGATGGTGATGGTGATAGTGATAGTATTAGTCATAGTGTGATGTTGCTTTAATCCTTGCTGTTTGTAATTGTGTTAGTCTTAGTGTGGTGTAGGTCTTAATACTGATGTTGGTCTTGGTCTTGGTGTTTGTGATGGTGATAGTGATAGTATTAGTCATAGTGTGATGTTGCTTTAATCCTTGCTGTTTGTGATTGTGTTAGTCTTAGTGTGGTGTAGGTCTTAATACTGATGTTAGTCTTGGTGTTTGTGATGGTGATGGTGATAGTGATAGTATTAGTCATAGTGTGATGTTGGTCTAATCCTTGCTGTTTGTGATTGTGTTAGTCTTAGTGTGGTGTAGGTCTTAATACTGATGTTGGTCTTGGTCTTGGTGTTTGTGATGGTGATAGTGATAGTATTAGTCATAGTGTGATGTTGCTTTAATCCTTGCTGTTTGTGATTGTGTTAGTCTTAGTGTGGTGTAGGTCTTAATACTGATGTAGGTCTTAATACTGATGTTAGTCTTGCTTTTGATGTTTGTGATGGTGATAGTATCATTCATAGTGTGATGTTGGTCTAATCCTTGCTGTTTGTGATTGTGTTAGTCTTAGTGTGGTGTAGGTCTTAATACTGATGTTGGTCTTGGTGTTTGTGATGGTGATAATGATAGTATTAGTCATAGTGTGATGTTGCTTTAATCCTTGCTGTTTGTGATTGTGTTAGTCTTACGTTAAAAAAAGTAATTTTGTTTTGTGTATTTCTTTTTATAATTAGGTGTTTTTGGTGGTGTTAGTCGTATATCGAGTCGCAAGAAAGAATCGTTTTGAAGAACTCTTTGGAATCACCTGTGTACGATACATACATAATAAAGCATGTTACATCTAAACAGCCCGACTAAAAGGTGAACAGGAAACAACGACAGCAAGTGCAATGGCAGAACAACGATGAAATTGAATTTAACAAAGTGAGCATTTTTCGAGAAGAATTTGGGTATACAAACCGATCAACAGCTAGAAATTTAGATAAACGTCAACGTTGATGTTGGGAAAGAATTTGCTGTTGACTGAACGATATTCTCAGCGTGGATTGCACGCAAATTATTAACTGTCAAAGCGGAATTATTACGAATTAAATTACTACGAGTGAACTACGACAAGTGCCATTGGGTTGATAAAGCTAATATCGACAGCAGCCGCTAAAAGAAATCTGCATTGCTTAGCCGTAAGAAAACGTGCTGCTTTTGAAACACTTGTCTCTTTGATTTTCTAAAGAAGACATAAGTAACTATAGATGTTTTACTAATGTATTATTAAACTAACATTAATATAAATGTATATATTTGTGCAACTCTTTCACTCTATATATGTACACTCCTTCTTCGTGTAATTTTTATGAATGTGATTTTTGGTTTGTTGCTTTATCTTTAGCTGGAAGTGTTCTGCTATAATTTTTATTCGAGTCCTTCAATGGTCTATTTTTTGCAAGGTATGGCAATACCAGAAAACTAGGGAAAATTTCGAAAATAGTGCTGGTTAATAAAACAAAAATGGGATTTCTATTACTAAACTTTTCAAGAATGGAATGCGACACTTATAAATTCAGAAAAAACCGCTCTCCGACGAGGAGAGCGAAGAAAAAAAAAACATAGGATCCCATGCAAAAAACCACTCTTAAAAAAACTAAGTCTTTTGCTCAAATTTTTTTATGACTCCCTGTGATCAGGGAGTTATTTTTTTAAATTTTGAAAAGTCAGGAAACCCAAGAGCACACAGAACGCCCTAATCATCCCTTTCTTACTTCCAGGCACTCGTTCCTCAGTTCGACTTTCTGTCTTCCACATCCGCCGCGTACACCTGCCAAGTGTGTTGGCAGAGGGGCGAACCAAGGATCTTGTGCACCGGAGGTCGTTGATGTCGAACTAAACGCCCAACATCGGCCAGTTGAGCTAAGCGCTCATCATCGAAAGCTCTATGTTTTTTGGAGTATTTGTTAATTTTTTTCAATGTGAAGCGAAAGAAAAGGAGAAGGTCTTGCACCTTAGATGGTCTTGAACCCGAGAAGGTGAGAGCACTGCACCGACATCTTTACCACTCAGCCAGACGGGTGAGTTGGAAAACCGTTTAAAACATGTCAAGTGTTTCTGACTAAACAACACTGCCTTCATTTCTCTTGAGGCTCACATTTAATACTGTGTTTGTTTTGTTCTTCGTCACCATCATTGCAAAGATGAAGAAAGAGACTTACTACGCATTTTAGTTGTTCAACTCTAACATTGCAGGAGAATAAATGATATAACCGAAAGGAGGAAGACGAATGAAGTATGCACAATGTCAGACATTGCCATGTGGTAAATCAGAAAAACAACGCGCATGTTCGTAGTCAATTTAATGGCGCTGGGAGTTTCTAACTTGTCTGTTCAAAGTTAAATAACATATTTTTTACCATCATGCATGATAATATTGTAATGGTTTGTACAAAAGCATATGGTTCCTACAGAGCCGTATCCACTTACTAATTCAAGTCTTTTGTCAATTTACAATCTTGCCATGTCTTGAGTTTCATCATTTCAACTATAGTCAATGTAATCAATATAGCCAATGCGGTTTTTGTCGACATTTGTGTCTATCTTCTTGTCTACCTTTGTGTCTACCTTCTTGTCCACCTTTGTGTCTACCTTTGAAATGACTAAGTGAAAATTAGTCATTTCATAGTCGAAAGTATTCCAAGTAATCGAAGGTAGTCAATTCACGCGATGCCATGTTGTAAATCAGGGCAGTGACGAGCATGTCTTAGGTCATATTTTCCGATGCAATGGCGTCGAGATCATTTGACTTTATGTTTGAACTAACTGAACTATTTTTTATCATCATAACGCACCAACCATATTCTTTTCATCGTTGGTTTTGGTTGCGCACAAACAAAAGTTAAATAGCAAGGACAAAGAAACCTATGAAATGGCGTCTTTTATGATATCGTCTTTTATACAATGACAACTTTTTCTCTTTTATGTAATCGATTTTATCTTTTTCTCTTTCTATTCATGCATTTTCACATATTTTAACATTTTTCCCCACAAAGACTATAATTCATGCATTTTCACAAATTTTAACATTTTTCCCCACAAAGACTATAATTCATGCATTTTCACAAATCTTAACATTTTTTCCCCACAAAGACTATAATTCATGCATTTTCACAAATCTTAACATTTTTTCCCCACAAAGACTATAATTCATGCATTTTCACAAATCTTAACATTTTTTCACAAAAAGGCTATAATCCAGTGAATTCAATGCTTTGAAATTTATGAAAGTGCATGAATTATAGTCTTTGTGGGGAAAAAGTGAAAAAATGTGAAAATGAATGAATGAATGTTTGATATCTTCATATCTTCATTTAATTTAAAATGAATGAATTATAGCCTTTTTTGTGAAAAAGTGTGAAAATTTGTGTGAAAATTATGGTCTTTGTGGGGAAAAATGTTAAAATATGTGAAAATGCATGAATAGAAAGAGAAAAAGATGTAATCGATTACATAAATGAGAAAAAGTTGTCATTGTATAAAAGACGATATCATAAAAGACGCCATTTCATAGGTTTCTTTGTCCTTGCTATTTAACTTTAAACCAAACCAAAACCAACGATGAAAATATGGTTGGTGCGTTATGATGATAAAAATAGTTCAGTTAGTTCAAACATAAAGTCAAATGATCTCGACGCCATTGCATCGGAAAAATGACCTAAGACATGCTCGTCACTGCCCTGATTTACCACATGGCATCGCGTGAATTGACTACCTTCGATTACTTGAATACTTTCGACTATGAAATGACTAATTTTCAATTAGTCATTTCAAAGGTAGACAAAGGTGGACAAGAAGGTAGACACAAAGGTAGACAAGAAGATAGACACAAATGTCGACAAAAACCGCATTGGCTATATTGATTACATTGACTATAGTTGAAATGATGACACTCAAGACATGGCAAGATTGTAAATTGACAAAAGACTTGAATTAGTAAGTGGATACTGTTCTGTAGGAACCATATGCTTTTGTACAAACCATTACAATATTATCATGCATGATGGTAGAAAATATGTCATTTAACTTTGAACAGACAAGTTAGAAACTCCCAGCGCCATTAAATTGACTACGAACATGCGCGTTGTTTTTCTGATTCACCACATGGCAATGTCTGACATTGTGCATACTTCATTCGTCTTCCTCCTTTCGGTTATATCATTTATTCTCCTGCAATGTTAGAGTTGAGCAACTAAAATGCGTAGTAAGTCTCTTTCTTCATCTTTGCAATGATGGTGACGAAGAACAAAACAAACACAGTATTAAATGTGAGCCTCAAGAGAAATGTGTTGTTTAGTCAGAAACACTTGACATGTTTTAAACGGTTTTCCAATTCACCCGTCTGGCTGAGTGGTAAAGATGTCGGTGCAGTGCTCTCACCTTCTCGGGTTCAAGACCATCTAAGGTTCAAGACCTTCTCTTTTCTTCACATTGAAAAATTTAACAAATACTCCAAAAACATAGAGCTTTCGATGATGAGCGGTTAGCTCAACTGGCCGATGTTGGGCGACATCAATGACCTCCGGTGCACAAGATCCTTGGTTCGCCCTCTGCCAACACACTTGGCAGGTGTACGCGGTGGATGTGGAAGACAGAAAGTCGAACTGAGGAACAGTGCCTGGATGTAAGAAAGGGATGATTAGGGCGTTCTGTTTGCTCTTGGGTTTCCTGACTTTTCAAAATTTAAAAATAACTCCCTGATCACAGGGAGTCATAAAAATTTGAGCAAAAGACTTAGTTTTTAAGAGTGGTTTTTTGCATGGGATCCTATCTTTTTTTTTTCTTCGCTCTCCTTCTCATCGGAGAGCGTTTTTTTTCTGAATTTATACTAAGTGTCGCATTCCATTCTCGAAAAGTTTAGTAATAGAAATCCCATTTTTGTTTTATTAACCAGCACTATTTCCTTATTTTCCTATTTCTTATTCATCCTTAGCATAGTTACATCTTATTCCAGACAGGGTTTGAACCTCCACTTTGCAACCTTGAAACGTTGTGTCTATCCACTAGACCAGAGAGTTCGTTGAAGACACTTGGTCATTTTAAAGTGCCATTCCTACCTTGAAGTATTTAATGCAAAAAAAAAATAGACCATTGAAGGTCTCGAATCAAAATTATAGCAGAACACTTCCAGGTAAAGATAAAACAACAAACCAAAAATCATATTCGTAAAATTAGACGAAGAAGGATTGTTGATATAAAGAGTGAAAGAGTAGTACAAATATATAAATTTATATTAATGTTAGTTTGGTAATACATTAGCAATACATTTATAGTTACTTATGTCTTCTCTTAAAAAAGATAGAGACAAGCATGTCTGTAATGTACAAATCTTTAAATTTATTATTTACAACTAAAGTACAGTACGTGAAAAATATTTTTAAATATAGGTTCATCTATATAAACATAATCTTGCATGTTGATGATGTATCTGTTTGGAATGAAAAAAAAATATTAATCAATTTTTGAGATAGAAAAATAATACGTCATTCAAATTATTAAACTTTATCCACTCAAAGCATGCAGTTTAAAGCTGCATCACATGCACTGCATGACTTGATGTCAGTTATTTATCGTTGTTAGAAATATTGTCTCATTTTAAGCTGTTGAAAGACCTTCATGTAAAGATATTGTTGCAATACAAGTTGTCTAGCCTGCCGTATCTCATCACCATTATTCATTTTATGTACAGTTAGGTTTCGACTATGTATTTGAAACACAAACATGACCAATAATCCTCTAAACATTTTCTTCAAAAGTAACGTAATATTTACCTATATGGGAATTTTTTGTAAATTGCACGGACCCTGAATTCTTGTACATCGATTTACGTTTCTGACGACGATACTACAGAATGTATTAAGGTAGATTTGGTACTGAAAAATATGAAATTTCAAAAATATCCATTTGAAAACGCAGGAAAGTGGTCTTACTTGTTGTCTATAATTGGGTCGAACCTTGTCGTCTTTCATCTATGGAAAAATAATTGTAACAAAATCACTATAAATTCATCATCAGAGTACTGACGTTTCCTAAACCTTTCAGGTAGTCATCTTCAGAGTCAACCTGAGAAGGACTGTCGGTGTTGATGATGACTGACGTTTTGACAACCTTAGAGGTAGTCATCTTCAGAGTCAACCTGAGAAGGACTGTTTGTCTGGTTCGAAGTATTTTTTTTTCCGCCTCATAGTATATGTCGTAGAGAAAATGTGCGGGCGTCAATTGTGTTTTGTAGGTTAGTCTAAAAAAGTGTTTAATTTTTTGCTTGTTTCTTCGTTTGTTTCTAAAAACATGTAAGTGCGTCATTTTTAGTCATATTCAAATACGATGGCGAATAATAA